TGGCGCCATTTGCTGGCCCCCTATGTTCCGTGTTTCAAGACCATGGGACCATGGCACACTTTCTGCATGAATTTTGACGAGGATCTGCGGCCCCTGCTGCGCAACGTGCGTTTCGTGCGGCAGAATCGTACCGTTTTCAAGTCCACGGTCTTCTTGGGCACCTCGGTTTTGATCCAATTGATGGTGGGATTTGGGCCAACGGGCCAACTATTTGGGTGAGCTTTTAGGGGACAACTCCAGTGATTTGTCAGCCACCTGGTTGGAACCTTTGACTTTGGTTCGGTTAGTCACGGTTCTTGGAACCCTCTGCCTCAGCCGATTGCAGTTGCCCGGCAAACATCATCAAACAATGAGACTTAAGGGCAATGGATCTGCAAAATGTTTCTGGATGGGCCAGGATACGTGGGTACTTTGACTGCTGTCAAGCAGGGCGGCTTCTCAGTCACAGTGAATACGAGGCGTGAACGTTGCTGATCTTGGGCTATGGGTCATGTTTCGGCCACATAATTTCGACCCAGACTTTACTGCAGCACTTGCGACAATCTCAAAGATTTGCAACTTGAGGGCTGCTCAAAAGGCAGTGAGACTTTGGGCGACCTTTTCTTATTCATATTCCAATCCGCTGAATGATTTCTTCTAGCAATTTCTTTCTGGTCCTAACAAGTTGAAGAAACAAGTGTCCGATGGTGTTGGCAGCTGTTTACAGTAAAGGCCGAGGGTCTATTCCCACGCCATTTCCTGCCACAGGTATGACAACTCTGATTGGGCAGCACTTCGAGCCTTTCTGGAAGGAAAGGGCAGCGGTAACTTCTTGTCTTTGACGAACTCTCAGAATTGCTAAGTTATTTTCTGAATGATTTTCTGCATGTTGTGAAACTACTGCAGTTTTCCCGGTTGTGAAGTGGACAGGAGTAGTGTCAGCACGTCTGAGGCTGCTACGAGATGTGATGGTGTCGAAGCTCAGATTGGAGTCATGTTTGTCAGATGACCGGGTCAATGACGCCTGATGGCCGCTCCGCATGGCCCAACTTTGATCGACTGTGTTTTTAATCCAAGGTCTATTGGAAAAACAACTGACACAGACATACATTACGTTTCAAGCTGTCTTCGATTGGGTGCATTCATTTTTTCAAATCCACTGTGGATCAAGGTTGGTAATCACTCATTCTCAGAGGCTGGTTCCGAAATTCGCCCTTGCGGCGGAAAAGACCACTGAAAGGATCGTCATTGCTGAAGTTTCTTCCATGGAGATGCCTCTGAATTGGATGGTGTCAGGCATTGGCAACCATGAGGTCGGCCAAGTTGTTGGGGCCTGCATATGTGCCTTGGTTCAAGACTTCTTCCGTTGTGTGTGGTCTCCAGCTTTGTTCGGAGCTCTGCATGAACACAGACACACAGAGAATACTCTTTGGTGGTTTAACTGGTGATGTAAATATTTCAACTTTTAACCGTAACCGTTATTAATCAGTATTAGTCACCATGATGAACCATCATTAGCTGTGGAATGTATTTGCTGGGTATCCCGGGATCCCGGACTCTTTGTATTGTCACCTGTCACCTTCGGCCCCAGGTTATCTTGGGTGGTACTGGGAGGGGCGAAGGTGCCGTGCTGGAACGTGGCGCCACAGCTGTGGTGTTCCTTGGCCCAACTCAGGGGGGTTGTTTGAGGTATAACGATCCCATCCCCAATATCAAACACCTGTCCATGGTCCATCATGGTCCCAATTATGTGGAAATTCCCCACGTTTCTAGGGCCGTCATTATTAGGGGGGGATTAATGAGAGTGATTGATGTCGATTGTACCATAGCTTGATGGGGGTTTATCCACCAAAGATTGACTCATCCCCAAATGGGATTTCTGGGATTTCGAGCATTGACAATGGGATAAGGGGATGCTAAGACTGCTGCTTTTGATGGCTGTGGATTTCACCATGGATAAGTTCCATCCCAAGCTCTCCCCAGTCCGATCCTCGTATTTTTGACTTGCCGACTGTAAGGAAAGAGAGAAGGGTCCAGGGTCCTTCTTGGCTGACTTTGATCAGAGTCAGAACATGTTCAATTGCAATGAGCTTCCGATTTTTTCGAATCTGCAGATGCCTCCAGCTATTGGTGCACTATAATCTAACATAGCTATTGAAAATGGACAGATGATTTACCTATTGCAGATGGTGATTTTCCATAGTTATGTTAGTTTACCAGAGGGTAAGTATTGTGACTTGAGGAACGAGACGCTCCTGAGCGACGTTGCCAAGCAGGGCTTCAACTCAGTGGTGCAAACCAACTGGGTCAGTGCCTCAGATTCGCGGTGAACAACAGTAAAGCTACACCTGGGGATGGGTCAAAGACCCCCCAAAATGGATGGTTCAACCTGAAAAGCATGGAAACTGTCTGTCCATTGGGATTCCAGTCTGGATCACCCATATGTCTTTGATACAGAAACGATGGCTTGAAACCCTTTCAGATGAAACCTCTGGAAATTGGAAGTGGTATTGTGGTATTTGGAGTTTCTTTTAGCTTCATTTGGATGCAAAGGTTCAGAACGTCTCTGAATCGTTGAACAAGTTGAGACCCAACAAATATGTCAAGCACTGAAGATTCCCACTGTACCCGTCACGGTCACCATAGCCTCGTGTTCATCGCAAGGACTACAACAAGGACCCTTGGTACGACAATCGGCGTAGCCCTGCAGAGCATTGCCTCCAAGAACGCTACAACAGAAACATCACCTTTGAAGGCCCAGTTTTAGGAAGTTTTATGATGTTTTATGCGAGTTCCAACAGATTCTAGCCTTGGATCACACATGGGCAGACCCACTGCACAGTTGAGAGTTTCACTGTGTGGACTCGAGGCATGTTCTCGGTTTTGGCAGCCCACCCCAACCGCAATCGCCTTACCACCCATACGGCACTGATGAGTGCAGAGACACTTGGATCCACAATGCTCGGGGGAAAGTCCGAAAACATATTTTCTTTATAAAGCACGCCACAGTTCGCGGAAAGTATTCTAACAGTAGATAATGTTTGACACCGTTGCAGAACATGTTGCCTGTTCAGGACGGGTGACTGCGAGGCGGGCCTTGGGATACCAGGAATTCAACTGACATTTAGATGCTGTCACTTTTGGAATGTGAAATTTGCCTTGAGGGAAAGGATAAGAAGCCGGTCTTGGGAGGGATGTTCTTGTCCAGTTCTATTTCCTTCGCTGATGGGGATGGATCTGGCATTGGATGTATCATCCACCTTGTCGTGGCAGATTTTCTCCTTAGACGAAACCTCTTTCAGGGCTGAGTTTGGAAATCATCTGCGACTTGGGCTTTTTTTTTGCGTATGGAATGTTCATGTACAGTAGGAGACACGTAAATTTATTGTGGCCTTGAATTCTACAGCACAAGGCCACATTTGTTTCATCCCAGGTTTGACCGGTTTCTCAGCTCTGAGACCTCAGGCTTACATCCAATTCTGCAACGACACCTTATGTGCTCCGTGGATGGAGCAGCTCACTGTCTAGTCGTCGTAGCCGTGCTTGCAGTGAGTGCTGCAGTGGCTGGATTTAAAGCGTTCAAAAAAACGTAAATATGTGTTCCGATGACCGGAAAATGATCCTATTTGACTGGAAAACCTTCTGCAGGCTTTACTTGTCATGGGAAGAAAGGACCATCAGTTGTCAGTCACTGATGGTGCCGCATCTTTCAGATGCAAACGTCCTGAGTCTTGCTTGGAGACTCAGCTGCGAAGCGGAGCGTGAAAAAATGCAGCCGCACCTCCAGTTTTTGAATTTGATGAATCTGACGTAATGTGGGTAAAACAATGCCATGTTTACCATCCCCCAGTCATCACCATTTTCATAGGTGGTATGGTTACCATCCCCAGTCATGGGTGGTTAATGACATTGTTTTACCCACATTATATGTTTTTTGAGCTCCATTCTTCATGACTTTGGTCTTGTCAGGTGCGAGAACTGACTCTCACAGTTGAGAAGCTCACTGCAGGGAAGACCCAGTGATGGTAAGCAACCACATCTGTTGAAGCTAAGAGGGTAGGATGGAGAGACAAAGATAGGCAGAAACCGCAGTGGACAGTGTGTTTGAGGAACCCTATGAAGACGAGGACACAAGTAGCGTGGCGAGGTTGAAAGCGACACCACGAGAACACCGACTGTAATCCATATACGGAAGGCCTCCCGTTTCAACAGGAACGTCATTTACTATTGAGACATTTTCCATTCCCAGGCTTGATTTGCTGAGGGTAAAGCTGTTGAGTAAAGAAATCCACGGTGATCATGCAGCAGACAAGGTCGAAAATGCCAACCGACGAAAAGAGCTGGATGATTTGATCACGGACACGCAGGAGAGCTTTTGCTGGTTGCATGTGAATATGCAAGAACCACCAAGTGAACATGTCCGGACGTATTTGAATAGATTCTACAACAGTGTACTGAGATTACGTACTTTTGGCATGTCCACACACACACATACCCACACACGAGCTGCGTGTGTGTTTTTTTGTCTCTCTCTCTCTCTCTATCTCTCTGTCTCTCTATCTACACACACACACAGCTCTATATGTCTCTCTCTCTCTATAGATATAAATATTATACATACACAGTGACTGATGACATGCTTTGTATATATATATATATATACACATAATACACACAATATATGTACAATGTATAGATACAAATTCTATACATATGTATTTCAGCTCATAGACCTGTTCCCCTGGATGTGAAGTCGATTCCCTGCCCGATAAGCTCTTGTCGCTGTGGCATCTTGACAGGTAGTTCTTGGTTAGTAACACCTCTGCTGTCAATGGTTAGTAATTACATCTAATTACCTTACATGGCGTTTAGTTCCCTCGCAGAAAGCATCAGAAACCATTGTTTCATAGGGGAAGAGGTTTCCCTGTTGGGCAGCCTTGGTTGATCAGCGTTTTCTCTGCTACTGAGCTGGTAATTTGAGCATCTCTGGATGTGAGGCCAAGCAGATGGAGCTGGACAAAACCGCAGAACTCTTCCGACAGCTTCATGATGATCGAAAAAAGCTGCCCTGGCCCGTTGGACATCTCAAGGATTTTTGTAAAGGGTTGACACCCCAATGATAAAAGCAGGGTGTCCAGCGTCTACAATTTCATTTAAGCCAACACAACGAAAATGGGAAGAGTTCAACTTGGAGGGTCAATGCTGGATCAGTTGGTGGAGAAGATCCAGCAAGCAAGTCCCATGCCGGAGTTGTTGATTCTTGGCCGGTAAAAAGCCATGAAATATGGCACTTTTTTTTGCCAGGGATTGGCATCTCAGTTGCATGCCAGATTTGAAGTTGGTGGCTGAACCGCGAGTATAATTCTGGTTTCCATTGGTTCACTGCAGCCAGATACCCTTCTGTTTTGAAGTTTTATTTTGTAAGCGGCATTCATGATGTGCGCCTTCAACATGTTGACGTAAAGACAAAAATTGTCAAGCTTGCAAAGAGACAGCTAAACGAGAAAACTGCAGTGCATTTGGCAACTTGCAAGAGAAGTTGCAGATTTTGTAGATTTCAAACCTGCCAGGATCATTGAGCAGTGGGAGGAGTCCGTCAAGAGTATTTTGCCCAAAATGTTCTGATGGTGTAGACAGAGTTCTGACAGAAAGTGGAGGATCACGGATATATTTGACTGAACGCTTTCCGGGTCCTGAACTACGCTTTCTTTGGCTCATTGGACACTCTTGTATAATCACGGCAAAGACCTACATATGCACGTCCCTTTATATATACATCCATGAACAGACAGCGCGTTTATGATAGTTGCATACAATATTTGACTATTCGGGTGTCAATCTGTGCCGGATACACATTCATATAAACAACAATATGATTTGGTGTATGTCATTTATGTATGCATTTGGATTTTGTATCCGTATCTCCTGTATCTCCTGCATATCTATACTATCTCTGTCTCTATCTCTATCTCCATGTCCGTTTCTCGCTCTCTCTCTCTCTACATCTCTATCTATCTCTCTATCTCTCTCGATTTTTTTTTTCTCTCTCTCTCTATCTATCTATCTTTCTTTCTTTCTTTCTTTCCTTCTATCCGTCCCTTCGTCGATCCATCAACCGATCGATCTATCGATCTATCGATCTATCATCTATCCATTATTATCTATCCATTATTATCTATCTACCTGTGTCTATCTGTCTATCTATCTGTCTGTCTATCTATCGATCGATCCATCCATCCATCTATCTCTCTATCTGTTTGCATGTCTGTCTGTCTGTCTGTCTGTCTGTCCATCTGTCTATCAGTCGATCTGTCTATCTCTCTCGATCTGTCTATCTGTCTGTCTATCTATCTATATCTATCTATCCATCTATCATTCTATCTATCTATCTATCTGTCTGTCTATCTATCAATCTGTCCATCTGTCGGTCTGTCCATTTGTCGATCTGTTTATCTGTGTATCTGTCGATCTGTCTTATTGTCTATTTGTCTATCTGTCTCTCTGTCTATCTGTCTATCTGTCTCTCTGTCTCTCTGTCTATCTATCTATCTATCTATCTATCTATCTATCTATCTATCTATCTATCTATCTATCTATCTATCTATCTATCTATCTATCTATCTATCTATCTGTGTGTCTGTCTATCTATCTATTTATCTGTCTGTCTATCTATCTATCTGTTTGTCTGCCTGTCTATCTGTCGATCTGTCGATCTGTGTATCTGTCGATCTCTGTCTACCTGTCTACCTGTCTATCTGTGTATCTGTCGATCTCTGTCGATCTGTCTATCCATCTGTCTGTCTATCTGTTGATCTGTTGGTCTGTTGATCTGTCTATGTGTCTATCTGTCTGTCTATCTGCGTGCCTACCTGCTTTTTGTCGATCTGTCTATTTGTGTCTATCTGTCGATCTGTCTAGTTGTCTATCTGTCTATCCGTCTATCTGTTGATCTGTCTATCTGTCCATCTCTTGATCTGTTGATCTGTTGATCTGTCTATCTGTCTATTTGTCGATCTGTGGATCTGTCTATCTGTCTGTCTATCTGTCTGTCTATCTGTCTGTCTATCTGTCTGTCTATCTGTCTGTCTATTGTCTATCTGTCTGTTGATCTGTCTATCTGTCTATTTGTCGATCTGTGGATCTGTCTATCTGTCTATCTATCTGTCTACCTGTCTATCTGTCTTTCTGTCTATCTGTCTATCTATCTGTCCATCTGTTGATCTGTTGATCTGTCTATCTGTCTATCTGTCTATTACTGTCGATCTGTCTGTCTATCTGTCTATCTGTCTATTACTGTCGATCTGTCTGTCTATCTGTCTATCTGTTGATCTGTTGATCTCTGTCGATCTGTCTATCTGTCTGTCTATCTGTCTATCTGTTGTTCTGCTGATCTGTCTATCTGTCTATCTGTCTATTTGTCGATCTGTGGATCTGTCTATGTGTTGATCTGTTTATCTGTCTATCTGTCTATCCTCGGCCTATCTGTCTATCTGTCGATTTGTCTATCTATCTGTCTATCTGTTGATCTGCTGATCTGTCCATCTGTCTGTCTATCTATATATCCCTATTCTTTTTTTCTATATCTATCTGTTTATTTGTACACACTTTGGGATTAAATGGTCATTACCGGATTTCAGGCATGAAGAGCCGGGACTCGCAGCTGGAACGCCTGGGTGAGGACGGAGTTCAGCTGTGGAACTGTGGAAATCGGCCGAGATATCACCACAATTGATAGGTATACCCTGTATATACCCTGTATACCCACGAAAATCCACGAGAGATCATGCAACTGGGGAGATTTCCCCATTTTTTTGACATTGTTTTATGGTCCGAATTTCTGGATACCTGAAGAGATGGCCACAAACCAGGTTGTGGGTGAAGGACTTTGCTTTCACCCATCGCTTTCGGGGGATCGGTCGTCCAGGAGTATGCTGCCAACATGTCGCGGAAAAAGGTGAAGGAAGACAAGATGAAGGCACCAACCTGCGCTGGTTTCAGTGAATTTTGGCATCGATCCGCTGCCAGGAACGCAGGCAGTTCCATGAAGAGATCGAGGCAACGAAAAGAACGTTGGTGCATGGAGGGTCTTGAGGTCTTGATTCATGGTGATGTCAAGCTGCAAACCATAGATTTTGGACAGGGCGAGAACGAAAAGATGGAGCAGACTATTCAGCAGACAGCAGCAGCCTTGGACGGTTTGAATCAGTTTGTTTTGATTGCAGGAAAACAGCTAGGCAGGACTGATTTGTTTCTGAAACATTTTGGAAGTCAGAATTTGAGTTTAAAAGGGGATTGCTCAAATTAGTTTGGGAATGCCTATTGATCAGCCCTTTCAAATGTCCTTGACCCCTCAAGAATTGACCAACGGCAATCAGGACCGACAACTGGTTCGCATGCGCATGGACTACATGGACGGGTTGTCGTCTGGTCAGACCATGGATGATTGAGATAAAAAGGTTCAATTTTTGCCCTCAGACAGGACTTCTGTTGAGGTTGACATGTTTTGATCGGTTGAGCCATTCCCAGCCCTTGATATTGCCAGTATCTTATCTATATATCAGAGATGACCAGGATGCAAAGACGTCTTTGACGGGCTTCAAGGATGAGGCTGGATGCCGATTCTATGCCACTTGAGCTGCTTGTGGATGGTCCTCAAACCTGCAAAATGGACAAATCTCGGATTCGGTTTCAGTGAGCTTGGCTGTTGTTCTGTGTTGTGTTCCTTGTTGACCCAGAGGTTTGCCGTGTCCCTTGCAAAGTTTGAGTCAGGTTGAAGTGATGAAGAACCAGCTGAACGCATGCATCTCCGAGAAGATCAAGACGCAGAACGAACATGAGGCCGTTCTGGGCAGCAAACTGGCGATGTCGATAGTGTCGGTTGAAATTCCCGGATGACAGTAACAATGACGGAATTACTGTTTAATGACCGAATTTGGAACCAGTCAATCCATGTCAACTGAACTCCCCCTGAAAAAAGGATTGGAACTACCTATCTATGCCTTCAAGCCGGAGTTCATTTTGAGACAATATCCTGATGAACTCCAGCTTCCAATCAATGCCTGTTTCGCAGGTGGGCGCAAAGCGGCTAGAACAGCGCAAAGAAAAGTGACTTACTGCATGTTTCGGCAGGTGAAGCAGAAGTCTGGTCTGAATATTTTTGACGATTCAGCATATTCAGCATATTCTAAAGCGTGATCTATATTTACATGCACAATTATTTTTGGCATTCCGGTGGTTCTTTCGATCGTGCGGGTGGCTGTTGCCTGCATCGCTGTTATGCCAGGCATGACCAAGCATACAAGAGCTTGGACATGCAGAAGAAGGCTCATTCTGAACATCAGCAGACCCGAAGAGACAAGGAGCAGATGAGCCGCCCAGCAAAGGTCATAGGTTGCGAATTAGGCAATCTGAGAGCAACTCTAGCGGGGCTCGGATGATATGGGGCAACCTCCAAATATGTGGGCTTTGAGCTGTTTTGAGGCGTTTTGAGCCCTCTGGTTTCATATTGCATATACAAAAAAATGCATGACTTTGTAAGCAAGCCGTTCTTGATGGTTTCAAAGTTATTTAGTTCCCATCCGTATTCTGCACGACCCAGTTTACTCATGGATGTGCCGAAGTCACCAGTCGTAAAGCCCAAGGCCAAGACACGGAAAAAGCGAGGCAAGATATGCTGAACAATATGACGCTAAGCTGCAACGGTAGCAATAAAGCAGGTCAGCAGGTCAGAATTTGATCTGACCAACCAACGGCTCTTAGGCAAATCAGTTGGCGTGCCCTGTCTGAGGAAAATGGTCGAAAAAGAAATGAAGGCTGCAAAGGCGGGATATGGGCCTATGGAAGTGGATGACCTGAAATATTTTTCCCGTTGTTTGCCATTTTTGGTGGGTAGATTCCGGTCTTTAATCACTCACATCCCCACTATACATTTTTTGTGATTCATATTCTCCAGGTCCATGGGTAATATCATCATGTGGCCGGCCTTCCAAATGATTCTTGGTCATTTTTTGGCGCGCTTGTGTATGGCCAGAAGTTAGGGGAACCCAAGGCACAAGCAAATGGTTCATTTTGGTAAAGGCCAATTCTGACAGATCACGAAAGCTAACTTCTGCTAGCTGAATTCCCTCTTGCTTTAGCAAGGTATTGGCAGTGGCTGGAGCAGTTTTGCCGTGGCTCAATCCCACTGGGGACATCGCCATGTCGTCGCCGTCAGTATCATCAGCATTACCAGACTTACTCTCCACTTCGTATCTCCCAATTCCTCACACACCGCTCTTTCACCACACCTTCCTCCTCCCTTTACCCTCTCAGCTAGCTTTCGTTCCTTTCCCCTTGGCCTCAAGTACAGTAGCCTTCTTCTGGGACACCTTTCTGCATCCAAATTGATATATTGTGATCCATTTAGGGTAGGCAAAATGTAACCCAAGAGTTTGATATCCTGCCAAAAACATATAGCCACATAGATATTCTTTCGCCCAATTCCGGTCGCAGGAAAGCCACTATAAGGAGAGCCAAGAACTTTATCGACTACGGGCTGAGGAGGCCTTGGGCGCGAGAAGGGATGATTTTAGTACAGGAGTCAATCAACCAGTTCCAAGCGAACGGAGTGACCACTTGGTGGTCAAGGTGTGGGTCCGAATTCCGAATTGGGTCTATTTATATATATATATGTTTGTCCAGAATATGATGTGTGCGTATATATATATATAAATATGTATATACTGTATATACAAATATATATATATATATTTGTATATATAGGTATGTAGGATATAAATAGATATAAGACATATATGGGCTCTGCATCCTCCAATTTTTCGAGGCCACAACCCTTGGAGCCATTAGTGGTGCGCAGCAGGGCGCTCGGTGCTGTTCCAGCTGTTCCAGCTGTTCATCAACGGACCTGGCAGCGATGATTGGTGAGGTCGGCCATCAAAAACTTGCAGCTGCAGATTAGCAAATTGGACCAAGAACGGCAACGTCAGCAGGAGAACGGTTGGTGGAAGTGATCCCCTTGCCATCTTGGGTTGATTTCAATGGATCAAAACTATGAAGAAATAGATGAACATCATGGAAAAACCGATAAAGACCATGGAGAAATCGATGAACAACATGGAACAACCGATGAAAATCATGGAAAATCAATAAGAACCATGGAAAGTCGATGAACCCATCTAGAAATCAAAGGCAAAGCCAAACGCCACCATCCAAAAGCCAAGCCTCCAGACAAAAAAAACACAACAAAAGAAAAAAAACAGATTATATAAATTACCCTCATGGTTTTCATCGTTTCTCCTTTTTCATGGTTTTCATTGTGGATCGATTTTCTAGATGGTGTTCATCGTTTTCTTGATGGTTTCTATCGATTGTTGCATGGGTTTCATCAATTGTTTTGATGGTTTTCATCGATGTTTCTCATAGGTCTTGTCGATGTTTTCATGGTTTTAATCAATTTGTTCGATTCTTTTTATTTAATATAGATTCAAGCTTGCACACCTCTCTAAATACACTACATAACGCATGCATATATAATACATATACATAGATATATTTTGCACACCTTGTATCCCTAAATAATCCCCAAACCAACCCTAAATAACCCTTAAACCAACCCTAAATAAAGCCTGAACCAACCCTAAAGAATTCCTAAACCAACACTATGAATGACAACATCCAATGAACCTATTTGCACCCAACACGGTTGTGCGCCAGTCTGCATTCTACATGTTCACAAACGTGTATGTTGCACAGTATATACACCGTGAGTACCAAATTCAACTTACAGCACTACATATGAGAATAGGTATTGTCATTTTGCTTTGGGCGGAGGCGCTGCGCCTTTCGGCCCTCCCCCGATGCGCGCCCTCCCGCTTTTTCATATTTAGATCCAAGCTTGCACACCTGTAAATAGACTACTCTTCATGTATATCATAACCAACACTATGACAGCATTCCATCAAATTATTTGCACCCAACACGATTGTGCCTCAACCTGCATTCTACATGTTCACAAGGTGCATGTTCCCTTCCCCCAATCCCCCTCTCCCGCTTTCTCATATATATATATACATCTAAACCCAAGCTTGCACACCTGTAAATACACTACTCTACATATAAATATTATTAACTACATACTTTACATACAATTATGTACATGATAGTATAAAACATGGAAAAACAATGAAAACCACGGAAACATCGATGGAGCCCATGGAAGAATCAATAAGAACCATCAAGAAATCGATTAAAACCATCGAGAAAATCGATGAACACCATGGAAAGATCGATAATGGACACATCGATGAAAACCATGGAAACACTCGATGAAGAATCCATGGAAAACATGATGAACAATATGGAAAATTGATGAAAACAATGCAACAATCAATGAACACGATGGACATATGGAGAAATCGATGAACAACATGGAAAAACTGATGCATGGAGAAATTGATGAACATCATGGAACATTCGATGAAAACAATGGAACAACTATGAAAACAATGGAAAAGAAACGATGAAAACGATGGAATAATCGCTGAAAAGATTGACAAATCGATGAACACAATGAAAAAAAGTCGATGAAGACTTCCGCAATCCATGAAAACCATCGAAATCGATGAAATCCATCGAAAAAAAACAATGAAAGCCAACGAAAAATGAAGGACCGCAGCCTGCAGACCCCCCCAAAACATACCCCCCCCAAAAAAATCCCAAATATATTCCGCACCCTTATAATGTCAGCAAGCTTGGATTGGATTGGGGTAGAAAGAACCTTCAGCAACCATGATCTTCCCAAGTGTCTTCAAGATAGGGCCATTGCGCTGAAGAGACTGGCAAGGGGAGGCCAACTGATTGCCGTTGACAAACAGATTTTGGCTGCAGGTCATAATTGACCACCGCGGCTGCCGCGGATGGCAATTTTAAGAAGCAACCTATCCCGTTTTGACCTGGTATTTTCTCATGATATCCGCTATCACCATGATATCCACTAGCCCCATGACATATCCACTAAAATCCCGACGAACGACGGGTTGGTGTCGGATGGCACGTTCGTGCTTGTGAACTTTGGTCCGTTGCCCAGGTGCTCAAAAAATAAGCCTCATGATACATCTACTCGGATGATACTGCTAAAGAAACCTTCATAAACCCTTGGATAGAGATGGATATAGTGGACACCTTTATATCACCTCCCAGAACCATGGGATCTCTCCATAAAGATATTCCTCATGGTCCACTCAAAAGCAACGCCCATGGTTGAGAATTTGAGGAGTTGCTGTATGCCGTGGACTTCCAATCCCAGCTCATGCAGCGCAAGGTGGCAAGGAACAGGAACTATTGGGAACCAAAAGTCATGGGTTTCAAACTTAAATAAATACATATATGTCTATATACTAATATACATATACATGTAATAATATGTATACATATACATATATGTACAGGATATGTAAATATACTCTCCTTGAAAAAATATTTATATACCCATATATATATAATGTTTATATATGCAAATAAATCCATATATATATATATATATACATATACATATCTCAATGGGTTTAAACCACCTAGTTTCTTGGGACAGAGCTGATCAAATATACATATGTATATATATATAAAGATAGGATAGGATAGGCTAGATAGGATCGATAGAATGGATAGAATGGATAGGATAGATAGGAAGATAGATAGATTGGATAGAATGGATAGGATAGATAGGAAGATAGATAGATAGATAGATAGATAGATAGATAGAAAGAAATAATTATAGAATGATATAATGATAGAATTGATAGAATGATAGAATGATAGAATGATAGAATGATAGAATGATAGAATGATAGATAGATAGATAGATAGATAGATAGATAGATAGATAGATAGATAGATAGATACATAGATAGATAGATAGATAGATAGATAGATAGATAGATTGGATAGATAGATAGATAGATAGATAGATAGATCGATAGATTGATAGATCGATCGATAGATAGATAGATAGATAGATCGATAGATCGATAGATCGATAGATCGATAGATAGATCGATAGACAGACAGATAGATAGATAGATAGATAGATAGATAGATACATAGATAGATAATTACCAGTTACCACAAAAAGTGGGGATATAACTCACCAACCAGTAGCGATGATGAAATCTGGAACCTCCAACAGGTGGCTCGCGTGTCTGGTGAGCGCACCATTGAAGAGAAGGAGGAACACAATCGCAAGGCCGAGCGGCCCATGATCCACATGGGCTCGTCTCATGTTAGAGCCTATTGTATACCATGGTTTAAGGTTTGGAACATGTAATATGAAGCCGCATTTTCCCAGTTCCCCATGACCATAAAAACCCAACTAGTGGTGTTTTGAGGTCGAGCAGCTGGATAAGCAGATGGAGGAGCAAAAGAGTCTTCATTCCATCCTCCAAGCACAGATCAAGCGACAGGACGGCCGTTTGTTCCTTCCTGCGATTTGGTAAGGTTGACAGCAAAGATGACATAGAAAAGCATTCAACATAGATATATTTGCTTGTTGAAAATCAAAGGTGGATTTGAGGATGGGTCATGGGGTTCTCAACCTGTTTCTGGAGGGGATTTAAAGCTATAGTTGAGAAATGCTGCTTGACCCATGTGACCTGAGTAACTTGTCAGGATGCCGAGCTGAAAAACTCCCAGAGAAATTTGACCAATGTGAAGAGGGACTGCGAGGCGTGGAGTGGGCTGAAGTGATGCTGGACCTAGAGGAATCTGTCCTTTGGAAAGCCTTTCCGGAATGAAAAAGGCATCACAAATCACTCAACATGTATAGTTCCAGTAGACTCAGTAGACCACTGCATGGAACTGGATCCCTTGCGGGGTCACTGTGAAACCTTCACAAAGCGCTTAAAGCGCATAAATCTTTCTGGATTTCCAGCCGCAAGGCTATGAAGACCACGATGGAAGAATTGGAACTGCAAAACACGATCATGAATCGCATGGGCCTGAGGTAAGAAAGTTAGTTGGCCTCAGGAAGTGAGAAGCTTGCGAAATCGCTGAAATCGCTGTGGTGAAGGAATGAAAGTAATGGAAAAGAGTAGGTCTAGCAGGGCTGATAGCGTGGGTTGATCTGACTTCCTCAAAACCTGCAACAATCAAGAATCAACTTGAGTGTCTGGGATTGACCCATCTGCATCTGTGAGTTCCCCTCCTGCGGGTTAATCTGGCGCCTAAGGTGCAGTCTCCAAAGTGGTCAAGGACAAGGAGGAAGCGCTGATGCAGCATGACATCCTGAAACTGGAGGTGGGAGTCGATTTTCAGTGGATTTTTGCCAGTTTGGCAACTTATATACTTGTATAATGAACTAACAATGAACTATATGGTAATCAACTAACTAATTTTTGGAACTTATATATTTGTAATCAAGTAACTAATAGTGAAGTATATCATAGGTTTTGACCTAGCCCCCAAACGACCTAGCCAGTCACTTCAGGATATGGGATACCCATGGTGGATACTCATGGAATAGTCAGACACCGAAATTGCCAGGTCAAGCGATTGAAGCAGCAGCTGACGCAGAAGACAGAGAACCTGTGCCCTGAACATACCATCACCATTGCGACCACCAATTACCATAATATACACACAAGTATATATATATGTATATATATATATATGTATATATATATATGTATATATATATATGTATATATGTATATGTGTATATATATGTATATATACACGCATATATGCATATCCATATATCCATATATCCATCCATATATCTATATCTATATCTACATCTATATCTATATATTATATATACATATGTAGTACATCTATGAAAATGATAGCGCCAGGTACAGTCTAGAGAATCGGAAGCAGCAGCTTCAAATCAGCATGGAGGACAGTTGACCAGTCTCCGGTTCTGAGTGAACAGAGCTGGGCAGTGCTTTCTTTTTGGCCGACAGAATCCATTCACAAATCATGCTGCGCTTGCTGCGCATGTGCAGGAAAGGGAAAAGGAGATCGAGGTCCACACCGAGGCCAACAAGTTTCGACCAGAAACTTCTGACAAAGTACGACAGTTGGCTTGGAAATTCATAGCTGGAGAACATCACTGGTTGATGCTTGAAAGTTGGATCATCTACATTTCTGGGAGAGTTTTCACCGGTGTTTGTGAGGTGCTGCGAGCACAGATCAGAGCAGCGGAAGAGGAAAAGCACAAGGCCAGCCATCTCTTCGAAGCGGCCGATGGCTGTATTCCACCGAGGGTTGAAACATGTCTTACTCTTGATGCTTGTTCTTGGTATGTTCTTGTTCATGGTGGCGATTGTTATATATATATATATGTGTGTATATATATATTGGTTTGGCTGTGGGTTGTCAGGGGCTGGTAAATGTCCCACATTGGGGGTTTCAAGTATTTGTTCAAATGGGATTGTTTGAACATTACGGGTATTTGGAGTAAGCCCACCAAAACACATGCTTTATCACCATTTTCTCAATACAATTGCAATTTTGGGGTGTTCAGAAAACAGCATCCCTTTGAGACAACCCCTGGTGGCTGTCCACCCCATTGTCGTAGGCAGCCATAGAGCTGGCTGAGCGGAAGCAGAAGATCTTCACGCTGTCCGGAGCTGAGATGGATGAACGATACCAGAGGTGGACGAGCACCCAGCTACCAAGACACTCAAAGTGGATTTTTACGTACCCAAAATAATGGGGTAAAATTCACATTCTTATGGGTAAACGGAGTATCTGTAGTTTTTGGCGGTGGGACAAAGACTTAGGAATGATCCTTGAGACGCTTGCTCTGATGTTTAACCTGTTGTGTCACTTGGACGGATGCCAAGGAAAAGCAAGTACGACAATGTGATGTGCAAGGCTGGAGCTGCAGCTAGAGCAACTGTTGCGTCCAGTTCTGGTGAAGATTTGAAGCCAGGTGAAGAAGGAAGATGGCGAGGAACAGAAAAGCCAAGCTCATTACATGATCAAGGCCTAATGGGCCGAGGCTGTAATTGTAGTCCGGTATAATGAGATAAACTCAGGGAAACCTAGAAATGGCCAGCTCGAAAAAAAATCTACTACGCAGTGCCAACATGCAGAGGGCTTTCATCATTAGATCCAGATATTGTCCGTAGTCTACCATACTTGGTATCGATTTGATGCTGCTGTGGATGTGTTGGTGAGCGGCTTCAGAGCCTTGTCCAGGCACCTCCCCACTGTTTGCCATGCTGACCATCCATGTTTGCATCTTCGGTGGATGTTTCTTAGTCTGACTTTTGTAAAAGGGTGACGTATGTCCCAAACTTGAGATTCCCCCCACACATGACCAAAACGCAGCAAACATAATTAAACATAATCAAACATATTCCCCAAGATAGATCCTTTTTTTTCACAATTCCAGCTTTGAAATCACCCGTCTTTTAAAGGGGCTCCTCAGCGACAAACGGAGCCTTTGCTGCTGCGTCCAGGCAGCGCAAGAAAAGGAGGAGCTGCAACGAAAAGGCGACGAGCTGGATGACAAGATCCGGCGAGCAGAAAAGGTGGGGAGGGGTTTCTGTAAGGACCATGGAGAATTTTAAAAGTGTAAAGGGGAATGAACTATTGATAGCCTATTGATAACGATGGATATGTGATATATAACTATTCATGAAAATAGATCGTTCCAGGGTGCATGACCAACATGATGCCATCTGCAAGACCTTAGCAAATAGTGGGATATGAAGAATTTTCGTCGGATACATCCCTCAAAACTATTCATAGCTATTGAGAACTGTTGATAACTATTGACTGCATTGAATTTGTAAGTAGGAAATGATGCCATCAAGCGGGAGTTGAAGACGAGTCAATGAACAAGGACCTCTATATCTATGATATATATATATATAGCTATCTACCTAGCTTCTAGTACTTTTATTTGTGTATACTGTATACACATTTTATACACTTTGTTCTCAGATGACGACGTCCTTCGTCCCGATTGAGGAGATTCGGTCACTGGAAAACACCCTGGTGGTGGCCTAAGCAGTGTAGGTCCCCAATCAGCGCTGTGTCGGAAAGCAGGGGTTGCAAACGGATTGCAAACGCATACCAACAATGTCCCCAAGCCTGAAAGGAAAATTAGCCATTGCTTCTGATGTATTAGGATTCGGTGAAAAAAGTAGGTCTGAATGGCTCTATGCGGCTAAAGGTGTTCTAGAGCCCCTTTGCCGTTTGTCATCTTCAATGACACACCGAGGGGCATCTGGTCCAGCGGAACCAGAAGTTCAAAGAGAATCTGCAGACCACCAATTTGCAGAATCAAAGTGAGATTGAGGCAGGATTTGCAAACTTTGCAAGCTCCAAAGGATGCCAAAGTCCATGTGAGCCTTGGTTTCGCCTTCGTTTCCAGGTCGGCTGGTGATTTGATTAATTCTGCCAGGAAAAGCAGACCTTGGAGGAGCAGTCGCGTGCAGCCAACGAGGTCTTGTTCAAGAAAAAGAAGGCATCGGAAGTGCCGAGACACCGGTGAAAGTGCACAGCGATGGACTTCTGGCAGGTGCTTTCCCAGATTGAGCAGGAGGCCATCCCTTTGGGTCCGCATTAGAAGCGTCCAATGTTCAACTTTCATCGTGAAATTGGGTTATGCAAAGTATTGCTGTAACTTTTGTTTTGATATTATTGTTTTTTGTTTGTGATTATCATCTGATATCATCTGTATATATATATATATATACATGATTATATATATATCTATATATGATTATATAATTATATATGATTATATAATTATATATGATGATATAATTATATATAGATACAACTATATAGACATACATAATTATATATGTATACAACTATATACTTATGTATATAAAATAATATATTATATGTAAATCATTAGATACATGATGATCGCACATGGGCATTCCCATCAACCAGTCCTTGGGTCCTTTTTTATGTAAGGCTCAAGAGGACGTGCAGCGCTATGAGGACGGTTTCCAGACACCAGGGGTTTCCATAGTCATGGGGATACCCCAAAAATTGCTGGATGGATGACGAGTGTACTTGGGGTACCCCCATTTTGTTGAAGGATTTGATTGGATTTTCCATTTTGTTGAAGGTTTGTTGAAGGATTTTCCATGATCCATTTTGAGTCATTTCATGGAGAATCCTTCAGCAATGGATGACTGGGTTAGTAACTCCTACTTGGGAAACCTCCATTTCTCCTCTGGATAATCGCTCAGAGTCCCTGCAGTCCGAAGTCATGGAGGTTTGGTCTGATGCTATCCCGGCCATCACGGCCATCACATGTTCAGATCTTGGGCCCCACCGACTGCGATTGGCTGTTCGCAGCCCCAAGGGTGTTGAGTTGAGGAGCTTCAGCGCTCCATGCAGCAGCTAGAGGACTGCCCAAGATGATGGGCCACATATCACCTGGGTAAGATGAATTGGATTAGGTGAAGGATTGTGAAACTTGCTGGACATAATTGGGGAACTTTTTTTAAAGTTTTTCAATTTCTCAGATTCAGCATTCAGGGAGAGTGATTCTTACTCACCGTGCAACTGGGACCACCTGGGGGAACTCCTGGCAGGTTCAGGTCAATGAGCTCACTGCGGCTCGCGATGCCATTGGGCCCAGTTTCCAACAACATGCTTTTTGAGCCCAATATCGCAATGTAGCATTATATATACTGTGTAAAGACATATTATATATATATATATCGATCTGGTAGTAGGGGTTTAGCAGGAGGATCCCGTACCCAAACCAGATCTCCCAATGCACACGCTAAGTTGCAGTTGGGTGTCACGTTGTTGTCCTTTTCCACGTTCGCATCCAAGCGGTTGTACCGCCAGTAGCCTTGCTATGCTCCAAGGGCGCCCTGTGAGCCCGGGCATCGGGTGAGAAGGCTGTTGCACATGTATGCAACATGAAGACATGAAAACCCTCATGCATGCGACAGCTGGCATCGACACAGGCCCAAAAGAGAAAAATTCCCAAGGTGTGAGAAGAGGCCCAAAAGTGTCATCTGTACCTGCACAGCTATCCGTTGCTACGGCCAGAGCTGGAACTCAAAATTGTTCCAACAGGCAAATCTGGCACTGAACTCATTACCACCCTCAGAGGTTGTAGTTCACCTTCCACGACCCGTACGGTCGTCAGTTGAGCTCGCAGGGCACGTGCTTCGTCTCGCAGCTCTGGGCACATGGCACCACAGGGAACACCCAGGAGAAGACTGTCGTCCAAAATTTGGATCAATTCCTCTCTCTGCTGGCGGCTGATGCCATTCCATTCCTCAGGTGCTATTGGTACCTGAGCTGCGGTCTCTTCACCGGCCATCAGTCTGTCGATCTCGGACTGGGGCAAGTGGTCCTCGATGGACGGAGGCAACTCAGCGATGAAGTCTCGCTGGATCTGCTCCACCTTGTCATCGGGCCAAACCTCGTAGCCCTCGCCCAGCAGGAAAGAGATCTCAGCTGCCGTGAAGCGTTGGCAGTCAGTCACCGCTCTGGTTCGCGGTGTCGGCGGTGCCTGTGTTTCTCCCTCAGCAGTCTCCGTTGGCTCAGTTGCAGCCATAAGACCATGGACTTCTCGGCGTCCGGCACGCTTGCCCAGGGTATACGCAAACACCAAGGCAAATGCCAGGAAAAAGAAAAACCCGATGATCTTGTCGAAGCTGAGGAAGATCACAAACCCATACTCAAGAGCGGCCACGGGCACAATCTCATTTGCAAGAGTCATGCACCAAATCACTCCGGTGCTCTTGGCTGAGCTTGTTTTGCTCTGCTTGTGCTTTGCGGCGTGGTAGTGGCGCTTCGAACAGAAACGCTTGCCATCTTCAGCTGCCAAACCACAGCCGTCCAGGAGGCAGATGTTGCACTCCATCTTTTCTTCTGACTCCATCTCTTCGATCTTGTAGATGCCATCCTTCACCATTTGTTGTTTTCGGAACTCCTGAGCAGCTTGATCAAGTGAATCTTGCTCGTCCTGGCGAACGTTCTGCTTGACCTTCTTTGAAGCTGTTCCCTCAGGATCATATCTCAGACAGTGCATGCGGCGTCGAAGCTCCATTGCAAGCTTTTGCCGTGCTGACACCTTTGTGACCCCATCAGCCAACTGCTGATGACTGTTGCACCACTTGAGCACTCCTCCAGCTGCAGTCATGCGCTCGCATGCCATCTTGATCTCGATTGCAGTTCTTTTCTCAGCAAGTTTCATCCCAGGGGCCTTGCTGTTGCTGGCATCAAAGAGAGCTCTGGCATCAGTGATGCAAGGTGAGTCGCCCAACCAGCGCATCATCTCTTCATTGTCTGGTCGAAGAGCTGGCCAGATCATCAGGGCAAACACCGTTTTGGTCCACTCCAGGCTGTCGATTGCAGCTGCCAAAGTTTGAGCTTCTGCACTGAGCGAGCTTCGGCACACTCGGGTCAGCTTCCGTGAAGACCAGTCGATCACGGTGAGGGGGAAAGGCTTGCTGCCACCGATCTCAGCCTCAGTCGCGACGAAGGTGATCCAGCCACCTTGTGAACTCCCGTCTGGTCTTGTGCACCAGGACGCGTCACTGTAGATCCCAAACCGGATCTCTTCCAAACGTCCGTGACCTCTGAGGACCAAGTGCACGTCTGAGCTTTCTTTGGCATACCTCAACGTTTTGTTTGCTTCCAGCAACTCAGAAACAGTTGCGCTGGCAGAAGCGGCCTGAGCCAGGGACACAGACGCTGCCAGGTGTGGTTGCGTTTGGTTGGCGGGCCAGGCTAGCCCACCCAGCAAACCTCTCAACTGGCTCTGCTCTTTCGGAGTGGCCTTTTCGTTGGGTTGTGCTTTTCTGGCCTTCTCGATGTTGAGGGGCTTGAGCTGGTGGATGTACTTCTGCAGGTCAAAAGTGACTGTGGCAGAGTCCAGGGCTTGCGTCATTTGACATCCACAAAACGTTTGCTTGTCGCCATAATCGACGCTGCCAAACTTGAAGCGATGCAGGAGGACATGCAGTCTCTCTGCATAGCAAGTCGGCTCACCATGGGGCTCCCGTGCGTCTTCTTTGCAGCGCACACCCTCTCCTGCAGTCAAGATGTCATCCACATGGATGCAGAAGACACCGTCCACCACATAGTTGTTGCCCTCGTGCTCGAACACCTCAAAAGGAGGGTCACCATCCACTGCCAGTCTGACTGACATGTAGATGCAGCCATCGAGCTCGTGCTTCCACAGCTTGACCTCGTGGATCAACGCACGATCGGCCGTTTCGTTCCACTGTCTGGGTGCTCTGACATCTCCAAAGGCCGGCTTCGTCATCTGCATCACCTGATGTTCTTGAAGTCCCATCATCTCAGCCAACAAGCGTCTCATGTCAGCTGAGGGCTCACCATAGATCTCCACCTCCTCGGTGATGTAGTCCGACTGCAAAAATGCAGACTTCACATCCATGGTGGCAAGCTTCCATCTCTTGACGCAAGACAGCGTCACCATCAGGTACTTGCCAAGTCTCGACACTGTGGGTGACTCGGTGTCAAGCTTGCTTTCGATGACATCCTTGTGCTTGAAGCCTTGGAGAATGACTCGAGCATGTGGTTTGTTCTCTTTGTAGCGCAAGAGAAACCTCATCGGCACGATGGTTCCAGGAGGGCAGGCTGTCCTCTTGAAGGGCCTCCAAGCATCGTTCTCGTGCCATGGGACCAGGGCCTTGCGCTTTGCCTCTGTGAAGGCTCTTTTCTCATCGGCAGACAACCGACTCTCCACGACCGCCATCATGACCTCATCCTCAGGGACCTCCACCATGCGCACTTCCTCAGTTCGAGGTTGCTTGGTTTTCGGTTGACCATCGTCAGCTCGGGGAGGCACCAGATTTGCAGCAGGTCGTGATGCTTGTGCGGCAGCATTCGCAGGCAGTTGTCGTCCGGAAGGAGGCAGTCCATCCAGTCGTCGATAGTTCTCGTGGGAGAGGAAACTGGCAGCACGTACTGCTTGTTCATAGAAACGTCTGTCACGGGCTCGAACGCTCACATCATCGGGGTTCACAGGTGGTTCATCATCTTGCCTGTCGATCACCCCATGCGAGGAGTCCATGATGCCCGGATGTTCTTCTTCCAGCTTCCGTTTCATTTCCTTCTGGATGTCGGTCATGCCTTGAGTGTGGTCATCCAGGTTCTTGTCCTTGTTGGCCACCATCTCATCCAAGAGAGTCTTGTCAGTGGTCTTGGATTCAGATTCGGTTTTCTCACTGTCGGGGTAGTCGACCCAAAAGTCGATTCGGGGTTCAGGCAGCTTGGCCTTCGGCCGAGCTTTGGACTTGTCGGCAGGTTTGCCGGGAGTGTCAGGTTCTGCAGTTGCAGTTTTCGATTTCGATTTGTCATCAGTTTTCGGTGGGTCAGGAGGTTCATGTGGTTCATGTGGAGGGGCATCACCAGGTGCGACAGCGGCTGCTCCAGTCCCCCCAAGCTGAGGAAAATCGTCAGGAGATTGAGCCTTGCCAGCAATGTCAATGGCCCTCACTGGACCACGCACTGGCTTGAGAGCTTCCAAAAGTCGTTGTTGCAAAGGTTTCTGCACGCTCTCAAGGTAGGCAGGCTTGCTCTGACGCTCGTAGCGCTCAGGGACAGTCTCAAAGCGTAGCTGCTGTCGTGTTGCTCGCACCAGTGAGCTTCCATGGACGATCCAGTAGATCATGGTCTTTCGGTCGATTGAGGCTTCCACGGACACCACCATCGCGGGTCCACGCCACCTGAAAGGGTCGAGCTTGTGGGTTTGCGGCTTCCAGTAGTAGACATAGTCTCCCACAAAGAGCTCGTCCTCGTCCACACGTGATCGAGCCAAAGCGGCTGATCGAACCGCCAAGTCAAAGTTGGCAGAGTGGAAGGCCTGTGCAGCCTTCTGTTTGACTTCCATGACCTGCGCCAAGTCAGCAGAGTCACCAAATTGTTCGGGTCCAGGGTCATCAGCATTGCCTCCTTCGGAGGGAACGTAGCCAAATGCCAAAGTGGCAGGCGTGGCACCTTTCACCGAAGACAAACGGTTTCTCTGATGGCAGGTCACCAAGATGGCTTGTTCAAAGTCCAGCTCGGGCATGTCTTTGTGGAAGATCTCCAGCATGCGTCGTCGGACTGCATGATTCCGTTCAAGGATTCCAAGCCTGTGATGAGCACCTCGTGGGATCAGGTCCATGTACATTCCATGGGCAGATGCCCAATCGGCAAATTGTTGCCCTTGATGAGGACCAGAGGCATCCAGTCGCAAAACCTTTGGGAACCCAAAAGATCGGCTCCAAGTTGACTCGAAGAGAGCTATCTCCATGTCGGCCGTCTCTTCTTTGATCTCCATGTCAACTTCATAGCGACTGAACTCATCCATGATGGTGAAGACCGCACGCTGTTTGCCGTCCCATTCCACGTAGAAGGTGTCGATGGCCACGGAGTGATTGAAGTGTGGGGATTTGTGCAAAGTCGCCACACGCACATTCTTGGGCTGTGCCCTGGCCAAACAGGTCGGACACTTGTACCTCCGGGCCACCTGGACAAATTCATTGGGAAGGTGTCGTGCCTTCACCGCCAGAACCAGCTTGGCTCCATTTGGATGTCCAAGTTGTCGATGGAGATTGGCCACCGACTTCAGGATCTCATGGCCACCGATCTTGATGAGCTCTTTGTTCTGTTCCAGGTACTGCATCTCTTCAGTCGATTTCTCGACGACCTCCATAGTCATCAATTCAGCTTGTCCCCGTTTCTTCCATGCCATCTCCATTGCAGAGTAGATGGCGTTGCCAAGACGTTGGCAAAGTTCAGGCTCGTAGTTCTGCATCTTCTTGAGGACAGAGCCGCGTCCCATCATTTGGACATGAGCTCCTCGGGGGCATTCACAACGCAAGTTCACAGCCTCGCAGACCTTTCTTGAGCTTGATCGAAACCTTGTGGGCTTTCTCACATACATCTCGTCCTCAGGACTTGCCTTCAGCTTTGTGCGGCAGCGATCCAGGACTGTTTCAAAGTAGCCCTTCATGGAGTCCAAAGTTGGGGTTTCGAATGAAGCTGCGTCTGCAGGGTTCTCAAAAGTTGTGTCATAGACCAGGCGCTTGCCGTCGATGTGGATGTCCTTGTAAAAGGTCAAGTGGGTCTCTTCTTCCAAGACCCTCAGATCTCTGAGCAATTCCCGTCTCTCTGGTGTTCTGTAGTTCAAATTCTGCATTGGTGACCAGAGACGACATTCAGGAGTCACCATGATGTGATGAGGTTCTTCTTGCTCAACAAGACGTCGAAAAGCGGCTTGTTGCTCTTTCATCTCAAAGTTCCAAGTTGGCAGAGAAAACTGCCGGACCTCCACATCATGATATGCTCGTTGCAGGTACTTGCTCAGGTTCCCTTCATCCACATAGACTTCCCAAAACTTGAGCTTGCGCTCGTGCTGTTGGCTTTTCATGCTTGCAGCGAAGACAAACTCCTCCGCTTCTTTTTCTGACACCTCGACGTCAAGATCGGCCTCAAAGTCAGAGACCTCATCGGTGATCATTGAATCCACGAAGGTCTCCACAGAAACGTCGATGTTGTCCAGCTCTGCAAAGCTCAAGACGTCCTCAAGGTCGTCAAAGATGTTGATCATGTAGTGCCCGTTGGTTGTGAACGCTGGCTTCACCTGCACGTCACCGATCATCACAGTTTTTCTTCCATAGTCCACCACCGTCTGCCAAGATTCAAGATCTGGGCGTGCCAAAAGCAAAGGTGTGTGTCCTGGAAGGACGTGCGCAATGAGTTGTCGCCAGGTCTTGCCAACGCAGACAGGGATCATCGCTCTGAAAAGCGATCTCACCATGGCACCATCTCCAAACCTGAAATCCTTTGTTTCCTTGTCGATGTCAGGCTCCATGTTCCTCAAGCTGAGGTAATCCAAGATCTTGTTCCAGCTGGCTTCACCACAAACTGTGCGAGTAGCTCCACTGTCCATGATAGCCCAACCAACAGCTTGGCTGACAAAATTGATGCTCTCATGGGTGGTGTAGTCAACAGGGATCTGATTCACCTCGCTGACGAAGTTGTCCTCCACCATGGTGACTTCATCAGGGACTTCCTTGATGCCATTGGCTGGAAGCCTGTAGCGCTTGAATCTTGGGCCATGCTGAGACGTGCTTCCACTGGTTGTGGACTTTGCAGATGCCGTTGTCGAAGCAGTCGATGTAGATTCACCTGCACGCCGACGTCCAAAAACGTATCGTCGTGCACCAGGCAAAGGGTGTCCTTTTCCGGCAGATTTGCCTTTTCCTCCGCTGCTCTTTCCACGGCCTTTTCCTTTTGACTTGCCCTTTCCACCAGAGGCTTTTCCACGCCCCTTGAACGCACCACCATTGTCATCCATGCCGATGGCAACCACAGGGTAAAAACCTCGGCTGAGAGCGAGTTCCCGCATTTTCTTTCTAGAGTCCAAGTAGTTGATGAATGCATCCTCCACTGCAAGTGAGGCTTCATCAAGCTCCTGCGGGATGTCCTCGTCAGCTTCACCTGTGTATTCCACCTCATCAATGGTGTCGTCATAGTCAGGGTCATAGCCATAGGTGTAGGCGTCATCATCCTGGTAGTAGACATCGTCAAAGCCATAGTCCTCAAGGTCATCATACTCGGCATCCATGTAGTGAATCTCACCTTTGAGGATGGAGTCCTTGGCGTTCGGCTTGCTGTCACCGCCAAACATTCGGATCAAAGCTTTGGAGACTCGGTCAACTGACATGTCTCCGTTGCACATCGCTTTGACCTGGACGTGGGTCCACCGCGGCACTCCAGACCTTTGCAAAAGATGCCAACCAGCAAGAAGGGGTGGTATGTCCACCTGGAGCTCTTTCAGCTTTCGAAGCATCGACTGATGCCTCACCAAGTAGGCTTGTAGCTCTTCACCTCGTTCTCGGGCAAACTTCTCAAAGAACTCTTGGCATCGTTCAGGGAGTTCTACTTCTTCTTCATGTTGAAAAAGTTTGTCCAAAACGACCAGCAAGGGTTTGAAGGGATCATCACTCAGCTCCATGTCATCGTAGTCCAATCCCTCTGTGGCTTCCCATGCTACGTCTTGTAGTTGTGAAAGAACTAGATAAGCTCCTTCAAGAGCTACTCCTTGACCTCGTCTTCTACATTGTCGGCTGAACAGGTCAAGTCTCCTTCTGAAAGACCTGTACGTGGACTGTGTCAGTCCAGCAGCAGACGGTGCTGCTTTGGCCAAACCTGAGTCCAAACCACGAGTGAACTCGTTTTGACCACCTTGTGCTCCATTTGCTGTCGCTCCACCATTCTGAGGGCCAGTCGTAGCACCAGCAGGTCCACCTGGTACTGCAGCTCCTCCAGAGTTGTTGGCACCGTCTGATGCTTGTCCACCCACCATCGTTGCCACCGAAGTCCAAGGCAAGGGTGATGAACAAGTTCAGGCCGAAGTACCTGCGGTAGCCCAGATTGGGCTCCGCTACCAATATCGATCTGGTAGTAGGGCTTTAGCAAGAGGATCCCGTACCCAAACCAGATCTCCCAAGGCACACGCTAAGTTGCAGTTGGGTGTCACGTTGTTGTCCTTTTCCACGTTCGCATCCAAGCGGTTGTACCGCCAGTAGCCTTGCTATGCTCCAAGGGCGCCCTGTGAGCCCGGGCATCGGGTGAGAAGGCTGTTGCACATGTATGCAACATGAAGACATGAAAACCCTCATGCATGCGACAGCTGGCATCGACAATATATATATATATATATTGCAGCAATATATCTGAAAATGATGCTCAATGTGTAACCTTGATCCCCAACATTTTCGAACTCCACCTTCGCTCCACGTGGTGCAGCTCCACACAAGCGAGTGTTCTACCCGCAGTAGGAAAATCTAATGTTTTTTTGCTCTTTCCGCAGTGAAATGCTGGGTTTTTGACCACAGCTTTTGCGAACCCCGCCATATCATCACTACTCTGAGGTGCTTCGTCAAGATGTGGATGCTCAAACATCCAAAGCACAGCGCGCCGAGCAGGCCAGGACATCTTCCACATTTTGTCTTTATAACTGGAGGATCTAAAGTATATGGAGAGTATGTAAAAAGTCATGGTCAATCTTGCCGCAATGCCGTTTCACTTTCAGAAAGGAATCGAAAAGGCAGGGTGAAGTGACATGCCGCCATGCCCGTACAGTTTGATCCAGGTAGAACTGTCTTTTTCAGACAGAACAAGCATGGTTTGTTACGTGTACATCGCACAGCCGAGCCTAGGCAGTGGAGACAGCTCGTGCCAGGGCCATTCAGGCCTTCCGAAGCTTCCCATCCCAAAGCTGTTCAGCAATGGCAGCAATGGCAGCAATGGTAAAGTGTCATAAACCAGCCATGGATTGAAAAATGGTCGGGGATGGTCCGATGGTCCCCTCCGGTCCCCCGCCAGAGTTACCTTTGGGCCCTCGAGGCCGGTGTGGATCTGGCGCCTGAAGCTCCTCCTGCAGTGGATCTTCAGGTCAGGGCACGGGTTCAAATGTCCACATTGGCATTGTGAAAGGCTCCAATTTGGGGTCATAAGCCTGTTAATAAGCTATTTTTACCAGATTGGACCACTCTTGTTTCAAGATGTTTCAAGCAGTGCCAAAGCCTGAGCCGTTGTTTCTGCTTTCTGCTTGCAGGCGCGAGGAGTGCGTGAGCAGAACCAAAGCATGCTCTTTGCCTTGAGCAATGCACTTCAAGACTACACAGAGGCGCTGCGCGGCGCTGCGCAACGCTGCTGGGTCGAGTGTCGAGCGATGTCGAGCAACAGGGAAACCATGGCAGATGTGTCTGAAAGTTGTAGATACCCATAGATATGGCCGTTGAATCATCAGGAAAATATGAGGTTTCAGACCATGGATTTTGGGGGTTCACGTTTTGAGACAGCACCATGTCATAGGAGTTTGTTAAACAAAATTGACTCACCTCGAATTGTGATAGTTGTAGATAGTTTCAGGTAACTTTCATTTCTCACCACTAAGCACCAACAGGACATTTTCACGGCGTCCAACTAAACAAACAAACAGACACACACACACACTAACTTAGCTAGTATGGACGTATTGATGAGCATCTCAAGCTCCACATCCACCGCTGAAGAGAAAAACCACTGCCATGCTGCAATAAGGGTTCTTTCAAAGTTCTTGCCATTTCTTTCCAAGGTCCCACCGATGGTTATTTCGTGTTGCATAGGATGTGTTGCCTCTCTTCGAGAATCTTTGCCAAGAGCGTGGAGTGGCCCTGCCTTCTCGCCCGAACGGGAGCCCAGTCATCGTGGGGAGAGGGCAAACAAATGGAGACCAAGGGGACCACAGATTTAGTGCAATTTTGGTAGACTTTTTTGAAAAAGCCGCAGTGTGACCCAGACCCAAAGCCGCCCTGCTTCTCTCATACTTGTGAGATGCCCTTATGTCATACTTTATGTCATTCCACCTGCCAGGTGAGGGTCTCTAGATTTTATCAGAGTTACTTCTTCCTCCTTCCCTTCCCTTCCCTTCCCTTCCCTTCCCTTCCCTTCCCTTCCCCTCCGTCCTTCCCTCCGTCCTTCCTTCCTTCCTTCCTTCCTTCCTTCTTCCTCCTCCTCCTCGCAACTGCTCCAGAGCTCAGTGGGCATTGCCGGACCTCAACCGCGAGCTCCAGATCTCAGTGGGCACTTCCGGACCTCAGCCAGATGCCACAGAGAATGTCAAATAGAATGCCAGGAAGACTGCCAGAACAGATGCCAGGTAGAATGTCAGAAAGAATGTCAGAGAGAATGTCAGGCTAGATGCCAGAGAGAATGCCAGAATGAATGCCTGAAAAGATGCCAGATAGAATGTCAGAATAGATGCCAGGTAGAATGCCAGAAAGAATGTCAGAATATATGCCAGAGAGTATGTCAGACTAGATACCAGATAGAATGTCAGATAGAATGTCAAAGTATATGCTAGACAGAATGTCAGATAGAATGTCAGAATTCATATGCCGTATGTATATTTCCAGATGGTATGTCAGAAACTAGGCCAGAATAGTGTTTCAGGGTGGGGATCACCCGAAGCTGCGCGTTTTCATGATATGCCGGTCGAATGGTGAGGCCTTCAGCGATGTCTCGGCCTGGTAGCCGTGGGGCCTGAAGGCGGGACAGGCCGCAGTGACAGTCTCACCTTGGCTGGTGGCCAAAGGCCGCACCAGCGTGGGACAGTTCCCGTAATCGACCATGGGTCTAGATGGAATATATGGGTTATATATATATGGGTTATATAAGTTATCCATGGATTATAAACCACGGAGCCTAAGTGGGATGCACATCATTGAGTAGGGCCCCAGAGTTAATTTTGCTGGCTCACATTGCACTGCGCTACGCCATATTTTTGAAAGATGCGGAATAGTTGCAACAATATTTCACCGTTTATACATAGTGTTTCACAATCAAACAGCGAAGCAGCTGTGAATTCAGTCTCTGTAGAAGGGGCTATTGGCATGGACAAAAGATACGAATGGATGAATGGGGTACAAACACGGAAGAGCCATTATTTATCATGCATAGAAGGGATGCAATGCCGCAGGACGAATCACGACAGTCACGGCCATGGCTAGCCCCTGTGTTGAAAGCTCTTACTCCGCCGTGCAGTTTCTGCTCAAAGAGGTGCAAGATGGAAAGACGTGTCAGACGTTAGCAATCCTTCCTGAGCGAACAAGGACAAAATAAGGGCACTTATGGTAGTTATTTTTGTTGTCAATCCAAGCCTACCCTGTAGCGTGGACTATTCCACACGGGCCATTTTCTTGACCGTTCACAAGCACCGGACAGGTTTGTATTGTATTAAAGTCATGTTTCCATTGTGAGAACGATGAGGTTGAAACCGTTTGAGCTTGATCCCACATCATTCAGCACGCCCACAGAGGATGAGCAAGACCATTCCACACGTTTTCTGGCAGTTTCTGAGATGTCTCGCATCACCTCCGGTCTTGTGGACGACTCAGGACATGTGGTCACGCGAGCATGGGATGATGATGATGATGATGATCATGATGATGATGATGATATGATGATTATGAGTTTTTTTTTCCGCAGCTTCTTTTGCTCCAGACTGGGAGGACACGTGTTCAACAGTGAGCTTGAGGAACTGCGGGACTTATTCCTGCTCCTTGCAGAACGAGAGAGAACTCCCCAATTCCAAATCTCAACTGTTTACCTCGAATAATCGTATAAAGCCAATCAGATTGCTTAGAGAGAAAGCTGAAATCAACTGCCAGTTGAAATCATATGGGACTGCAATGGGCACCATTGAGTGAGCTCCAAATCAAAATGCCTTGCCACAAACATGGAATGGAAATCCACCCAAATTCCCACTCAACTCGAATTGCAAACCAGAGTTTAAGATCAGATGGCTAGGCTAGGAGCTTACGAATCCGGTTCACGAATCCGGTTCAAACATGTTCAAACAATTTCAAATAGAAATCCTCAAGTCTCAAGACTTCAGCTATTTAAATTTTGGGGTTCCCAGGGCGCAGCCTTGGGTTTGTGGATGCTGAGTGCTCCCATTGCTCTGCCTGTTGCAAGCGCATCCCATTGGGCGGATTTCCAGAGATCGCAGCGACACCAGGTGAGGTTGAGCTCTCTAAGGGTTCCCACGGGGAATGGGCTTTGTCAAACAATTTGGATCGCAAACTGGCTGGTCTTGACCCTTGAGGCCCTTGAAGTACCCAAGTCTTGGACCCAACTTTGCCCAAGAAGTTGTGCTGTGATGTTTCGCAGGGTGGAAAGACACGTGCCCGGACCGGCACTGCTGGATTCGTGGGGGTTATCGGCTACTTGAAGCATAGCGCCGGTCGAGTGGCTGAGAAGGCAGGTAACTTGGTGGCAGATGGTGGCAGGTCATTTGGATTTCGGAGATCTCCGTGGAATTCTCGGCTGCCTTTCTGTCATCTACATTCATCTACCAACATTGGACAGAAGGGCTTGTGTGTCAGCTGGCGGTGCAGTTCTGTCTGAGGACATACTACAATGGCTTGCTCTGGAGATTGGCCAGATGCTTAGTGCAGATTGTCCAATCTTGAAATGTCTTGAGATTGCACCTTTCACTGCCTTTAGAGATCGATAAAGAGATGAAGAGATGATGTAGAACACAAGCCCCTGCCAGAGGACTTAAAAGTTCTTTTTGCTGGGATTCGACATACACATGAATTAGATCGATCAACAAAGAAATATCATGGATAGAGCCCAAAACAAGAAGCTGATGTGATCAGTGATGATCCATAATTCCCAGTATGAAATCCTTGGATATCTTGGATCCATGATTTTTCCCGATGTTTTCTTTTGGTTTTCCCATGGGTTTTCCATGGTTTCCAATGGTTTTCCCATGTTTTTTTCCATGGTTTTCCCGTACATTTTCCCAACCAAACCACCACCGCCCGAGGCATTCCGTAGTCCAACCACTGGCACTGCCCCCGTTGCTGCTGGGCTCCGGCAGTGCGGTGAGACGGCAGATTCTGGAGGCGGCAGGCCAGGAGCTATGGGGAGCCATGGGGATCTATAACAAGCTATAGGACGTGTATATATATATATATGTATATATATATGATATAATATGATATAATATAATATGATATGATATAATATGATATGATATAATATAATATGATATGATATAATATGATATGATATAATATAATATGATATGATATAATATAATATGATATGATATAATATAATATGATATGATATAATATAATATAGTATAATATAATATAATATAATAATATAATAATATATATATATATATTACCGTATATGTATATATATATACACTGTATAATGTGGGTAAAACAATAATAAACCATCCTCCACATCACCATAAATAGGTGGTATCAACTATTCCCAAATGAATTGTTTATTATTGTATTACTGTACCCATATTATACATATATTGTTTTACTGTAACCATATTATACATTTTACTGTACCCATATTATACATATATATAAATAATGTATGTATATTAATCGCAATATATATATATATGTATATATATATATATGTATACATACATACACAATGTATAGATATATTTCTATACTTATGGTATATATATATAGAGGCTCATCCATTTCAAAGTGGATGTCTTCCAAATAGGAACTGGGTGTCCAAATTTGAGCTTGAAGAAAGAAATGAAGCCGCCTTTTTTGAATGATTCATTAGGTCCCCTGCTAAAAAACGTAAGGCCAATAGATGGTCCAGACAACAAATTAAGTTCTGTTTTGAAAGTTCAAACCTTCGAAGGTGAACCAATTGAACCAAAATTGTAACTTCAAGTTTTATCAAATTTGTTGGGTTTTAAACACTTTGGATGAAAAAACAAAAAGCCAAAGGAAAGCATGTTGTTTGATGAATAACAAACTTCACCGGCAAAAGTCAAGAAAACCAAAAAAAACAAAACACTCAAGGTACACCAACAAATCAAAGCTTCTGACTTCAGTCAGGGATTCTGTTTGGTCTTTTTGTTTTTCCCCCAAACAGGTTTACCTGTATGGGGCTCTTACTCCTTTCAAAGGGTTGCATCCCTGGGCCGCATGATTTTGCCTCTGTCTCCGGGCTTGCATCCCACTCTGGGTTCCTTGGGCCGCATGAGTTTACACTTGTCTCCCCCTTGTCTCCCACTCTGGGTTCTTTGGGCTGCATGAGTTTACACTTGTCTCCCCCTTGTCTCCCACACTTGTCTCTCACTCTGGGTGCCTTGGGCCGCATGAGTTTACACTTGTCTCCCCCTTGTCTCCCACTCTGGGTTCTTTGGGCTGCATGAGTTTACACTTGTCTCCCCCTTGTCTCCCACACTTGTCTCTCACTTTGGGTACCGGTTGACTTATTTTTAGAGACGCCCCGTCCTAAAACCTCAAAAATCCAAGCTTTGCGTTCAAAACAGTGAGACTTGAGCTTTGTCCCAAGCCAATCCAAAAACCAAACCAATTTCCCCTGCAAATCGATCCGTTTTTTCCCAAAAACGGAGCCAGTTTGTCCCAAAAACGGAGCCTGTTCTTCCCAAAAACGGAGCCTGTTCTTCCCAAAAACGGAGCATGTTTTTTCCCAAAAACGGAGCCTGTTTTTCCCAAAAAAGGCACATGTTTTTCCCCAAAATCGGTGACGCATTTCCCCAAAATCGGTGACGGATTTCCCCAAAATCGGTGACAGATTTCCCCAAAATCAGTGACGCATTTCCCCAAAATCGGTGACAGATTTCCTTAAAATCGGTGACAGATTTCCTCAAAGTCAGTGGCTGATTTTCCCAAAATCGGTGACGGATTTCCCCAAAATCGGTGGCTGATTTCCTGAGAGCCCAGCCTCGTTAGCCGGAACCCCAACTCCCAAAGGCAAAAAATACCAAACGCATTTTTAAGTATGTACATACTTGCTCAAAACACAAAAACAATGAGGGATTTCCAGCCCGCAACCACTCATGGAGCTTGCAGGAAAACGCAAACGAGGGTGAACCTGTGGATTTCTTGCGTCAGCACGTTGAAATGTATTTGCAAACATGGCATGCTTCCATGCGCGTCTGGGTTTGATGTTTAGTTTCAAGCTTTCGGCTCAGCGTTTGCAGATGAATTCCGGGGCAACAGCCCCTTCCGTGCAGCTCAGTCTTAGAGGGCTCAATTCAGAACGCATCGAACAAACAGTGTTGGGTAGCCAGAACAAAGAACTATTCCAGAACGGGTCGAAACTCAGTTTTGATTGCTTGATTGCGACCCTTTTTTCAGCGCAATGGCTTCCAAGAGAAGCACTTCAGCTTCTTGTCTGCGTCTTGCTGCAATTAGTTGTTTTTTGGTCGGCGCCTTCCAAAATTTGACTTTCAGCATCCCAAAGCAGATAGAGGAAACCGCCCAAAACAAAGGCATCAGTCCCGCCCAATACTTGAAAGATGTGAGCAACAGAGCAGAGCTTTACCAAAAGAGCAACGCGGTTGCTGGGCGAGAGGAGTTCGTGAGCACATTGAATGAGGCAGTGCGGTTGAGCTATCCGTTGTTTCTCATGAACTTGTTTTAATTCTGTTTGGAGTTTAGAGGTTCGGTATGGTTAAGTAAGTTTCTGTGGTCATTAGACTGTTTTTCCTCTGGATTTTTGATTGGATGTGAAAGGACTTCAGCTCAACTAAATAGTGATACAGTTCAAGATGTCATGCAACTTCATCAGGCTATGGGAAAGTCTGGTTTGCGCCTTGTCATTGGAGGCAAGTCCCTCGGAAAGACCAAAATTTTGCAGACCGTTGTTGACAATGCTGGCGATGAAGCTCCTTTGCTCTACGTCAATATGCGTCTCCCGAGCAAAGCCCAGTCAACAGATGCATTGGAATGTTTGCAAGAAGAAGCTAAGCGAAGATGGACCGCAAAGAATTTGCCATTCGGGGCAGAGCGGCTGGTTGCCGCCGGTTCTGCAGTTCTTGGAGCACTTGGCAAAGCGAACTTATAGAAGAGTGACGATGAGGAGATAGGAGAGGGTGCAGTGGAAACGATTCTCTCTTTGTTTCTCAACATCACCAAGCCCGAGGAGTTCATCAAGGCTTTTGTTGCGGCAACAATGGCTGCAGAGAAGGTTCCAGTCATGATTGTTGATGGAGCCAACATCGCCTTTCCCAATGGTAATGGTGGGAATGGGAATGGCAGAAGAGAATCAGCCTACAGAGCGCTCGCAACCTTTGTGGCACTGACAAAGGAGCAGCGGAAGGCGTCTGTTATTCTGGTTGCCTCCGACTATGCTTTCCCGTTGGGACTACAAGCTCTTGGCTTCAACAAGTATGATGAGGGCAGCTCCGGACGTTGAAGAGAAGCCTATGCTTTCTGTCCTGCAAGAGTGGGGTTTGTCTCAAGACTTGGCACAGGAGCTATGAGCAACTTTGCACAGTGCTTTTCTAAAGCTTGCTTTGTTAGCTCATGCTGCCGCAAAACAGGGTCGAATTTTGGTGTTCTTTGTTTTGCTGAATTTCTTGTAATCAGTTTATCACGGGATGCATGGGTCGGAACTGTGTGTGAGTAATGTCATGTCAAATCGGCAAATTGCAAATGCTTTTATGTTGTGGGCTGGCAGGAGTTCTATGAGACCTTCGGTGGAAACGTTTTTTTGTGCCACCAGGCGGTCGACAAACTCCGTGAGCAATTCGAGTTGGGTCAGGAGAGGCTCTTCGACCCCTTCAACGTCCGAGACAATGCCGGCTTAGATGACCTCATTGGTGACCCGCTCACTCGGAAGCACATGGAGAACTTGGCTCAGAAAGGATGGTCGCAAGTAGAGGGTGGCTCTGCAGAAGCGGAGACGGAGAGCCAGAAGGGTGCTCGCATCATCGCCAAGAAGAACTTCGGCGTCATCATCGAGAGACAGACCACTACTTTCTTTGACGAAGCCTTGGAGGAAGATATGTTCAGAGACCCAGATGCTGTGCGGGTTTTAATTCCACCAACTACATATGCACGCAAGTGCATCCAGCGGATGGTGGACACGGTGAAACCAAGCAATTTGGACTTCAAAGAAAGATGACTTTTCTTTTGGAGCAACCTCTCGTCACTATGAGCCCCAGTCATTTTGCAGTTTGTTTCTCAATCTTTCAGGAGCATTTATCGGATACGCGAACCATTTTTTCTCCATCCTTCTCGGTTGAACATGTTGAACGCAAGGCATCACCACACAACAAGCTGGAGCAGTGTGGGTGAGGCAACTAAAGGAGGACAGGAGTGACCGGTGCCAGTCAGTTGCTCCACCAAGGAAGCACTATTGTATTGGGTTCTACGATTTAAACAATCATGTCTATGCCAACTCAGCCGCAAACTACATGGATTGATGGTGTTAATGTAACTTTCCTCCCAAGCCAAACATGTGATTATGTGTAAGCTATGCAAAATAATACTGTGTCAATTTATGTTCTTGAGACAGCTCAGCACTATTTGGGGAGAAGATTGCAGGGTTGTTCATTCCTCAGGATTTGTTTAACATATGTTCCAATAATCTTCCTGCGATTGATAGAGAGGATTTAGACTAAAGACTTTGTATGATTTTCTGCCATGCCCTTGTTCCTTGGCTGTGCCCTTTTGTCAGGTGTAGGAAGAACTTTTATTGACGAAAAGCCATGCCCCAAACTTAAAGCGTGATTAAGGGTAAGTCCACTGTGCAGGAAAATTACACTGTCATGCTACGAACTTGGTAGGGTTCAGGGCGTTTTAAGGGAGAAGATAACGGGGTTTTTCCTTCCTCAGGATTTGTTGAAAGATATTTTCCCAACATCTTCCTCAACTTGATAGAGAGGATTTAGACTAAAGACTTTGTATGATTTTCTGCCATGCCCTTGTTCCTCTGCTGTGCCCTTTGGTAAGCAAATGGGAGTAGCGCACGGTTGGGGAAAGGGTTGAGTTTGAATGTCTCGGCTGTTGACCTTGCAGGACGACAGTGGTGGCTTCGAGTTTGCCGGCGATGCCTTTAAAATCACTGCAGCGGTTGCTGACATAGATGATTTGAAGACAGTGCCGACCTCAAGCTTGCCAAAAATATCGCATGAACCAGAACGACTTCAGCAGAGATGGACAATGTGTTTGGTTGATGATGTCTCAATTGCATCAGTAATTGCATTTTGTGATGAGGCAATTCACATGAAGGAGATGCTCACGGTTGCGCCCTCCAAAATCAAGATTTACAGCAAGACGGAGGTGCATTTTTTTGGTCTCCAAATTGTTCGCAACTTCCAGTTGTTTCAGTGACCGACCAGCTCTTCTGGTTCAGTTCAGCTCTCAGCCCTTTCCGTAGGACGGCAACTGGAACAAAGAAGACCCAGAAGCTTCCCTTGCGCATGGCGTCACTACGTCCTCCACTCGGCAATCACTGCTTGTAGGAAGTGGATTGCTGAAGTACCTAGTCAGTCCTTTTATGTCCTTTTGCCTGTTCAGGTCGGACAGCTATGGCTACCTCATTCCCTAAAGGCTGGCTTCTTTGTGCGCAGCGCAACTTTTGTCTCTGGATGCTTGTTGATGCACTTCACTCTACACTTCACTGTCAGGCTCTTCTTGAATGCGAGGGCCGGACAGTCTCACCAAACGCATCCACTTGTGAGGCTCACTTTCTCACTGGGCACGCGTCTTGTCCATTGCCAGAGACATACGTTTTGGTGGCAATCTTTCAGCTTTAGCTGGCTTTAGCTTAATGATTCTGCAATACTTCAAGTCCTTCACATTCTTTCCTTAAGCTGGGAAGACGAAAATTGCCACAAGTGAAAGATGAGAGTTTCACCGAAGTGTCAAAGCGCACGCAACAGAACGTTTAGTGTCAAAAAACGATTCTTGATGTGTGTCGTCAGTTTTCAGGTTTGTGCATGCAAATCACCGTTTCTGTTGTTGTGCCTTTTGCCAGTGTTGAATGAGAGGAAAATCCAAGGAAAATTGATAGAAAATCTGAGGAACATTTGTGGAATACGTGTCCCTTGATAGCGTTCAAAGTGCAAATGCAAATCAGCAGGGACAGATAGTAAAACAAGAGCTTAGGCAGAAGGTGAACTACACTGGTTATGTTGAAATCAAGCACCAAAGGCTTGCAAAAGGCGGAATAAGTCACAAATGTTCAGAAATTAACAGAAAGGGGTTCGGAAGCAGAATCCAACGAATATATTTCGAAATTTTTATAATCTTAGAGGTTTGGAAATTTATTCGAAGAGGTTTGGCAATTTAACCCAAGAGGTTTGGACATTTTTTGTCCAAGAGGCTTGGGAGCGAAAAACGAATAGGCTTGGTCATAATTTTTCATCAACATCCGCGATTGGCACTAGTGTTATTTTTGTTGCACGTAGGTTTAGAGCAGTGTTAAGTGTGGGGCGTGAAGAGTGCAGTGTGAAGTGTGAAGTGTGAAGGAAGCAGTGGGAAGTGAGAAGTGAGAAGTGTGGAGTGTGAAGTGTGAAGTGTGGAGTGTGAAGTTTCAGTTTGGAGTGCGAAGAGCGCAGTGTGAAGTGTGAAGTGTGAAGTGTGAAGTGTGAAGTGTGAGGTTTGGAGTGTGAAGGAAGCAGTGAGAAGTGAGAAGTGTGAAGTGTGGACTGTGAAGTGTGAATTGTGAAGTGTGAAGTGTGGAGTGTGAAGTTTGAAGTTTGGAGTGCGAAGAGTGCAGTGTGAAGTGTGGAGTGTGAAGACTTTGCTTCGTCTCTCGCTGAGAAAAAAAGCCGCTTGTCGAGGGAAGGACACGGTCGGGACAGGTTTTTCTTCGAACTATAGGTCATTTATTTTTGGGAAACTTCCGCCGCCGGCTTGCCCGGGTCTATGTTATGATTTTATTTTCATTCAAGCAGTCATCAGGTTCAAAAACATTTATTGAAACTATTTTATTGTTCTCTTCAAATCTATATATGTCCCTATTACCAGCTGGAAAATTTACACCATCCCAGTTCAACATATAATCTTTCAGTTTATTATAGTGGAACATTTCCTCTGGGTGATGTTTGCTTATTTTGTCATAGACTACGGATTGAATACAATATTTGAAGCATTTCTGGTCTTTGTTTTTGATGTTGATACATGCCTTTTTTAGTTTAATCCATTCTGGTAGTTCTATGTATCTCCCTGCTCTTGTTGGGTCATATTTGTCATAATGAATGGTTATTGATAAAATCTTTTTAAAGCGTAGATTAGACGTTGATGCTTCTAAATTTTGTATTTGTAATAAGATTTGTTTAACACTATCTTCTAATGCTTGTGTCAGTTCATCCTCATTACTAATATTGAAGCGCGTTGATGGTAGAGCATATACAAGTTCCTGACTGCCAATTTCATTACCTCCATCATCGTATTCAGGTTTTTCAAAGAGTGCCTCTCTTCTTATGTTAAGTTTCATGCTTCTATTCTTTCTTAAAAACTCCAATAGTCTTGGTTTTTGGTGAGCAATCATTTCTAATCCCCTTTCACCTTCAAAGTGTTTATTTTCAAACACTATTGAATTAGCATATCTTCTAAATGCTGACTGAATATCTCTGACCTTAAGTTTGTTTTGTATTGCGTGTTTGGTTAGTAAGTTTTTGACTTTTCCTTCACTGAACGCATCTTTTGCCTTGTTTAAAGCATAACTTCTGTATTCATTAGTTTTCTTTACTGTTAATAGTTTCTTTGTTAAAACATTAGATATGGGTTTGTCTTTGTTGTATCTAAATTTCTTGCTGTCTATTACTATTGATTTCAATTCTTTTCTTCCTCTTTTTGGTATTTCTGCTAAATCATTACTCAATAGATAGTCTATAACTTTTTTCATCATATAATATTACATATTTTATTTATTTAATTTATCTTTAAGTAGTTTTTTTTTCCAAGAATGCCTTATTTTAATCATAATCTTTGAATATATACTCAAAGAATAGCTAAGTATATTAGTAGGATGGATTGTGCGAAGGATATACCCGTTGATGTGCTGAGTAAAATTGCTTCTTATAAAATTAGAGACCCTAAATATTTGAAAATTATATAAATATTGCCATATTGAGGCATTAAAGAGAATACAAAACAAATATAAGATTTCAAGAGTTGGTCCTAAAATAGCAAGACATTTGAAATCAAGAATATATATATATATAGATAATTGAAGACTGTACTATGAGAGAGGGAGTGCCATTTAGTTTAAAAAGTTTAGAAGACATAATAACAGAAGAAAAGAACATATTATCTTTAATTTATGAAGAAGTAGAAGATGATTTAAATTTTAGAGTTAAACTTGATATTGAAGTCCAATTAGTGGCGAGAGATTTATTTTATGAATGACTTTGATGAATATGTGGATGAAGATGATGTAGATGAACTATTAGAGAAAGCAGTTGAAGAAATAAAAACCGACATAGAAGAAGACCAAGATAAAGATAGTATAATAGAAATACAGGCATTTCATTTTAAATTCGTAATTATTGAAGACATTTACTACTAACATATTTCATCTTTATTTATTGGAATTATGGATGATTAAGATATGATTATTAAAGGGTATGGATTTATATTTATAGTTGTTCTCTGTTTTGATTTTTATATTGTGCTTTGCTTGGTCTGTTTTTTTTGTTTGTTGTTTGGTTGTTCCGTTTTGGGTATGGCATGGACGAGGTGATGATGTATTGACTGTTGTGATTTTTATAAAATGGATGAGGTAATAGATGGTTAGTAGTTATGATTTATGAAAATGAATGAGATGATGATATAGGTGGCAGTGATGATTTTGTGAAAAATGAATGAGGTGATCGATGGTAGGTAGTGATGATTTTGCTGTTGTTTGCTGATTGTTCTGTTTTTGGGTTTTATTATTTTGCTGTTCTGGTTTTATGGTATTATTCTTTGAACTATTGTGATTTTGAAAAATGGATGAGGTAACTATACTTTGACTGTGATGATTTTCATTATAGTTTTCATATTGTTGAAAAAATGAAGTGATCAACAATATTACAGTAAACATCTGTGCTTAGACTGTTATAATTGAAATTAAAAAAACTTCTATGAACTGTTGTTTTAGACATTTTTTCCCCCAAGTGAACTCTCGTCACATGCCTTGTGCGTCTCTTCACGCAGCAGCCCCTTCGCAGTGTCTCATCATCAGCATCATCGTCATCATCCTCATCTTCATCATCATCATCATCGTCATCATTATCATCATCATCATCCTCATCATCATCATCATCATCATCATCATTCGACTTGCAATTCGAATTTTTCGACATCCATTTGCCCCGTACCCAACGGTGCGATGAAAGTGACAGGTTCCAGTCCGATTTTTATATCCCTTGCACTGGCTAAATTAAACCAGGGGTACCCTGAGTTATGGTTTAATTTTTTTGGTTTAATTTAAACATCTTACAAAAACAGGGGGTCCACCCACCTCCTTAAGATTCTGAAGAAAGTTGAGTTGGTTTAATTTTGAGATGTGACCCCCCCATGGTTTAATTTCAGCTGTTTTAGCTCATTGTGCTGCCTCGTGTTCCGCCTCGGGATACTGCAGCCATGGTTCCTGACACATGTCCTAGCACAGCTCCGTGAAGACGATCCGGCGTGGACAACAAGGTTCTTGCACAGTTGGGAACAGCATTGCTGCAGCCCAAGTGCTCCATCTCAAGCAGAGCAAGTCCATGGGAAAGGCGCCGCGGGACCATGGTAAACTGTTTCTATCTGTTTCGGGCCCCTTGCGTGATCCCAGATCAGGTCAGAATGATTAATCAAGGGGTGGGTGGGTCCATACGTACTGAACATTCATTCATCAGGACACCTTTGGCACCATAATATTCATGGGATTTATGGTCACCAGAATAATTAAACAAGGGGTGGGTGAGTCCACATGTACTGGGCATTCAGGATCAGTTCTTCCATTGTGGCACCCCCGACACCATAATATCATACAATATCCATGGCATTGATGGTCACCAGAATAATTAAACAAGGGGTGGATAAGTCCACATGTTCTGGGCATTCATCAAGATTCATGTATTGGGATACCTTTGGTGTTATCATGATTCATTGTTTTTTTCTTGAATTTTCATCTTTGGTCATCACAAAGGAAGGAACCTGATGGAATCTCATTGGACTTGCTACTTTGGGAATTATTTTGACACCTGTTCGGTGTGCGTGTGTGTTCGGTGTGCAAGTTGATCATGGGGACCTGAACTGGATTGTGCTGGATTAATTTCCCATGTTAGTAACAAAAAATAATCGGAGGGTATCATTAACTGATGAATTTTGGAAAAAACCATACCGCAGGGGACCCCATTTAATTAAAAAACATATACCTGGGTCCCACCCCCCACCCACCAAGCACCGATAGGGACATCGATTTTTGCCCTTGACAGAACCCACGTCACTTTAACTTTTGCAAGCAAACGGGTGAAGCAAAGGAACATCGGCGCTTCTCCATGCTTCGGTTGGACAGAAATTTTCCCTTCGTTCTGTCAAAGCGGTGAGTTGCTAGCGCATGACGTCCATATTGACAAGCCTAAGGCTTGGTGTCAGCAGAAAAGGGCCCGGTCGCATGTCGGCTTTCGCACTGAGTAATCCCCCGCGTCCCCTGTGACACAACTACCTTTCGTGTCACCCCTTCTCAAGTTTTCTCATATTCATTGACGGGGGGGGCAGGGCGGGCAATAAATGCACGGAAGGATGCCGAAATGATATCCTTTGCCGCAAACAAAAATATAATTGAGATTTTCTACACCTGTTTGGGGTCAACGCTGGTATAATTTGTTTTTGGTTTTTCTTCTTGTTGTTTATTCCTTGTCTACTTTTTTAGTCGCTCAGCATGTCTATTGTCTACCATCTGGCATGGCTCAGAATGCAAAATACAATCTTCTTTCCCAATGCCAAAATCTCAAGTCTGGCTAGTCAGGAGCTTGGTAAGGGTTATTAAAGGTATGACATTTCATCCAATACTTCTGAAAGGAAGCACGTTGCACAAAAGTCCCTGCAACATACAAGGCATCTTTCAATCAAATGCAGTATCTCTTCAAATCAAGTACTGTAAGACTACCTTCAAAATGTATCTATTACTTTGAAGAACATGCATGTTTTTCTCTAAATAACACTCTATTTGTTGGAAAACAAGGTGGCTAACGGTGGCTGTTTGACAAAAAATGCGGAACATGTGGCACAAGCACTGCTACATTGTGCTTTCTAGAGTCAGTATGCACTCATTTTTTGATAGTAATAGTGCATACTTGAAATGAAAAAAATGTGAGCCGTCTTTGTTTAAACAAAAATCTTCAGAAATGCTACCTCTATGAGATTAACAGTGCCCGTTCTGAAGAAAAGTGGCTTGAACGAGTACAGAATTACTTCTATAAGAAAGTTCTCTTAGTCTATGCAGTATTCATTTGATACAGTAATAGATTTAGAAAAGAGTTGTAGTGTAGCCTAGCATTACGTTTTTTTTACAATTTTCCATTGACAAGAGTGATACCTTCCTTAAACATGGGGAGGCATTCCTTCAAGATAATGCAACATTGCTTTGGCATAGAATGCCTCAATAGAAGCAGTAGTACTTAGAAAAAGTTTGAGTGTCAAAAAAAGTCCCTGAATGGATGCAGTACTCTGTATTCTGAAAGAAGTGTAGAGGGGTAGCACCACTTTTATATTTCATTAGGAAGAGTAATACATGTCTGGAAAATAGAGGGTGTAGTGCTCCTTGGGAAAGGAATCCTTTGAGTACCCATTTTAGACAACAATTATGGCATTCCTTAACGAAAGTGTTGGTGCAAGTATGTGCAAAGCTTCCTTCACACGGGAGTGAACCACTTGATTGAAAACATGCAATAATACAAATAAACGCAATACTATGCAGTAGAACCCTTGGGTGTATGTAGTATTTTTTGAGAGAAACAGGTCATGGTTGTATGTGTGCAATATGCCCTTCCATATGTCAAGTCTTTCCTTAAAATCACATGTCATACAGAAAAACGAGAGGAAGGCTGAGCGGTATTAAAGGACGTATTGCACCTTTCCACATCTTGTATTTTTCTGCAAGAATGCTGCTTCTTACTTAAGGGAATACCTGGTCTTCAAGGCAATTAGTTTGAAGAAGTTGAGTCTTTCCCAAAAAAACGGTCATACAAGACAAATGAGAGGAAGGATGAGCTTCATTAAAGGATGTATTGCATCTTTCCACACATTGTAGTTTTCTTGCAAGCATATTGTTTTTTATTTAAGGGGAATATCTTGTCTCCAAGGCAGATTGTAACCTGTAAGCAGCATTTCCTTTAACAACAATCTTTTCTTTCTTTTTGAAGGAATGCAGCATGTTTCAAATGCAAGTTACTGGCTACAAGGTAGCAAAAGAGTATTTTTTTTGGGGGCTAGCATATATATATGTATATATATATATATACACGTACCGTGTATATACGTAATATATACGTATATATATATACGTATATATAAATATACATATACAAATAAATATACATATACAAGCACATATACATATACATATACATAGACATAAATACACACATACATAAACATCCACATACACATACATACACATACACATATACATGCACATATACATACGCATATACATGCACAAATACACACACACATACATACACATATACATATACATACACATACACACATACATACATACACACATACATTCACACAGACATACACACATGCATACATACATATACATATACATACATAAACATACATACATCTACATACATCTACATACATCTACATACATCTACATACATCTACATACATCTACATACATCTACATACATCTACATACATCTACATACCTCTACATACCTCTACATACCTCTACATACCTCTACATACGTCTACATACGTCTACATACACCTACATACACCTACATACATCTACATACATCTACATACATCTACATACATCTACATACATCTACATACATCTACATACATCTACATACATCTACATACATCTACATACACATATATTTACAGACATACATACATACATACATGCATGCATACAGACATACATACATCTACATACATCTACATACATCTACATACATCTACATACCTCTACATACCTCTACATACATCTACATATCTCTACATACCTCTACATACGTCTACATACGTCTACATACACCTACATACACCTACATACATCTACATACATCTACATACATCTACATACATCTGCATACATCTACATACATCTACATACATCTACATACATCTACATACATCTACATACACATATATTTACAGACATACATACATACATACATGCATGCATACAGACATACATACATACATGCATGCATACATACATACATGCATGCATACATACATACATACATACGTACAGTATATAGTTATTTTTAATATATATATATTGTTTATAGTATATATATATACACATGTATTTATATTGATTGTAAATACACATAGATGTTGGGATAGTATTACTGCTAAGTGCCCCACACTTTCAGTGGTTGTACTTTCGAACCTGATCGTTCAAAAACACCGCTAAGGCGACTTGACTGGACCATACTCTCACACGTATATATATATATATATGCGTATGCTTTTAAAAAAAAGCATATGGATTATATATACATATGCATACAAAGTGAAAAACATCTACATATGCATATATTTTTTTTAGATATACTCAAAAACGTTTGTATGCACTGTACTGTGCTGTAGTGTGCTGTACTGTTTTGTACTGCAATGCAATATAATGAACTGATATGTTTGTATGCAATTTATTTTAATGGAATGGGATAGAATGTAATTGAAATTAATGTAACGTAATACATAATACATTTTCTGTATGTTTTGCAGGTTGGACGAATATGTGTGTATATACATAATCATAATCTGTCTCGTCGGTATGTTATGTTTGTTTCTGCAGGTTATGTATGTTCTGTATGTCATGTTTTTTAGGTCTGTTATGTATGTTATGTATGCGATGTACGTTATATATGTGATGTATGTTTCTTTTTTCCTCTTTTATGCATGTTCTGTATGTGAGGCCCGCAAGGTATGCAATGTATGTAACGTATGTGATGCATGCTATATTGTATTATATCAGGGCATCTTCTGTTGCGCTACGTTTCTTTATGTTTTGTTTTGTTATGTTATGGCACGGCATGTTATGTCATGTCATGTCATCTTATGCTATGTTGTGTTATGTTATGGCACGGCATGTTAAGTTATGTTATGCAATGACATGTTATGTTATGTTATGTGACTATGTTATGGCTTGGATGGTATGTTATGCTATGTAATGTCATGTCATGTAATGTAATGTTATGTCATCACATGCAATTATATGCAATTATATGCAATGCCATTTCATGTATTGCCATGTATGCATACATACATGTGTTCTTCACAATACACACGCACACATGTATCATGGGCATGCCAACCCTGGAATACTTACGAAAGCCAGCCATCAAGGTTGAGGAGAGTGTGATTTGATGATGGTGTTTTTGATCCTCCTCTTGGGTCCCTGGAAAGCTGAGATAAATGTACTCAATGGAGCAGAGTGGTGTCGAATGGAAATATGTTCTATGTGCATGCCATGAGTCCCATCAAGAACCGTCGCTTCCATCTGCTCATCAAACGTTCCCATTCAGTTCGATGATTTTGCCTCTTTAGATGCTTATTTCTAGGGGATTTCCCCGCTGGCCATGGATTACCGGAGACTACCCGGGTGCTTGACCCAGACCTTGCCAGGTGTGAGTTTCGAGGTGCGGAAACCCGACATCGACGAGAAGGCACTGGGAGATCGCGGCAGGGAACCCGAGAAGTTGGTGCGGTTGCTGGCAGAGGCCAAGGCGGATGCATCTTGGTTGAAAGTCTTGGGAGGGGCAGATGGCCTGGAGTTTTTGCACTTTTTTTTTTTGGGAAGGTTTGGAGGGACGAGTTGACTGGCTGTCAGAAGCATCGTAACTCATAGGGCAGGCCAACACTTGCACAAGGGTTTCATGGCCAATGGGGTTCATACAACCATCGCCAGCTAGTGCCATTCAGACCACATGACTCCGGAATTCCATACGACTCAGAAGGAGATCCACCTGCCTGGTATGTGCATCTTATTTATAGACAGAGAAATACCAACACACTCAACACATACATTGATACTTATTATATATATAATTATATATATATATTATATTATATATATATAATAATTTAATACATAAATACAAAGATATATGCATACATGCATGCATACAGCCAGTTAGGAAGCCAGGTATAAATAGGCAGGCAGACAGACAGACATATATACACACCGTGCATACATACATTACGTGCATTAATACATATGCATTTTCTGCACACAGTATATATATATATTTAGAATTGCTGCGTTACAATTATGCATACTTTGCATACGGTGCATACAATGCATGCTTTGCCAACATTGCACACAGTACCGACATTGTCATTCGAATACTTCCGAGTTACGGACGAATGTCCAGGGACAGTCTTTTCTCGGTGTCATCATCATGTCATCATCATGTCATCCTCATGTCATTCGCGGGTGGGAGCACTAGAGGAGTGTGGAGAGAGAAGAGAGAAATGAGATGATGTGAGCTGTGATGATGTAAGATGTATACAGATGCGAGATGTGCAGATGTAAGATGTTTTGGTCCACCAATCTCTTCATCAGCTTGCGGTGTGCAGGGATTCGTCAAAGGTTGTCACAGAACTTTTGCAGGGCAAGGTGCCGCAGAAGTTTGAAGGTGTCTTCGAAGCCTCTTGGCACCGCCTTTCGGACGAGGCCGAATGCAAATACAACATCGTTTCAGATTGTCATGACCGTATGGACTTGCTTCTCCCAGTCTCTTCACTCACGTATTTTAAACACACCCATTGCGTGGAAAAGTTAGAACATTATTTTCCACTGTTTGAATTTGCGTTGCTGGTCAGGACCGTACCGCTTCTGTGAACCCCGCCAAGTTTCACGTCTACGCGGTAGACGTGGCAGGGAACACGGTGCCGCAGCCCTTTGTTGCGCGTCCACAGGATGTTCCTGCGTACTCCCTACAGGCAGCCCACCGGCACAGGGCCGGCGCCTTGCCGATGCGGCAGAGGTTCAACTTCTGCTGGAGGAGCCGGAAACAGAGAAAGGGCGCAGGCGTGGGGAAGGCAGGAGAAAGAGACGGAAAGAAAGAAAACAGCGAAAGAGGAAGAAAAAGAGAGAGAGAGAGAGAGAGACAGGGAGAGAAACAAAATGAGCCAGGGCCAGAACCAGCAAATTTAAATTAAATCAACATAAGTAGCAAGGCCGTGGAAAATTGTTGGACGCCCCTAAATTTTTTCAGAAAGAATGGTGCTTGAACCAACAACACATTGATTTGCAGCAACAAAGTGTAGAGCGTCCTTGAAGGCGATGGGTATAATGAGAGAGAGAAAACACAGAGCGTGACAGAAGCGCCAGCATCAACAAATGCGATGATCCACCAGCAGAAAAGACAGAGGAACGTGCCTATTATTTTTTGCAACCAGACTGCGACTGTCACCGGCGACTTTGGTGATTTGGCAACACACCAAAAAATGCAAAAAGATGAATTGTTTGGCAGCAACAAACGACAAACATGTTAAGACATGTATGGTGAGGATGATGACAGTTGGACCTCGTTACGTTGAAGGTTGTTTGAAAATTTCTGCCATGCAAGGAGCAGCGGATGATCTACAAGTCTGATCTTTTACCAGGCGGTTCTGGCTTGCAGCGAGAACTCCAGACGGCTGTCTGCACCATCCCTTGGCTGACGAAGGCGGTCAAGCCAGCAATGCTGTTGCGCTTCCACGACAGTCCGTCTGCTTGCAGATGTTGTGCGTAAGTAAAGGGACTTTCCAGGGATCCAGGGTTGGCTGTAAGCTTGCAAGGTTCCAGGATTTCAGGTACCAGGAGTAAAGGTTCCAAGCGACAAGGTTCGAGACCTGCAAAGGTTCACGTTTAGTTCACGGAGAACGAAATGACCCGGGCCATGGCAACACAATGGAGCTGCTTCAACTGATACAAACCAAGCAGGATCCACAGCCAAGCGTCAGGTTTACAAGGTGGCGAGGTTCCAAGGTAAAGCTTTTCAGGCTTTGGGTGTTCAGCCAAGGTCGCAAGGGTCCAAGGTTGCGAGAAGCCAAGATTTTTTGGGTGTTCCACAGTTGCATAGCTCTGGGCTTTGACGGTTCCAACGCTCCAATTTTCCTGGTTCCAAGATTGCATGGGCAGTCTTTTGATTCCAAGCTACAAGGTTTTTCCACTTAGGGCTTCAGGGTTCCAGAGTTCCAGGAGATTCCAGGCTTCCAACCTTCCCGGAAAAGGTTCCAAAGGTTGCAAGGAGGTTCCAAGGTTCCAGGTTACAAGGCTCCAAGGCGCGACGGCGCAAGGTTCGAAGGCTGCGCAGTTCCAGAACCGACGGCTGCAGGTTTCAAGAGTTCCACAGCGCTAAGGTTCTAGAGTTCCAGGGTCACGGGTTTCCAAACATCCAGGCATCCAAACCCCGCCAATGCACAGGGCAAGGTTCCAAGGTTGCAAGGTTCCAGGGTCCCAAGGATGCATGTTTTCAATGCCCAAGAGTTTTAGGAATAGAGGGTTCCAAACTTTCGGGTTCCAGGATGCCAGGGGTGGCATTCCAACATTCCAGGCTTCCAGGGCTCAGGAAGTTCTCGACAAAAAGTGTACAGAACCGTGCAGAACTGTGGCGACAGCTTGATGTTAAAGCAAGTTGCGGTTTCGGAGCACTTGTGGACGATGAGGGGGCTATATTGCACGAGACTGTAGTGAGAGCTCGATGTCACAAAAAATCGGTACAAAATGCATGACTGGAGCACGTTTGGAAGACCAGGTCGGAAAATTTGCCCCAGATCATAGCGAGAACTCAATCTCACATAAAAGTCGTAAACACTCATGGTCGGAGCAGCGCTGGATTTGTGTGGTCGAGTCCGCACTGTTGACACTGCGCAAACGTTGGTCGATTTGGTGCGATGCCCCTGCTCTGCGGGTTTGCGACCGCTTGCGACAAAACGCATTGGCACGGCTGCGCGCAGCAAAGCATGAGTGATGCTGCGACGCTCCTGGAAAGCGGAATTGCAGCTGGAAGTGATAAACGCATTGTAAAAGCTTGGCGAAAGGTAGTTTTTCACCATCGCTTGACAGACTGACAGACTGACAGACTAACACAGACACATACTGTACAGATACAGATGCAGATACAGATACAGACGCACACACGCACACAGAGGCATACATACAAACGTACAGACATATATACATACAAACGTACAGACATATAACGTACAGACATATATATGTATATATGTATGTATGTATGTATGTATGTATGTAATGTAATGTAATGTAACGTAACGTAATGTAATGTAATGTGATGTGATGTAATGTATGTATGTATGTATGTATGTATGTAATGTATGTATGTATGTATGTATGTATGTATGTATGTATGTATGTATGTATGTAATGTATGTATGTATGTATGTAATGTAATGTAATGTACTGTAATGTAATGTATGTATGTATGTATGCCTAAATAAATAAATAAATATATATATATATATATCTACATATATATAGATTCATACATATGTTAAATAAACAATGCATAAAACATATATACATACATGCATAGTACGTACACAAGTATACACATAGATATGCACTTGGCATATCCAAAGTGATGGAATTAACAAAGGTCGCATGCCAACCAAGGCCTTACTGTCCGCACTGGAGCGCCGCGACACGGATCGCCTAATACTGACGGCCGACCAGGCGGCGGTGGAAGGTTTAGGGGCATTTTTTTTGGCAGTTGCAAGCAGCTAGCAACTAAGATGATTCATAGAAAATTATTTTTCGGAATTTGTGAATATGACTGTTTGGAGTTTTTTTTCACTTGACCAAGGCTTTGGGAGTCGCTGCTGTGCACCAACCTGCTATTCTTAGGGTGACTATAAATGTTCTCGAAGTTGGCACCCGGTGCATTTATGAATTGACACACATTTTGGGACTTTTGTGATGACGCTCCGGGAAACATGGCCAGTGGAATTGCACGTTTCCTTTTGTCAAATCATCTAGGTATAATAGAGATTTTTCCTTCAAATCGCCAAAACATGTTGTTTAAAGCCTACTAATGCTAGTTGGTTAGCTAAAATTTGCTAGCGAACGTTGGCTTTTAATTCCTCAAAAAATTGTTGGTTCATATCCCTAACTGTTAGTGCAGATGTGTCACATGTTGTCACATCATGTCTTTCGATCTGTTGCATCGGAGCCCAGGTGGTGACCTGTAAAGGCAACATCCGAGAGAAACCGAAGGATCTGGAGGAGGCATTGGTCGTTTTTGATGGATCATTTGACCATCCGTTTGAGACTTGTTTTTTTGGATTTAATGGGATGTAATGGGAAATAAGGAGATATGTATGTATGTATGTCTGTGTGTGTGAACCATCTCAATAGATGCAAAACTTGTATCCAACAAACCAACGCAGAGAGCCTGAGGCTTCTCAACAGGACTCAGGCCAACGAATTTGCCTGTTGAGAAGTGTGCAATTATTCTGGGACGCCAGAATGATATACCTTCCATCCGATTTCCATCTTTCACTGAAGTGGCATGGGGCTAAGCGGGCTAAGCCGAGAACCCCTTTCCAGACCAATTCATGTTTCATGACATCCTTGCTGCACAGTTTCCACAATCTGACAGCTTTGATTTGTTTGCTGACTCTTATTGGACAACAGTTTCTGTGACCACAACTTGGACTTCGTTTACTGGGTATGACAGTGTCGCATTGTCAGGTATTTACAACGAGGATCTTTCCAATTCACTCTGTTTTTCTCCCTCCTACCAGGTACAATAGAAGTGTGTTTTGCACGGCAGACGCACTCCACTTCACAAAAAAAAATCAGAGCAAGTCTGTCTGTCCTTCTGTACGAACGTGTGTATGCATGCATGCAGGCAGGCTGGCAGGGAGGTAGGTAGGTATGTAGGTATTTATGTATGTAGGTATGTAATGTATGTATGTATGTAATGTAATGTAATGTAATGTAATGTAATGTAATGTAATGTATGTAATGTATGTAATGTATGTAATGTATGTAATGAATGTAATGTCTGTAATGTATGTAATGTATGTATGTATGCAATGTAATGCAATGTAATGTAATGTAATGTAATGTAATGTATGTTTGTATGTATGTACGTACGTACGTACGTACGTACGTACGTACGTATGTATGTATGTATGTATGTAATGTATGTAATGTATGTAATGTATGTATGTATGTATGTAAGTATGTAAGTATGTATGTATGTATGTATGTATGTATGTATGTATGTATGTAATGTCTGTATGTATGTAATGTAATGTAATGTAATGTAATGTAATGTATGTAATGTATGTAATGTATGTAATGTAATGTAATGTATGTAATGTATGTAATGTATGTAATGTATGTAATGTATGTAATGTATGTAATTTATGTAATGTATGTAATGAATGTAATGTATGTAATGTATGTAATGTATGTGATGTATGTAATGTATGTATGTATGTAATGTATGTAATGTAATGTATGTAATGTAATGTATGTAATGTATGTAATGTATGTAATGTATGTAATGTATGTAATGTATGTAATGTATGTAATGTATGTAATGTATGTAATGTATGTAATGTATGTACTGTATGTATGTAATGTAATGTAATGTAATGTGATGTGATGTGATGTGATGTAATGTAATGTATGTATGTATGTATGTATGTATGTATGTATGTAATGTATGTAATGCATGTAATGCATGTAATGCATGTAATGTATGTAATGTATGTAATGTATGTAATGTATGTGATGTGTGTGATGTGTGTGATGTATGTGATGTATGTATGTATGTATGTACGTATGTATGTATGTAATGTAACGTAATGTATTGCAATGCAATGTAATGTAATTTAATGTAATGTAATGTAATGTAGTGTTATGTTTTGTTATGTAATGTTATGTTATGTTGTGTATGTGTGTATGTATGTATGTAATTTAGTGTAGTGTAGTGTAGTGTAATGTAATGTAATGTAATGTAATGTATGTTTGTAATGTATGTATGTTTGTAATGTAATGTAATGTAATGTCATGTAATGTAATGTAATTGAATGTAATGTAATTTAATGTTATGTACTGTAAGGTAATGTAATGTAATGTAATGTATGTATGTATGTATGTATGTATGTATGTAATTATGTAATTAATGTATGTATGTATGCATGTATGTATGTATGTATGTACGTATGTTTGTATGTATGTTTGTTTGTTTGTTGTTTGTTTGTTTGCTTGCTTGCTTCTTTGTTTGCTTGTTTGTTTGTTTGTTTGTTAGTTCTGCATGTAATGTATGTATGTAATGTATGTAATGTATGTAATGTATGTAGTGTATGTAATGTATGTTTGGTAATGTAATGTAATGTAATGGAATGGAATGGAATGGAGTGGAATGGAATGTAATGTATGTAAGTATGTAATCACCTTTTTTAAAAGGTCAATCATAATTTTAAGAATCTATAAACGGACCATTCCCCATAGCTACGTAACAAACAAGAGGGACAGAGGATTTTCCAATGGGCGTTTGACGAGGCCCGCACTTTCGTTTCGTCCTATGCTGGATCGAGCTGCTGCACCGTGGGAGCGTCACTCTGGGCCTGCTGGGGTTTCTTCCAGATTTCGTTGAATGAGATGATGATTTGTTGTTGATGTTGGTAAAGCATCAATGATCCATAAAACGCCCAAGATTTTGATGGTTTTTACCATCAATCGAAATTGTAGATTTTGGGATGGTTTACTACACTATTGCTTTACTAATCTTTTCTATTCTTTACCAACATGATTTGAATTTTTCAAGTATTATTATGACCATTCTTGTAATATATAGATACATGTACATGCGTGCATACCACCAAGGTCACCAAGGTTAGCGAATTTTCAGCAAGGAATGCCATGGCTTGGGGGGCTCCTAGCTTGGGGAAGCACCCGTATGATATTATGGCAATTTCGGATAATGTTTCGTGTTGGTCAAAGTACATATTAGGGAATTTTGACCCATCACGATATCTGAAGTAACTTGTATCAGGAGGATGAGTAAAAACGAGTGATGCCATTTAGTTTGCGCCCATGAACGTGCTCAAATCCAAGTTTTTTTGGAGTGAAAACCAGCCAGGCTTTGCTTACATGATCCGGCCACGGAGCTCCGGGTCGTTGGGACGCAAACAGCCACCATCCACTTTAAAGCCGAGCTTGGCAACGAGGACGGCTCATGTGGAGTGCATCTCATCTGCCGTGGACTCTAGTGTCTGCCGAAAAAGAGGGCTTTATAATTCTATATTTTGTACCTATGTTTTTACAAAATATGCACATCTGTATATCAATATATCAACATATCAATCTTTCAATATATCAATATATCAACATATCAATATATCAATATATCGATATATCAATATATCAATTGTCAAAATATCAATATATCAATATATCAATATATCGATATTAATATGTACATACATAAATATACAGTTATATATATATATACAGTTAAATATATACAGTTAAATATGTTTATATATATATACGTATATATATATATATTTATCTATACAGTTATATATATACTTTGTACACGCAGGCCGGGGGTGCCACCCAGAGGTTTATCATGGGACCAACTTTTGAGGGGTTTTTTAGGGTTTCATTTAGATTTCATTTGGGGCTCTTAGGGTTTCTACCACGGCTTAATAAAATTGTACTTTCAAGGTTTTCTTCGGGTTCATGTCAGATTGAGGTTTTGGGATTTAGGGTTTTGTGCCCTGGAAACAAGTCTCGTCAGCCAAGTTGCCATGTTCACCGGCATACCAACAGGCAAAAAACATTGGCCCTGCGCAGTTAACATCCACTTCGCCGGGCAGCACTCCTGTCCTGGCCGTAAAAAAGAACATAAATCAATAGATAAATAAAATATACTCATATACTGTTCATATACTTGTATACTCATATACTAATATACTCATATACTCATATACTCTCATACTCACGTACATACATACATACATACATACAGACAGACAGACAGACAGACAGACATACAGACATACAGACATACAAACATACAAACATACAAACATCCAGACATCCAGACATGCAGACATGCAGGCATGCAGACATGCAGACATGCAGACATACAGACATACAGACATACAGACATACATGCATACATACATACATGGATAAGACTCGGGACATCCCCACCTCAGCGCAGGATGTTTTAAGGGAACTGATGGGCGAGGATCTGCTGAACTGTGCTGGATCTTTGATGGTCGAACACCCCATCATGAGCCAATACGTGGAACGAATCGAAGGCAGGGCTGCACATGTTTCCAGGGGTAAATGTTCTTTGAGGTCAAAGAGGTTTGTCTCCCCTCCCAGAATAGCAACAGGTGGATTCTGGGAGGAGGAAACTAGTGGGTGGTTGTTCCTGATTCGGGTCAGGTGGCCAAGACAATGTCATGGGCCTCTCCACGAGCCTTTTGAAGGATCTTTTTTCCAGCCTCGAGGCCAGGACGACATGTTGGGCGTGTCTGAAAACAGGGTTTATATACTCGAAAAATGTTCCATTTTGAGGAAACATGATGGTCAACCATTCAATTTGAGCGTACCCTAGTTTTTTGACAAACCTACATGTGCGACGGTGCTGGGATGTTTTCTTTTTGTTGGGAACTGTTGGCTGGTGTAGATTTGCATGATTTTGCTGGGGTACTTTGACCCAGAGCCTTCCCAGCTATCTCCCAAGACAAGATGGGGACCGAATTTTTGATGTATGTTCAGAGGCTATATCTTGCATGGAGATCTCCAAATCATTCAAAATCCACTATAATTGATATTACTTATCTTAGGAATCATACCAAGTTATCCTAATGTATCCTCATCATATTGATATTATCATTGATATTATCATTCTTTATCATTCCTAGGATACCTATCATTGATCTCCAATTCCTAGGGATTTCCGGGAAGGTACTGAAGGACTCCTTGCGTGCGCATGGCCCCGTTTTGGGTCGGCTTCTCTCCACTTGGGCTGTCGTGGGCGACGTCACCAACGAGGTGGATCCAAGGGCAATTTTGATGGGGAAACTATCGTAAAATGATCATCTAATAGGAAACTATAGAAGTTCATGTTTCACCTTTCAAAAATGGGGAACCGAATCGCTATGATCACTATTTTTTTTTCGAATATTTTTTCTTGTAACCCCCAATAATCAAATACGGTAGAAATCAGCCAGCATCACAGCTGGGGTCATCGCAGGCTCAAAAGGATAGTTTAGTGGCTTGGCTCAACCACTGCCCAGAATTCATTCTCGTTCCAGACTTGGTTTGGGGGGAAATAGTCATTGTTTCCTGTAGGTTTCCCACTAAACGAGGCCTTCGATAATCAGGGCAAACAAACGAGAGACTATTCTGTGTGGATAGTGGATGCCTGTATCCATAGCTGATTTACGACTATATATGTATATACTACTAAAATACATACATCCGATCCATGTATATCTGAATCGATGGGTACATCACCAGTTGGGCCGGGTGGCATGGATTGTTGTTGAGGGGTTCTCCAGTATCAAAGGATATTGGATTCACACATCTCCAGGAAACACTGGGCATAAAAATTGATATGTTCCATATTACCTATATTGAGTTTCAGGTATTTCACCGAGTAATCACTTGTTGGATTTGGCAATTGAGGAATACCCCAGGACACACCCATCGAGAATGTGGTGTTCATAAACCTCCCGGGTGGGAAACCGCGCTAGCAGTTGAGCACGTTTTGAAGAAAAAAGGGCTTGGCGCTGTGGCTGCTTCAGTCTGCCAAGCGCCTGCTTAAGGCGGCAAGGGTGAGACTCACGTGGTCCTTTGAATTTCTAGGGTGCCATCCCCATTGACAAATACGAATTCCCCGAAGCAACTGAGGATTAACAGCTCCATTTGTGTGCGTGCTCAACGAACTTGACGTGCCATGACGTAGCCGTAGCGTAGCATCACTTGTGCACGCAAGTCACACGAACGCTATTGCCGCACCCCACCCCACTCAAGCCCCAAGCCATGACGTAGCAGTAGCATAGCATCACTTGTGTACGCAAGTCACATGATCGTTATTGCCCCACCCAAACCCCCAAGCCATGACAAAGCCGTAGCGTAGCATCACCTATGTACGCAAGTTACATGAACGTTATTGCCCTACCCCACCCCACCCAAACCCCAAGCCATGACGTAGCAGTATCAGTAGCGTAGCATCACTTCTGTGCGCAAGTTACATGAACGTTATTGCCCCACCCCACCCCACCCCACATAAAACTAGACGACGGATGGCCCGAGAGCGTAGAGGAGCAGGGTCTTCTCTTGTTAGTATGGAGACACCATATTACAAAACAATATCTTAAAGATGTGTTATAGGCAGTCGAGAAGAGGAGTATCAAGACAATATAGCACAAGTACGAGACAATAGTTTGCATCGCAAACACTTTTACACACAGAAGCTTTTACACACAGACGCTTTTACATACAAAAGCTTTTACACACAGAAGCTTTTACACACAGAAGCTTTTACACACAAAAGCTTTCACACACAGAAGCTTTTACATACAGGCACTTTCACACACAGACCCTTTTACACACAGACGCTTGTACACACGGACGGTTTTACACACAGACACTTTTACACACAGACGCTTTTACACAGACGCTTTTACACACAAAGCTTTTACCCACAGAAGCTTTTACAGACAGAAGCTTTTACACACAGACGCTTTTACACAGACGCTTTTACACACAGACACTTTTACACACAGACGCTTTTACACACAGACACTTTTAACAAACACCCTTTTACACACAGGAGCTTTTACACACAGAAGCGTTTACACGCAAACGCTTTTACACACAAAAGCTTTTACACACAGAAGCTTTTACACATAGACTCTTTTACACACAGACACTTTTACACACAAACACTTTTACACACAAACACTTTTACACACAGACGGTTTTACACACAAACACTTTTACGCAGAAACACTTTTACACACAGACGCTTTTACACACAGACGGTTTTACACAAGCGCTTTTACACACAATTACTTTTACACACAGACGCTTTTACACACAGGCCGGCCCATGTTCATGCAGTCACAGTGAAGTCATCGTTGTCGTGGCCACCTCAGCAATTCGACGGAGGGGTGAAGTTCGTACCATGTATTTGGTGGACATGCATTCAATATAGTACAGGCTATAGAAGTATCGCCCAGACAGCTCTGGTTGAAAATCAAATAGCTAAGCTGCTCACAAAGGTGTTGAGTCAGGCAAAGAACCGACCTGGCCCCCCGCCAGGGTGGGGGAACCATCCTATCCCCTCAAAGTATTATAGGAGCAGGCCATAATTATATAAGTATTATCAAAGTCTGAAGCTAAGGCCTAAGGCTATTAATCGAAATATTGTAAAGTAAAGATCTAAGATGACGACTCGACGATATGCACCTCATGACAATACGTGACCAAGTGTGTAATGTCATGGCGAGCCTAACTAAAACTTTTTTGTCAGTCCCGAAATTGTCCTGCAAAATGATAAGTCCGCGACAGATGCAGCACGCTCAGCCACCTTGAAACCGCAAAAGTATATCTCCACAGGTTGGGCCGACAGTTCGTGCAAGCGCGCCGTGCAAGCGAGAAGTAAGTCAGGACTGCTCAAAAAAGTGTTACCCACAAACTCCACAACCCAAAAATCAGTGAATCCCAATGTAACCTCATCAATCCATTCATATCTCTTTCAGGGTAAAATTAAGCATGCCTAGTAAACATGCCAAGCAAACAAGTCAGGACTGCTTAAAACTTGCCAGCAAGGCCTGAACATGACAGGGATGACCGGAAAACAAACATGCCAAACAATCAACGGGGCAAGAAAACAAAACATGTAAGCAAGGCCGCTTTTACACACACACATTGCCGCTGTCACACAGAAACACCTTTTACACAGAAACCCTTCTGCACACACACCATTTTACACAGAGACGCTTTAACACACAAACCCTTTTACACACAGACACTTTTACACACAGAAGCTTTTACACACAAACCCTTTTACACAGATGCACTTTTACACACAAACACTTTTACACACAAACATCTTTACACAGAAACACTGTTACACACAAACCCGTTTACACACAAACACTTTTACACACAGAAGCTTTTACACACAGACACTTTTACACACACACACAGACACACACACACACCCTTTTGCACACAAACACTTTTACACACACACACACACCCTCTTACACACAGACAGAAACTTTTACACACAAACCCTTTTACACACAGACACTTTGACACAAAAACCCTTAGCCACACAGAAGCTGCGACCCACGGACCCCATTTACATTTACACAGAAACACTTTTACACACAAACCCGTTTACACTCAAACACTTTTACACACAGAAGCTTTTACACACACACACAGAAACACACACACACACACCCTTTTGCACACGAACACTTTTACACACAGACCCTCTTACACACAGACAGAAACTTTTACACACAAACCCTTTTACACACAGACACTTTGACACAGAAACCCTTTGACACACAGAAGCTGCGACACACGGACCCCATTTACACACAGACCCTCTTACACACAAACGCTTACACTTTTACACTCACAGCCTTTTACATCCAACACCAGTTAAGTCGCAATTTTACCTCGGTTTTTGCACATCGAGCCTCGTTTCGTGCGAAAGGCCCCATTTACACACAGACCCTCTTACACACAAACGCTTACACTCTTACACTCACACCCTTTTACATCCAACACCAGTTAAATCGCAATTTTACCTCGGTTTTTGCACATCGAGCCTCGTTTCGTGCGAAAGAGTTGCCCCGGCACAAGTAAAATCGCAATTTTTCCTTAGGATTTTGCGCATCGACCCTCATTTCGTGCGAAAGGGTTGCTCCAGGACAAGTCCGGCGACGATCGACCATCATTTCGTGCGAAAGGGTTGCTCCAGGACAAGTCCGGCACAAGTAAAATCGCAATTTTACCTTAGTTTTTGCGCATCGAGCCTCGTTTCGTGCGAAAGGGGGTTGCTCCAGGACAAGTAAGATCGCAATTTTACCTCAGTTTTTGCGCATCGACCATCATTTCGTGCAAAAGGGTTGACGTTTCGTGACTCCACGCCGGCACCACCCTCGGCCTAAAGAGAGAAAGATAAAGAAGGCGAGAGAGAGAAAAGGGAGAGAGAAAGGAGAGAGAGAAAGGAGAGAGGAAAGAGGAGAGAGAGAGAGAGAGAGAAGATGTGAGTATGTGAAGATGTGAGTGCGAGAGAGAGAAAGAGAAGATGTGAGCATGTGAAGATGTGAAGATGAGCAGATGTGAAGATGAGCAGATGTGAAGATGTGAAGATGCGAAGATAAGCAGATGTGAAGATGAGCAGATGTGAAGATGAGCAGATGTGAAGATGAGAAGATGTGAAGATGAGAAGATGTGAAGATGAGAAGGTGTGAGAGAAGGTGTGAAGATGAGAAGGTGTGAAGATGAGAAGATATGAAGATGAGAAGGTGTGAAGATGAGAAGATGTGAAGATGAGAAGATGTGAAGATGAGCAGATGTGAAGATGAGAAGATGTGAAGATGACAAAATGTGAAGATGAGAAGGTGTGAAGATGAGCAGATGTGAAGATGTGAAGATGAGAAGATGAGATGCAGACCCCCACTATTGGAAGAACCCTGCGCTCAGACGCTCTCGGGAAAAAAGTAGCACGACTACACGTGCTGTTTTCCACCCGCTAGCATAAACCTGGTGATTGAGTCCCTAGCTGGGGTCCTAAGGGTGTATTTAACAACTGTTTTTGACGCAGTAATCCTTGGTTTCAGGATATAAATGGTGGATTTTTCATTGCAGATTACTGGGGGGTATACACCCCCAAACATGGTGTTCAAATTTATTGGTCCGGTGCTGGGCACATAGTAGATTAACCGCAATTATCACCCCCAAAACAATCACGACTTGTTAAATTCATGGTTAAACCGTTAGATGCTTGTTAATTTCATGGTTAAACCCAGCAAAACTTGTTCGCTGCAAACCCCCGGTTTGCTCGCAGCGAATCCCGCATATCCTTTGACATGCTCAAATCCCTTCGTAGGGGTAAAGTTTTTTACTTTCCAAAACAACAAAGCCTAAAACCCTAAAACCCAAAAACCTAAAGTCAAAATCACTGCGTATAGCCAGTGTTTTCATTCATCCTTTGGTGACCAGTATATGATATTGTTTGGATGTGTTATTCGGGTGTGAGCGAACCAGGGGTTTGGAGTGAACTTGCAAAATACATTGTTAAACCCATCAAAACTTGTTAGATTCATGGTTAAACCATGTTAACCACATCCTTTTTGTTGTTTTTTAGGTGAAGATCCAATTTTTTCTTTTTCCGGCTTCCAGGCAAAACCGGCTTCGCAGGTGGTACGGCGGCTGGAGGAGGCGTCATAGATGTCCCATGACTTAGGGTACCCCTATGACTGAGGAAACCTCCATCATATATATCAGATAAATAATAAATAATTATATATATATATGGTCACCGCCCGCCCCCAAAACCCTACATATATATATGTATATTATATATATATATATACATATATGTAAAGACGTATAGAATACATGTGTGAGGCGTGTACTAAGATGAGAATCCTTATGATTTTCGGGAAATGCTCCCACTAAATGGTTGATATTGCTATTGAATGCAGGAGAATCGAAAAGTTGTACACTTCTATGTTTTGTCGGGGGGTTTCCCATCAAAATGTTGGTTTCTCGGACCTGAATGGAGTCCTCAAAGCCTCAACTCCGGGTAGCCTTTCCCCAAGACACCGACACCTGCTGTACCTTTCTCGGCAAGCTGGCCGGAGGGTCATCAAAGTGAGTCCCTACGATAAGACGGGCCAGTGCTACGGGAAGCTGGAAGATGTCTCCGAGAAGGCCAGAGCTAAATCTGCTGGAAGGTCCACACCCACCATTTGGGCTCCAAGTCTGGTGCAGGTGGAGGTGGTCAACCTGATCATTTCGCCCAAAATTGGCATGGACGTGCTGACTGCGATGAAGAAGCAGGGAATCAGGTTCTCGAACTCGTGATGTGTTGAGTGTTATCATTATATATTGTCATTTTTAGCAATTATTATTACTATTATTACTATTATTACTATTATTACTATTATTACTATTATTACTATTATTACTATTATTACTATTATTACTATTATTATTACTACTATTATTACTATTACTGCTATTTTTACTATTATCACTTACTAATAACTATATATTATCATTGTCATGATTTATTTTGCTTCCACGTTGTGATTATTGTTCTTATTGTTCTTATGGTTCTGATTGGTATTAATGTTATTATTCTTACCATTGTTATCATTGTTATTAGTATTTTTTGTTTTATTGTTACTATTCTTGTTTTTATTTTTATTATTCTTTTTTTTTTAATCATCATTATATATATGTATATATATATATTATTTTTTCTCATCATTCTGATGACTATTTTTTCTAAGTAACTCAATAAGACCACTGTCTGCACACCTGGTTTTGGACGTCACTTTGGATGTGCCAGCGAGGTATGTCTTTATGCAACCTGGAGCCGATGCAGAGGTGGTGGTAAGACAAGCAGAATCCTGGCACTGACCAAGCTGACAACACTCCGGACATGGGGTATATGTAGCTGGAGCAGGCAGTGGGGTTATTGGGCTCAACCCCTATCCCAACCAACAGGTCCACAGCCTAGATGCTGTAGGGGTTCTTCTCCACTTCCAACCAACGCACAGCAGCAAGCGCACAGAGCGCTATTTCCATGCACAAGGCCTCACAGGCCTGTCGCCAGGTTTGGCTTCAGCCAAGGAACTAAAAAGGGGCCCCTACCGAGCCAGATGCGGCAGCATCCACTGCTGAGATGTGACCTGACATGGCCGGCTGAGTTGCACCAGCATAAAAGGACTTCAGGTCACAGCTCACTGTACTATGGCTAGGTAGGGAAAAGATCGAACCGATCGGAACATCTCGAGAGCCACCATGGATTGCGAGAACTGCTAAGTCTCCTCGGTGGAGTTCACCAGCAGTGATTGCAAAAGCATCCAGCTGATCTTGACGGTATAGTTCGCCAGCACTGATTGCGAGAGCATGCTCGGCATAGTTGTCAAAGGCACCGCTTGCAGTCAAAGGAACTTGCATGTCACCCAGAGCATCGTCGATCTTCTGGATCGCTGTGTTGCCGGTGCGCTTGTTCTTCTTTGCTGCAACGAAGTGTGGATCGTATGCGATCGACCACAGTCGGTTCAACAAAAACTTCATCAAACCAACTCGACTGTCAGCCCTTTTCTTTGTAAAGGCATCTGCAAGGTCGTAGTCGGATGCCACCCATCGCAAATCGCAATTGACCCGCTTCAAGTTGTCTCGAAGCTGAAATGCTTGCAGAGCCGCTCTCATGTTTGAAAGTCCAAGGAGAGGGGATTCGTTCACCTCCACAGCCTCATAGCCACCTCGGGAATCAGTGCAAAGTAGTGGTCACCGGCCACCTGAACCCCCCAGCAGCGTCGGCCTAGCGGGTTTTCCTGGGCCTGTGTCGTTTCGTCTGCCCTCAGTCTAGGGCCTGAGTTTTAGTGGCTACCATGCAGGGGATGTCAACCCTACATGAAAACTAACATGTTTGGAAAACAGCATGGGGTATGAGCACGTGTCAGCACTCCCCCTGGTTCTGGACCGTCAGGCCTTGAACCATCGCTTCGTGCATGCCTGGGAATTTCCATCCAGACATCTTCAGTGACAGCTGCCACCGGATCAAAACCTACCAGTGCAACCCAGCATTGGTCTGGGGTCTACGCACGGCATCTTTGTGCCCTCAGCTCAAGCCACTCTCAGTACCTCTGGTACCCGTCGCATCGTTGGCACATGGGGTAGCCTTGCATCGGCCCAGCGCATTCTCGTCGGCTATGCACTGTTCTCCCCGGTCCCTCTGAGTAGAGGATGGTAGCGGAGCTCGGCTGGAGGCCGACACAGCACAGAGGGCACCACGGCGACCTCACCATCCATCCAGAGTTCGCCAAAGTCGGGCAGGTGACCCCTGTATGGAATCTTGTGCCCCATGGCGTGATGTACACCGGCAGTGCCACGCCATGTTCGTCACTTGGCACTCTTGGAGGTGCTGCTTCGTCATCTCCTTCGCCGTTCTCGGCCATCTTTCCTCCTCCTTTTTGTGCTCCAGTCTCTGGGACTTCTTCACCTTCTGCCTGGCCTTTCTTTCCTTGGCCCTTGGGTGCCCCTTTCTGTGGGCTTCCTTCTCCTTTCGCGCCTTTGGCCGCGATCTCATCATCACCTTTCTTTCCTCCTTTCGCGCCTTTGGCCGCGATCTCATCATCACCTTTCTTTCCTCCTTTCGCGCCTTTGGCCGCGATCTCATCATCACCTTTCTTTCCTCCTTTCACGCCTTTGGCCGGCGTTCCTTCTTCACTCCCTTTGGCTTGACCCTTCTCGGCCATCCTTTGGAAGTATGCCTGTGGTGGACTTCCTTTCCCTGGGTAAATCTGCCCATGGGTCTCCGGGTCCCAATCATCTGGGTGCTCGTGTTCTTCTTGTACGAGTCCTTGGAAGAACTCTTCCACCAGCCGTGGTGGCTCTGCGCCTGGCTCTTGTGGTGGTGGTGGTGGCACAAGCATGTGCACCGGTGTTGTGCTGCTGCTAGCTGCCTGTTGTGGGCGGCCTTTCTGTTGGCCTGCCTGTTGGCTCGGTCGGCCTGCTTGTAGGCCCAATTGGCCTACTTGTGTGCCTGCTTGGCCTGCTTGCTGGCCTTTCTGCTGTCCCTTTGGGATGGGATACATGTGTGCCAGCTGTCTTGGCGGTGCTTTTGGGCCCGGCGGATTCCTCAGGAAGAGGTTCCCATCACGATCTCCGTGAGGGAATGGAACACCTGGGTCTGTCTCCTCCTCTGTGTCTTCATCATCCCTGGCTTCCACTCTCCTTCTCCTCCTGATACTCTCTGGGGTCCTCAACGCCTGTTCTTCTTGGCGTCTTGTGGGTGCTCCTCTCACCCTACTTCCTTCTTCTTCTGCGGGCTCTTCCTCAGGCTGTCGGTCTCTCCGAAGCCAGCCCATCAGACAAGGGATGATCCTCTGGATCACTGAGACCACTCCCACAAGAGCAAACATCAGAATTATCTCAATGTGGAACATCTCTGCCCTTTCTTCGGTCTCCTCATCATCTTGAGCTTTGGCTCCCTGAATGGCGATCATCAACGCCACGCACTGGAGTGCCTTCTCTACTTCTTTTGGGACTCTGGTCCCCTGTTCCTTCTTCTTGATCTTCTCTGCCTCTTCTGGTGCCGTCTTCTCTTCTGGCTCCTCATTCTTTTCTTCATCTTTTCCAATCTTCTTCATGCCAAGCCCCTTCTTGAGCTTTTCCAGCCTGGCTGACGTCAGGCTCTTCGTCCCAATGTCTGCCAGCATGTCTTCGCCTGGCAAATGTCGCAGCAGCCAGTCTCCTTTGGTGAATCTCTGTTTGGCATGCGCTGCTCTCAAGCGCAGATGTCTGGTCCTCCAGCTTCCTCCTTCTGCCAGACAGATGTTCACCGCTGCCTGCGAGTCTGATGCCATCATCTTCATGATGTGGGGTTCCAGCTCCTCCAAAATCGCTGCAACACTTTCCCCCATCATCAGTCCTTCTATGAGCTCGTTCAGCTCTGCCTCCGCTGTGCTAAGGCTGACCGTCGACTGCCTTGAGCTCTTCCATAGCAGCGGGGCTCCCCTCAGAGTCACAATCGCTGAACCGTGACTTTCTTCACCTGAGGGTGCGAAGCTTGCGTCAGCATAAACAGCAAGCCCTGACTGCTCTTCCCATCCTTCCCATGATGGACCTTTCTCAAACGTGATCCCTTCATGGATCGTGGCAGCCATGTATCCCCACAGTTGGGATGCGCTCTCTGCGACCCACTGGGGTTGATGCAGCACTTGGCTGGCCATCTTCGCCAAGGCATACATCATGTCTGGTCTGGTCCTCGTGACTAACCAGAGTGCTTCGCCCACTATCTTCTGGGCCTTCCTGACTCCTTCCACCTTTGGCTCTTCTTGGTGTTCAGCCGGTGGATCCTTGGAGATTGGCACCTTTCTCTTGGGCCATTTCTTCTCATCCTCCCCCACGTTCCTCCTCAGCAACTCCTTGACATAGTCCTGCTGGGATGCTGCCCAGACTTCAAGACCATCCTCTCCTTTGGTCTTGGAGATTCCCATGCCGAGGAATCTTGTGGGATCTTCGTTGATCCACTCTGGAGTTGAGGTGTTCCATTCCTTCTTGATGGTCTCAGTCAGCGCCTTCAGTAGCTGTGTTGGACCTGTGGCGAACAAGTCGTCCACGTAGACCATCATCAGGGCTTTTGGAGGCCCTTTCGGCTTCTCCTCTTCTTCATCCTCATCTTTCACCTCATCTATCCTCCAGAGGTTGGGTTCCGACACCAGCTGTGTCAATCTGTGTCGCTTCCCTTCATGTGGGACTTCCATCTTCCTCATCGTGGAATCCCTGTGGTTTCCCCACAACCTTGGGCTCTTTCTGAAGCCATACAAGGCCTTCGTCGGCCGCCACAGCGTGCCTTCTTCGACCAGCTTCATCCTGATCAGCAAGTGGGGTGGCTTCACCAACACATCCATGTCTTCCCATGGTGTGTTGAGGAACGCTGTACGGATGTCCAACGTGACTCCGTCCCACTGGTTTTCTGATGCTAACTTCATCATGATCCTCAAAGTCACTGCATCACCAGTGGACGCGTACAGTTCGTCCTGGGCATCTTTCGCCGTGAAGTTTCCACACGCCACTATTCTGGCTTTCTTCTTTCCTCCTTCTGGTGCGGGCTTCACCACCGTCACCAGCTTTCCTGGCACCACCTCCAGCTTTCTTCCTTCGGCGTGTGCCTCCCTGAACATCTTCTCCACCTCCTCCTTGGAAATGGCTTCAAGGGCCATCTTGTCTTCCACCAAAGACTTCAGTTCTTCTTCGATGGGCTTCTTCCATCCTTCAAGGTCTTTCATCACCTCCCCCAGGCCCACGATCCTCGTCTGAAGAACGTCTTCACTCGTGCCCGTCTCCATCATCATTCGGAGTTTGGCCACAGATTGCATCGTCGTCTTCAGGGCCTCTTCTGAGGGGTCTTCCATCAGAGCTGTCATCTCCTCCATGATCAGCTGCAGAAGTCTTGATCTTCTTCTGGGTTCAGGGTCTCTCCCCTCTTCCCCTGGTTCGTCTTCTTGAACCTCCATCTTCGCCAACTCTGGTGGCGTCTTTCTCCTCAATCTTCTTCTTTCTTCAAGTGGATCTGGCATCTCTGTCATGACTGCCAGCCACGAGTGGTCTGTCACGGGGTTCCACACATCAGCTATGCAGAACCGGGCTACGATGGTCGTCCCATCTTCTTGCTTCACCCAGTGACCGTGACCTTCCCAACATGGAGCGATGTATGTCACTCGGTCCATGGTTGGCAGGAACTGTTGCGCATTCCACCTCCTCTTCTTGACCAGGACTTCAGCTCCCAGTGGTGGAAATTTCTGCTTCAGTCCACACCTCCACATGCGCAACTGTTCGTCGCAGTGGCGCGCTGCAAGTGGCCATTGGTCTTCGGACCACCCTGCTTGATGCAGCAATCTTCTTATGTGTGTCTTCACTTGTTGTACGGCATTCTCTGCTCTGCCGTTTGATTGTGGGTTGCTGACACCCGTGAATGTTCGGATGTATCCTCTTGCCTTCATCCATCTTCTCATGGCATCTGAGGTGAACTCACCTCCGTTGTCGGAGTGGACTTGGGAAACATCAAATCCATCTGACCTGAGCTTGAGGATCATGTCGATGACTGCTTGGAGGACTACTCCCCCCGCCTTCGAGGGCAAGGGAGTCACCAGTCTGAAAATCTTGATTTCAAAGTCCTCTGGCTGATCCACCTCCTCCTTGGCTGCTTCTTGTGGCTCCTGGGGGTTGATGGCTCTCTCACCACCTTGGGGCTCCTCAGGGTTACCAGGGGGGTCTTGTTGGGGATCCTCCTCTGTGTGTTCTGCTTCATCATCAGCCTCTCCTTCACTGTCATCGATCCTCAGCCCTTCGATCGCATCCACCTCCTCTTCTGGAACTCTCTCATTCCTTTTGTCTTCTAGAGGTGAATCCTTTGGTGCAAGCCATGTGTACGCACCCACCAGAAGGAATCTCATCTTGTTTCCCATCAGGTCCTCACCCTTCACTAGTGGGCCTGTGGTGTTCACCGACAATACTCCCGCTCTTGGGAATTGTCCTTTCTTGGCGTTCAAGCGCCGGTGTGGAGCGGACTTAGCCCCAGACTGCTGGCATATCTTGCAGTCTCTTCTACACGGGACGTGTCCATGCTTCACATGTTGTTCCCATGACATGGGCCTTAGCTGGACGGGTCTTTCTTGGCACTTCTTGACCACTTCCTTCGCCAGCTCTTTCATCAAACCCGGCACCCATCGGCTCAGGCTCTTTGAGTCTTGGACCCTGTCTTGGGATCTTCCTTTGGCTTCTGGGTTCCTCTCTTCTGGAACCTTGATCTCGACGTTCCCGCCGATCGTTGTGGGCTTTATGCAGCCTTTGCCGCCTTCTTCTCCTTTCCAGTCTCCCTGGTTGAACTTGATCTCTTGCAGATCGTACATCTCTTTCATCTTTCTCCACTGGTCCGTCCACCAGAAGGAGACCGTCTTGGGGAGGTACTCTGGAGCACTCGGCTGCTCGAGAGCCAGGATGATCTTCTTCCATCCCTCTCCTCCTGTCTTCTGTTCTTCTGTCTTGGCGTCTCTCTTGATGCCTTCTTCTTTTTCTTCTTCGTCCTTTGTCTTCTCGACGTGGACTGCCAGGACGTACAACAGCAGCGTCCTGAAGAGCATGACATCGTCTTGCCACACCTTCGTCTTCTCATCCTTTCGCAGGTCTCTCCTGCCAAATTCTTCACCACCCCACTCTCGAAGTGGCCTTGGCCCATGACACTCTGGTGTCATCCTGTAGTTCCTCAGCACTGATCTTGTGCGACAGTTTGGGCCTGCCAGGATCCCTCTGATCCTGTTGTCAAATGCCAACCTCAACAGTGTGGCATATGGATCTGAGCTCATCAGGTCATGCCCAGGTCCTCTCTTCTGATCCAGCTCTATCAGAGTCTGGACATCGCCGCCTGCACTCTTCACTGCCTGGCTCAGGATGAATCCGTCGTCCTCCCCCGCGAACAGGTGCAGAGTGGCTCCTTCCCTTTGGATCTTCCGTCTTTGTCTACGGTTCATCCCTGGAAGGGCTGTCAAATCCTTTGATGGCGTCACCACCAGTTCCTTCTTTACCTCCTCTGGCAGGTCTCTGAAGACCGGATGAACGGCCACCATCTTCTTCAAGACATCTTCTTCGTCTTCTTCTTTGGTCTTCATCTTCTTCATCCATCCAGACTTCTCCTCAAGCTCCTGGATGATGTCTAATGCCAGTGGTCTTGGGATATGAGGGCATCCTCCTCTTTGTGTTGTGGCCAGTCTTCCCCTCTCTGGGTGAACCACGACAAGGCCTCCCTCATCCCATTCCACCGTACAGCCGAGCTGGCTGACCATCTTTCCAAGTGGAACGATTGGCTCTGTCTCCTCATCTTGGCCAATCATTGTTCCTCCTCTTGTCATCTTCAGTGTGGCGTCTCTACCACAGGCCAACGTCACTCGGACCTCTGTCAAGTCCTTGAGTGATTCTCCTGGCTGTCTTCCTCTCAAGGCGTGCGTCGCGCCAGAGTCTAAAAGACCATAGTCTCCTTCTTCTGTGTGGATCTTAGAGATCCTGAAGACCTTCAGGGTCTTGAGTTCATCAAGCTGCTTCTGCAACTTTTGCAGCCTGACCTCCTTCCCTTCGTCTTCTTCATTCTTTCCTTGTTGCAAGGCCTTCAACATCTTGTTGGCCTCTTCCAGCAGTCCCTTCATGGCTTCACTGCTGTCTCCTTCATTGGAGCCTTCCTTGGCTACCTCTTCTTTCTTGGTGGCTTCCTCTTTCTTCACCACCTTTGCCGTCGGCTTCATGTCTTTCCCCTCCCAGAGTTTTCCGCTCTTTTCCGGACTTCCCTCTTTGTTGGGTTCTCGGGGTCTGTCACACGCTGGTGCGTAGTGCTGCGTCGAGCCGCAATTCCAGCATCTCTTCTGGTCGTCAAGGTTGTGGGCCCATCTGCAACCCTTCCCCTTGCGACATCCTTCTGTCGTGATGAAGAACTTGCAGGGGGCTCTCTCACCTTTCCCTGACTTACCTTCACCTTTTCCTCCTTCTTCAATCTTCCTGACCTTCACCTCTGGCTGTGCTTGCTTCTGCGTGTCCTTGCTGGTGCTCTTCTTGCTGCCTTCAAGGTGTGCTATCTGCTCCATCTCAGCCAAGAGGTGGGTCGAGAACTTTCCCACTGTGTCTTTCGTGGGGGTCGAGTCGACCTGGAGCATCGACCTGGCCAAGCTGATCCTGAAATTCAGCTCTCTGTTGGCTTCCAAAGGTCGGCGGACGATGCGTCCCAAGCCTTTGAGCAAGAGGAAGGGATCAGGCTCGCTCACCTGAAGCTCCATTGCTCGTCTCCTCCATCTCATCCACTTCCTCAGTGAACTCACTGCCTCTGCCACTGTTGCTGCTTCCTGTGGCATCTCCAACGACCTGAGGATGACCTCCTTCTCAGCCAATCCTCCAGGCTGAAAGGTCGTGAAGAGGTGGCAGATGATCTTCAGAGCTGTGATCCTCTTCGTCGACACCAGCTCCTCCTTCTGGGCTTCAGGGATGCTCATCATGAGCAGTGTGGACGCCCTTCTTTCTAGGCGGATCCACTTGGGCTGGTCCAAGTCTTTGGAAGGCTGTGGCTCGTGTGTCAGCCTGTCCATTGGACTCAGAGCCATGTGGTCTTGGTACCACTGTCTTGCTTCTTTCAGCAGCCTGTCCCACCAGTCGTGTGAGGTGGCTGTGAGGTCTGCCATGATTGGCTCAATCAACGCCAACCAATCGTTCAGGTCTATCGGACCTGTCGAGGGGTTCCAGTCCGTCAGTCTTGGCACTTCGGGGTGGCTTCTGACGTACTCTGCTTCTCCCCCCTCTCCTTCTTTTCCTCCATCCTTGGAGAGCATCTTCTTCTGCATTTCTGTCATTGTATGCATCATCATTGCCATCAGCTGCAACGTTCCTGGGGTCTCCTCTTGCCTTGAGGAACCTGCAGCTTCTGTCTTCAGGGGTCTTGTGGCCTCTCTGGCCGTTGGGGGTCTTTCAGCCTCGGGCTTTGGGGGTCTGTCAGCCTCCTCAAGCTCGTCTTGAAACAGCTTCTTGGCTGTCTGGCTTTCTTCTTCAGGGGTCCTATACTGGACATCTTCATCTTCTATGGCGTTCTGGCGCCTCTCATCATGCCTCTCTCGGCTTTCATCTCTTCCTTTGTGTTGCAGCAGTCTCTGCAACTCCTCCTCATGCCTCTCTCGGCTCTCGTCTCTTTGTTTGTGCTGCAGCAGTCTCTGCAACTCCTCCTCATGCCTCTCTCGGCTCTTTTCTCTTTCTTTCTGTTGCAGCAGTCTCTGCAACTCTTCTCTTTCTCTCAGGAGCATGGTCCTCTCCATCTCCAATTCTTCTTCTCTTTTTCTCAACCTTTTCAACTCCTCCTCTCTCAGAGTTTCAGGTCGCATCTCCTCAAGTGTCCTCTGTTGGACTTGGGGCGGGTTCAGCATCGGTGCCTGTCTCCGCAACTCTTCATATCTCCTCAACTGCTCATCGTCGAACAGCGGTTGGGGTTCTGGCTGGTTGGCTGGTCGGAGCGTGGTCGGGCTGGTCTTGGGTCCCCCAGGCCATTGGGGGCTGGTCTCAGGTGCTCCTGAGGGTCTGTGAAAGGGGGTCTGGGCTGCCGATGCCGTTCTTCCTCCTCTCTCTTCCCTTTCTCTTGTGGAGCTTGTCGGGGGTTCTGCTTGCCGGGGTGTCTCAACCGGGGTCTTCGGAGTCTTCCACTCCTTTGCGGGGGTTTCCTCCTGCCGTGGAGTTCTCCCCATATCATCTTCCAAGGTTGGCTGTGAGGGCGTCTTCAGGAATTCACCTCCTTGGCTTGGTGTTCCCTTTCCCCTCAGTGCCATTTGGTCTTCTTCTTGCCTCTTATCTTCCAGGGCCTTCATCTGCCCTCCCTTCAGCACTTCCACCTACTGGTCAGCCTCTTCTTCAGCCACGTTCTCTCGCAGAGTCTTCCTTCTGCGCTCCAGCATGGCTTGGGCTCGTAACCTAGTGGTCACCGGCCACCTGAACCCCCCAGCAGCGTCGGCCTAGCGGGTTTTCCTGGGCCTGTGTCGTTTCGTCTGCCCTCAGTCTAGGGCCTGAGTTTTAGTGGCTACCATGCAGGGGATGTCAACCCTACATGAAAACTAACATGTTTGGAAAACAGCATGGGGTATGAGCACGTGTCAGCACAAAGAACTCCTGCTACAGCACACGCTTGTTCTTCTGCAGCAGTTACCAGATCGTTCAGGTTGGCATAGACCAACGCCATGAAGTTCGCTCCATAGCATGCGAACTCGGAAGTTCTGATCTTCGGCTTCAAGTATACTCTGAACTTCTGCATCGTTGCTTCCAATCGCCTTCCTCTTCAATTTCCAGCTTCGCCATGCAAGAAGGTTCATAGGGACAACCTTTCCAGTCAGGACATCTGGCCCAGCAGCCAATGTCAAAAGTCCACCAGTGGAGTCACCTTGGGGACGATTTGCATGAGACTGGCCGCCCATTGAAATAAAAACCACATCGGTCCACTTCTTGGTGCCTGGAAGTTTGAAGAACTGAAGATGTTGAGGAGCAGCACGAACTTCGGAAACCATTTGTTGTATTTCACGTGCTGTTTAAATTGTTCCATTTGTTACAACCTCAGTGAAAAGCAAATTGCAACGTGCACACAGTTGAGGTTGTGTCTGGATGGGCCAACCACTGTAAGGCACCCAAGGTAGTTCGGCAAGCAGCTATACCTCAGTTTTTGAAAGAGACCCAGATTGTTGCCATCGTTCAGGATCCAGGTTGACGTCCATGATCGTCTCAATGTAGGCATCTTGGTTGACATGGATGGCAAACTCGCCATTCTCCTTCTTGACGGTCTGGATGTCCGTCCCAGCATGTCGGTAACTTCCTTGTTTCGAAGTTCCCCACTTGTATGCCGCCAGGACTTCCTGAAAAATGGCTTGCCATTGTTGACTATGAGGGTCGCCCACAACGTGAAAATCATCAACGTGACCACCAATGGCGCCAATCAGCCGTGGGTACTTGTTGGTCTCATCCTTCAGCTCTTTTGAAAACCAACCCCAAAGACATCGTTCGCCAAGAATTGGTACAGCACCAAGTCCAACAAGCTTTTTGTGAAGATCAAGCCAAAGACCACGTGGAGCTGTTGTTGAGCCATAGATGTTTCTCAAAACACGCATGATGCCCTCATCTGGTGGGCCAAGAGCTGCACGTAGCTCAGAAACGCCAGTTGTCCAGAGTTCTTGAACGGCTTCTGTCGGCTGTGTTTGAAGAAAAGCGGTGGCCAAATCAAGTCCATGGATTTGCCACTGATGATGGGTTGCCAAGAGGTACAACATGTTCCGTCCATGCTTTGAACAGGAGCCGCAGTCTTGAAGGTGCGATCAAGGAGTGAAGGATGCTGGAAGCCCAGCAAAACAATTCTGGCTTTGGCCTTTTTGGAGCCATCTTTTGTGAGGACAGTGTTGGGATCCTCACTTTCTTCTTTTCGAGCATCATCTATCTCATCAGGAGGCGTTGATTTCCATGTCAAAATCCATCTCGCCTTGATGATTCGTTGAGATTCAGATTCAACAGCTCTGCGAACTTCTTGATCATCTACACAACGTCTCACGGCCTGGTTCTTCAGGAAGCTGTCCACTTCGCGCGACTTGGCCTTTTCAAAAAGAGCTCGATGTTCAGGTGTCAACTTCGCCAATTGGACTTCAGCATTGCCAACCTTCTTGGCCATGAAAAGTGAAGGATTTCTCACGAGCTGCTTCCTTTGACGTTGGGAGTCCATGGAGAGGTCAAAGGAAATCATGAAGGCCTCTTCAACGCAGGGATCTTGAAGAGCAGTGTGGACATCCATAGTTTGAGCTTCTAAGGCCGCATCTTGTTGAAGTTGTTCGACCCACTTCATGTCGTATTCCAGGTTTCTGGGTCGCTTGCTTTCTGGGGCTTCAGAATGTGGATCACCAGGTGAGTGTTCATCAGGAATGTCATTGATGGGAGTTCCAGGTTCATAGGGAGAATCATCACCACCAGAAACATTGACTGGTTGCACAGGAGCATCCTCAGCTGGTAAGTCCAGACCAGCAGCTTGAGATGAGGAAGCTTTGCGGTCAAGTCCAGGTGGCCGAGATCGTTCTGCACGTCCAAGTCCAGGGAGAGGTGCAGGATCTCTGACGCCAAGTCCAAGAGGCGTTGACCTGTGCACAGTTTTCCAGTCATCTGATTGGAGTTGTTTCTTCCCCCAAATCCGCATCGCTGGAATGACTGAAGTGTCATCAGGTTTTGGAGGCAGGATTTGTAGTTCAGGTTCATCAGGATCTGGAACTTCATGGGTGAAATCCACAAATTCTCGTGCTGGAACAAGATCTGAGAGCGTCTTCATCTTGGTGACGTCCTCCTTGGAGTGCACATCATGATGAAATCTTTCCACAGCTGTCACAGGCCTGACGCTGTGAACTGAGCACTTGAAGAGCTTGCCATGCATGAGCACCCAGATGATGTGGCGTCGAGGATCATCACGGTCTTGATGAGGAAGTAGTTCTGTGAAGACGACTCTTCCAGGTCCAACCCAGCCAGGTCTGCTGGTGCGTTTCATTCCACCACGAGGACCTTTGTAAGCATCACTTGGAAGAACTTTGCGCCAAACTTTGACAAGGTCCGCAATCTCAAAAGTGCGCAAGGGCTGTCTGGCCTTGCTATTGTTGAGCCTTGTCACGATTCTCTGCGCCCTTGTCTTCGTTGCTACATCTTCAGCTCTTTGACGAGCAGCAACCATTGAAGCAAAAGACGCACGATCACCAAGTTGGGCAAAAAGTCGACGATCTTCTTCACTGACCAAATGCCCATTGATGGGAACTGAAGCCGCTGACAAACTCAGTGGAGTTAAGTGCAGAGGCAGCCAAGGTCAAAGTCACAGATGGATCCTGGGCAAAGTTGTCCATCTGGATAGCCGTTGCGGTATGTTTGAACTCCCGCATTGCATTCTCAACCAATCCATGAGCCCAAGGTTCTTTTTCCGCTGGCATGGAGAGCTCAATGTTCTGGTCGCGGCAGAAGTCAGCAAATTCTTTTGCCACGAAGCCCATGCCATTGTCGGGAATGATCACCTCAGGTTTTGGATAATGAGCCAGCCAGCTCTTGGAAACAGCCTCAATCACTTGGGCAGAGCTTTCAGTACGCATCTGATTGCTGCCGTAGGGCTCCATCAATGGCACTGCAACACGCAACTTGGTGGCATAGTCGATCATGAGCAAGAACTTGATCTTTTGGTTGAGGCCTGGCACAACCCATTCTGACGCATCAAGTCCAAGCGCCTGCCAGGGTCCAAATTGAGCATGAGTTGAAGCAGGTGGCACGTTGCCGCTTGATGCACCACCAGGTTTCAAACCTTCACAAATTGGACAAGTGAAGTCCTCAGCCATCTTGATCTTCCATTTGTCCAGATTGGCATCACGAACAAGTCGGCTAAGGTTGCGACTTGAGCAGTGGCCAGCCGCTTTGTGGAAGTGCATGAGTTTGGCCTTCCAACGTTCACGTTCTGCAGCATTGGGCGGTTCATCCGCAGGATCTGGTGCAGGAGGTTCAGCACCAGCCACAATTTCGCCAGGATCTCCATCAGCAGGGGCCGCATAGAGGTCAATGTCCTCATCGTCAGCAATCTCCTGGAAGTTCATGCGCCGTAGTTGTTGGTTGTTCACAGTCTGCTTTGCCCAAAAACGAGCAATGGACTGGACCATCTTCCAGGGGTAATAGCTTGACTTCTGAGTTTCACGACCCTCAATGCGTCCGTGGCAATGACCACCTTGACATACTTTGCAACGAAACTGGCTGTGAAAAAGTTCATCGTTTGTTTTCACCAACCACTTTTTCCGCAGAAAGTTTTGATGTGCATCAACCATGCCATAGCGACATCCATCGATACGACATCCAACCAATCATGCCCATGTTTTTCAAAAAGAGATTGAATTGCCAGGAGTGGTTTTTGTTTCCATCCAAAACAAGGGTGAGGCCACTCGTAGTAAACCAGCAGTTCAGGATCATCCGCCAAGGCCTCAGTGAGAAGTTCATGAGCATACCAAAGAAGTCGCCGTTCTCGTCGTCGATGCTCTTCAAGAAGTTGTTGCCGCTCAGGTCCAACGTAGTTGAGGCTTGACCATTGGCACCAAAATGTGCAAGGAAGAGACCACCATAGACGTCGAGGTCGATGTTTCCGTCGTAGTGCACGTAGATGATCCCAGGTCTCCTTCTTGTAGAGGTCATAGCCGGACTGCAGGTTGATGCGTCTCGGATGCAAGCCTTGCATCTGAGCTGCCTCGGAAAGCCAAGAGTGAGGCGAGCATGCCATCTCCCATAGTCCATCTCGATCATCAAGAGCAAAAGAAGCCATCATAGTGGTTGCGGTCGCCAGCATCGTAGTTGCCAGGAACATCACCTTTGCCGCCAGGCGATGTGTGAGCTCATAGGTCTTGTTGGCGTCCTTGACATTCTTTGAAACCTTGGCATTCTTTGTCACCTTGATATACGCAGTGTCCAGGTCATTCTCAGGCACCTTGGGGTTCTGTGGAACCGTGACATTCGTGGGAGCGAGGTCGTTCTTCAGGACATCTCCGCCTCTTTGGCGTTGTTGGCATTCGGATCCACGTAGCCCTCCGCCGGCATGTAGGCACCGTCCACCACGTCCCATTGCGTCGCTGGTGAGCTCGATGGTGTCGAAGGAGACGACTTTTTCGACTTTGCCTTTGTCGACGGGAAGGCGCTGTTGAACGCCTGAGCACCCATCTCCTGGTTGATGTGGTTCTGCAGCACCTCCTCGGCTTCGATCAGCTTCACCATGGCCGCACAAATCGTCTGATTTGGGCGGTAGCCGTTCATCATTGGCTGCAGTCGCTGCAGCATCTTCTGGATCATCACTGGGTTCTCGACTTTCGTGGAGCCGCTGGTGCTTCCCTTCTTTGGCACGCACTGGAGACGTAGGTTGCATACCATGCAGTGCACCCAGGCTCCATGAGTGAGGCTTCGACGGAGTGTGAGCTCCGAAGCATGGCCATTGTTGGGAGTCGGCACGAGGGTCCCTTGGGTCGTGACCCATCGTGCGCTCCGGGTCCTAGAGGTCTGGAAGCACAGGGCTGTCTCTTGGACACATTGAAGCCAGAGTTGCTTCGGCATTCGCAGCAGCATGACCATGTTGTTGTGCATGTAGTGCCATCAGGTTCCTTCTCGATCTTTCCAAAACATGTTCACCATGTACATGGTCAGACATGCTCATGTCATAGAACTCAACCGGGTGAAATTCAAGAGTTTGCAGCTCGGCGGACTGGATGTGACCCTCCATGACATGTATAGTTGGATGACCTTTTTGATTTGAATGCCCCAATGTAAGGTAGTAGACAATGTCCCGAATGTAGTGCCCCTTATTGTTACTAGGTAGTTGATGTATTGTTGGTGAAGGATTCAAAGACTCGACAGCCAAACCAGTGTTGAAGTCAATTGTCAAGGCGCTTTCAGGGCTGTCCTTACCACTCAAATGATCCATCCCCAACAGCACGGGTACCATGTTCTTTGGGTCCACATTCTTGGGGTCAGGCAAACAATACATGTGGAAATTTCGCTCAGTGCCAGAAACTTTGGAGGAAATAGTGACCCTAAAATTGGCTTGCCCCCAACAACCATTCCCAAAGCGAAAGTAAGGCCGCATGTATTTCGCAATGGTCACAGCAGCTCCTCGATCCTGAGCCAGTACCGAGTTGATTAACTTCTGCACGCTAGTTTCAGGCCCAGCACTTGCAGTAGCGCCGCAATCGAGAAGACCAAGGTTGGGTGGCATGTTGGTCGCCGCATTGGATTGAGCCTCATAGGTCTCCTGCAGTTCCAAGCCGTACATCACCTGGTTCTCAGCAGCGTATGCATTCACAACTGGACGACTTGGTGACTGCTTGGATTTTCCTTTTCCCTTCCACATTGCATTCAAGTCAGCCAGACTGGCATGTTTGCCTTTGCCCTTGTTTTTGGACTTGCCCTTACCCTTCATGTAGTAGAGCTCAGCACAATCAACCATGTAGGCATGTGGAGATTTCCCCTTAGCTTTCCCCTTCAGGTACGAAGGATGGTATTTGTCAGGGCAATCTCGAGCAAAATGGTTTCCACCACAAATGAAGCACTTGCCATCGCTGGGAGGACGCTGATGGCCAAATCCACGATCTTTGCGAAGCAGGGCAGTTGCTCGTTGAGCTTCAGCCCAAGTTCTCTGAGCTTGAGCGAGGATGTTCTCTGCATCACCCTCAGCCTTCATAGCACTTTGTAGTTGAGGATCATCAGCACCAAACATCTTGTAGAGGAGGTTCAGGTTGAGAGTGTTGTAGATCACCCCATTGATCCCAGTCAGGCTCAGCCCAGTAGTCGGCTTCGCTCCAGTAGTTTTCACCCCAATCATTCGGGTCGTAGGTCTCATCAGACACCTGGAAGGACTCAGTGTAGTAGCCCGCCATAGAGCTCTTCATGGTTGAAGTGCCGCGTCCAAGAAACTGTTCATCCCATAGAGTCTGTAGTGCTTGTGTCACCACCTCGAACTCAAGACTTCCCTTTGTAGTTGCTAGGATGTCCCTCTTCTCATCAGGACTGAGTCCAGCTGATTGCAAGAGCCGGAAGCCCCTCAAGACTCCCAAGACGAAGCTGTCAGCCAAGGAGAACTCGTTGATCTCACCTTGAACTTCGCCTGCAGCTGAGGTTCCAGGAACTCCAACAGAGCGGAAACTGGCATCTGGTTGAGCACGTCGAATTGGAGTCATACCCACAGAGCCTTCTGCAGCCGCTGTAGCCATAGGTGACGCCGTAGGTCTCGCCGGTGAAGTAGGAGAAGCAGCAGCACCAGGAGGTTCTTCTTGTTCTGGATCATCATTTGCATCGTACCACCAATCAGCCCATCCATCACTGGGAGCTTCTTCAGGTAGATCAAATGTCTTGTCATGTTGCTGAATCCCTTTCTTGTCCTCATACAGCAGCAAGAGCGCCTCCACAAACTCTGAGTAGCCCAAGGCCTCCCTCACAAGGAAGTTGTTCATGGCTTCTCCAGCTTCACGTCTAAAGCTGAAGTACTGCTGGCATGTTGCAGCAGCGTTCGGCAAGGTTCGCCGCACCAGGGGAGAAGCTGCCAATCTTTGTAGAAGATCTCGGACTCCATTTGTATGATCAAACTCCACTGTAGTCCAGCTCATAGCCAGTAGTCGGGCAGGACCACGTAGTTTCCCCACCAGTTTGGTCGCGCAGTATCTGCGTTTCTCAACTGGTGTGGCCCTCACATACCAACAAACCTCACGTGTATACCTTCGCCATGATCTTGCGCCTCCGTCCCAAACTGGAACGTTTTGTTCCTTCTCAGATGACATCTCTCCTGAGAAGCAGTCGATGGCCAAAATGGCCTGCAAAGGGTCCCAGTCGTGTCACTGGGGAGTGCAAATTCAAACTGGTAAAAGAGCTCGGCCAAAAGGTCGTGGAAGTTCAGGGCGTAGTATCCCGCTTCGACCAGCCAAAGGGTTTAGGTCCAAGCTGTAGCGCCGGAGATTCAAGTCACCTTCAGTGACGTTCTCAACAGGGCCAAAGCGTAAGGCCTGGAGCTTCTGCTCCGCTACCAATGTAGCTGGAGCAGGCAGTGGGGTTATTGGGCTCAACCCCTATCCCAACCAACAGGTCCACAGCCTAGATGCTGTAGGGGTTCTTCTCTTCCAACCAACGCACAGCAGCAAGCGCACAGAGCGCTATTTCCATGCACAAGGCCTCACAGGCCTGTCGAGGAACTAAAAAGGGGCCCCTACCGAGCCAGATGCGGCAGCATCCACTGCTGAGATGTGACCTGACATGGCCGGCTGAGTTGCAGTATACCTAAAAAATCGGGTCATTTTAAAGGAACATGATGAGTAACCAATGGAGTTTGGGGTACCCCCTTTCAGACAAACAGGTGAACATAATTGTGTATATGTATATATATATATATATACACATACACACATGCATGTATGTATGTGTGTGTATATATATATAATAGCTATCCAGATATGCAGCTGTTTTTTTGATCCAAGGAGTCCCTGGGGCTGGTGCTGCAACGTGGCTGCGTCTTGATCCAAGATCTTCCATCCCTGGAGGACGCATGGTCAGTGTGCACCATTGACACCATGTGAAGCACGACTTCTCCCATCAGGACCCAACTTCCACATGTCCTTCTACAGTTCCTCACTGATAAGCCTCCGAATTTCTGAGATCATGTTGAATCGTCCGCACGCCGGGAAAAAAGCCATCTGCACATATCGTGGCTTGTGCAAGGTCATTTGAACAAACTTCTGTACAGACTTCGTCAGCACAGAGTGCGACGAGACCAAGCCGCCAAGTGATTTTGTGTCTCGCGGCCATGATGGCTGCCGGCTACTGGCAAAGACAGAATTTAGCGTGCTCGGCCGCAGCGGACTCTGCATCCGAAAACTGTAAGTTGAAAAAAAAAACATGTCTACATATATAGCAATCACGACTCTGGCCAACTAGATTTTTCATTGGTGCCATAGCAATATTTCCATTGTAAGATCCTGGATGTTTGCCAAAGGTGAAGGCATTGCGGGGAACACCTCGAAAGCTCTTGTGGAGCGCTTGGTGGGGGCACGGCCGACGGAGTGCAGCTGTTGATTCACCTCAGCATCGAACCACCCAGGCCCCTACGATCCACATGGCAACTGCAGCAGGCCATGCTTTTGCACTGACCAATGATGTGATCAGGATTATACAATGGAATTAGCCCAATCGTCGTCTATAATTCCCCCCTTGGTTCTCCGTTTTGCAAACATTCGTCATTTACTTGCTGCACAACTTCGAATTTCAACCCAAGAGGTTTGTTGCATAGGATAATTCCCAATTTGAATATCACCCAATGGTTGAACTCGGGGGATATTCTATCTATTCCAAGATGAGTGACTGCCAGCAGGAAGCCGTGCCAGCTCTACTGCAGACCCGACGTTTCTTTGGCTGGTCGTCCAGTGCCTAGCATGACTGGACCAGCTTCTGGCCCTGCAGGTTGTGGTGTTTAGATGAATCCCAAGAATCCCATGCCGGTTTTTCTGAAAGGCTGCGAACCAAGGTCGAATGCTGGCGATGATCCAAAGGGAGGCACTCCGGGGTGTTGAGATCCGCAGCAACTTCGAGAGCCCCTGAAACAGTACGACACGAACTCTGCAGACTTCAGTGTTTTCACTTTTCCAGATTTATATCAATAGATATACCGATATACCAGTGATTACCAGTATTTTTTCCTCACTGTACCAATATATAGATTGTGTTGACACAAGACATTCAACAGGTGAGACGCCGGATGAGCCTACCTTGAGCGAAAGCTCGGGGAGGGAGGAGAGCGAAAGGCCTGTGATCAAAAATCTCCCCAAACAATGTGATCCCCCCGTGATCATCTACTATACTGTACCCAAAAAGCCGTTTATATCATCTTAATATATCTTAATTATTCTTAATTCCTAAAATTTTTTATGTTATGATTATTTTCACACTTTTTCAATAGGGGAAGCTGCGGAAGCTAATGATTGCAATATATTGCGATGATCTTCACCGTCTTCACCATGTTTTGATGTTTCTTCCGTGTCGGCCGTGTCGGATCACCTGGACCTTTCGAGGCAGAATGGCAGACGCAGCAGAAGTTGGGCTCTTAGCAGAGGACAGAGACGAGTCCTGAGATATGGAGATGATATGTTTGGTAAATATTGTGCGGTGACACCTTAAGTGGAATACCAAGGGCTTAGAGGTGGCACTCGTTTCAGAGTGGGACCAAGGCAGTGGAAATTTAAGTTCACCAAGTCCACATTGGGTGGCAAATGTGAGACCACAAGCCACTAGACTCACTAGACGATAGTTTTTGGTAATTCTTAGCATCAAACCATCGAATGTTTGCCCTGCTAAATACCAGCTAGCCATGGTGTGTCTCATCGAAAAAAGATCCGAACACCAGCGGCTGTACTCGAGGCTGCACCCCAGAAATGTACTCAACATAGCCCCCCCCAAAGCAGAGATAGTTCAATGCTTCTGGGACCATTGGAATGGGACAAAATCCAGATATACCAGCTCATTGTTTACGCGAAGATTTCGGCACTTTACCAGGGTTGTGACCCATATGGCCCATTCCCCTTGCCAGCTCTTCCCTTCAGAATCAATCAACGGACTCTTGGAACCACTGAGATCGAAGTGGTGCACAGGCGCAGGCGCCAAAGTGAAGCGTTGACAAGCACACAGCGCACAGAGTCACGTGGGCGAACGAAGGTGCTACATTCATGTGTAGACAAATACATAGTAAACACAATCACCCACACACACACGTATATACATATCATATACATATCATATACATATCATATACATATCATATACATATCAAATGCATATCACATACATATCATATACATATCAAATATATATATATATATATATCATAATTTGCACATTGTAGTTTTATTTTTTTTAATGTATATATATAATGTATGTATGTATGTATGTATGTATGTATTTATGTATGTATGTATGTATGCATGTAATGTAATGTAATGTAATGTAATGTAATGCAATGCAATGCAATGTATGTATGTATGTATGTATGTATGTGTGAATGCAAATTCAATGCAAATGCAATGCAATGCAATGCAACGCAACGCAACGCAATGCAATGCAATGTTGTGTATGTCTGTCAGTCTGTCTGTCTGTCTGTCTGTCTGTATGTATGTATGTATGTATGTAATGTATGTATGTAATGTATGTATGTATGTATTTATTTATGTATGTATGTATGTATGCATGTAATGTAATGTAATGTAATGTAATGTAATGTAATGTATGTAATGTATGTATGTAATGTATGTATGTAATGTATGTATGTAATGTATGTATGTATGTATGTATGTATGTATGTGTGAATGCAAATTCAATGCAAATGCAATGCAATGCAATGCAATGCAACGCAACGCAACGCAACGCAACGCAATGCAATGCAATGTTGTGTATGTCTGTCTGTCTGTCTGTCTGTCTGTATGTATGCATGCATGCATGCATGCATGTATGTATGTATGTATGTATGTATGTATGTATGTACATATGTATGTATGTATGTATGCATGCAACTTTATCCCGTGTATGTATACATGGACATCTTATTACGAATTATGGATCCTTGACTTAGCCACGGCCAGGATGGAGCCATCGTACCTCTGAAGCAGGAAGGTGGACAGTTGAGGCATCGGCTGCTGACCGTCTGGAAACCACTATGAATTATGGGGTATCAACCACTAAGAACCATCAATCATTGGGGATCTTAAGTCAAGGCTCTGAGATTTGGACTTTTGGACCTGGTTTTAGGAATTCAGATTTTCAGTAGGTCTGAGCTTAAGCCTCAGATTCAATTTCTAGAACACTATCTACATGCAGCTGTCAAGCAAGAACATTGACAAGCTTTGGGGGTTTGGTCTGGTTCGCCAGGAAAGATTCTTCAGGACGGCTGGACGCTGTGCTGCACATGGCAAATCACATGGTCCCCTGCTCCGGAGGATTCGATCCGTTGTCAGTGGCGCTCCCGACATTTCGGAGGCCGCTCTTTCCGATGCAGCAACAAATCATTCAGGTCACTTCGCCGAAGATTGCGAAGGACAGGGCTCCGGTCATAGCTTTACGCGACGCGACCCAGATTTGAATGTCTGGAAAGGTATCTTTTGCGTCACCAGATCATTGAGGTAAATCATCTTGCTTTGTATAATAGTTGCATTCATCAAGAGGTATACATCAACAGTTGCTTGACGGATTGCCAATGCTCCCTTGAAACCTTGGGAATGGAAGGAGGTTCAAGATCACCTGAGCCCACAATATTTGGATCAGTTTCAGCTTTTTTGAAGCATCCAAAACTGTTGGGGTCCCAATGTACCAAACTCATTTCTAGTCAGTGTATCATAGTTGACATATTCGTTTCATTTTGCGATATGTTTCCACGTTTTTTTCCATATCCTTTCCGGTTTAATCATGTTAAAACACTACAGCCCCATCTTCCGCTGGAAAAAAAAGACACGTTGAGCCACGGACGGTCCCACGGTCCCACAGTCCCACGGTCCTACGGTCCTACGGTCCCATGGTGCCTGTGAGGAGCTCATGAGTCTGGCTGAGAAGCGGCAAGTGTCCCTTGTTTTTTTTCCATGAAGTGATGATTGGATATGATTGAGTGGATTATTGATGGGTGGTACAACTCTGGATGATTGAGGTGGTTCATTGTTGTTTTAACATTTTAACATGTTTTAACCACATTTAATGATCGTTCTCGTTGGTAAACATCCACTTACACAGATCCGTTACGCATGATTTTCCCATGAAAGGTTGGAGGAGTTGGCCATGTGAAGATGATCTATCCCCATTCGGGCGCGCTGTCGGAGCCATGACTTCCTGCCAAGGACAAGTGTGAGCCTTTTCCTCCACAAAACTGCGGCGTCCCAACTTGGTGAGCCCAAGGTGTGGGTGAAGAATCTCCCCATCTCGGCAGCCAGCGTACCAGCCAGCACTGCAGGATGGGGAAGAAGAGGAGTTGCTGCCTTCACTGAAGTTGGAGGACTGAGCAAGGTTTAAAGGTCCATGTGGCTTTGGTTCTTGATAGAGTTTTTTGACTTCATCCCCATGCTTCAGGGTCTACAATATCTTGGAACCCATGTCACTTGGTCCATTGGAATTGGTGGCATGCTGAAAGATCGTCACCAGGAAATCACTGATGAAGACCCCATGGAAGTCTTACATGGCATTGGCACACAAGCGCGAGTCCAGCAGGTGGGGAACCCGGTCCCTCTGGGATCATTGGGACCAACATCTCAGCCATTGGCGTGACTGTGTGCCAAAGGCTCTGACACCCCAAGCTGTTGACATTTGTCAACAAGTTATATCACCGTTGTTAATGCCTAAGCTCAGTTTGTATTGGTTACAGCTACCAAAATGGCTGATTACCACATCGTGCGAATCGTGAGGTTCTCCCTATTTGGTCCCAGAAAAATGGCGATGTCGTGGCACTTCAGATGCTGGTGGCAGGCCGGGAATCTCAGTGCCGCCCTACGGATCCCACGGCTCCCCCGCTGCCGCCGAGGCACCCGAATTGTGCAACTGGAGAAGGTTCTGCAACGTGGTCCACCTTTGCAGGTACCTTGAAACATCTTGAAACCTTGATTTAGTATTGGAATGTATTGGATGTCATGAATGACAATATATGACAATTTTCATGGCTTCCTGAAGCTGAGGGTAAACATTTTTCATTTTGACCGGACCATCTGGGTCAAATTGGATTCCAGTTGGATGAGCTGGAAGAGCTTCAAAATAAACTTGGAGGATGCATATTGGCAGGTACAGATTGCTGAAGTGACACAAGTGCCCTGGGACAACAAGGACAATTCAGGAAATGCATCATGCAGAAACAGCATTGAGAAGGGTCAGCACTTTGGGCCCCAATCCTGCAGTCCTGCAATCCTTTCGGTCCTCGCTCTGAAGGATGAGATGTTGAAAGCCACCCTGCACGAAACCATGCAGACGGTGAAGGACGTATAGAGCCTAGAGCTATTAGATTTTGGGCTGTAGATCAACACGAGACGCTGTCAAAACAATGGCAATCACTAGATGTTTGCAATGCCACTGGTATTTGTGGACAGGATCCTGCAGATGGTTTTCTGTGGGATGACCATATGACGTAGCACGTTGATTTGTTGTCGCAGGAAATCATGAGAGTCAGCCCGAGCTTTAGCGTGGATCTCAGCTGACACAGCAAATCATCGTTGTGATGTAAGAGTGGATAAGAGTGGATAAGAGTGGAAAAGAATGGATAAGAGTGGATAAGAGCGGATATTGGGTCAAGTCACTACTTCTGCATCATTCTACATCTATATAGTCTATATAGTTACAACACGTTACAACATGTTACACGTTGAAAGCAGAAAGGGAAAAGGGTCGAAAAGGGTCCAAGATGGTCCAAGTCAAAGAAGTTATCCGGTCATCCCCAAGCCCGAGCCGCCCAGGGGAGCACGCGGCAATGCTCAACCAGGGCTATGCCAACATGGCACAGTTGGAGCCAAACACCGTCGCGCATTTGGCCGCCTCAATGACCACTGCGGAGGGTGAGGAGCTTCAGAAGGCGCATGAGATCGATGCCAGGAGTTTGCCTTTTTTTTTTCGGGTTGGACATGAAAGAGATAGGTTTTTTTCATGGTTTTCGATAATTTTCTACGGCTTTCTTATGTATCCTTCAAAGTGTTGCGTGTGTGAAACAGCACCTGTATTTGCCTGTGGCTTTTGCTTGTTTTTTTCAGGTGCTGGAAATCACGAATCCGACCGAAAAATTGAGGCAGAGATGGGGTAGGTAGGGGGCAAATCTCATTTGTTGCTATGGGAGCTCAACCATTGGCAAAATCTTAGTTTTGATTCGTTGCTTTCCAATGCGTTTGCGGGATTTTGTAAAGGCCCTCTGACACGGGCAGGAAGTTGTGGCTTTCGGCTTAGCGCAGCTGTTTTAAATTGGCTGCGAAGGCATGCCTTGGAGCTGTTGAAGAAGGAATTGGAGTTGGCCAAATTGCAGCAGAAGATTTCGAATCAGATCGAGGCTCTTGTTGCGCGTGACCCATCTTGGCCGGGGACTTCTGAATGAAGTGGAGATAAGTGGAGTGATTTATATCAAAGGAATTCAAAGGAGACCTTTGATATCCTTTGTAAAGTCTTTGTAAAATGAGATGGCCACAGCATGCAATAGCTCTTGGGGAGCATGTGGCCGGCCATTTGCAGGAAAAGATGTCCAAAAATCAAAGAGAGTTTATGCTTCGGGAGCAGCTCAAGTCCATCAAGTGTTGACCTTGGAATCCTTGGACTCGCCTTGGACAACCTGAGCAACGCTCCATATCTCTCCATCTATATTTGAAGCACTCGCTACAGTATATCTTGGGCTGCAATAGCTGAGTTTTCTGAAGTTTGGGGGACTCTGGAAAGACAGAACCTTACTGCTCAGGAAAGAGCTGGGCATTGATAAAGACGATGGTTCAGCACCTTTGGCTTCACTGGTCATCACTGGTCATCACTGGTCATGTTGTGAATATTTTCGTAGTTCCGTTGATGTCAAGGAGACCATCCTGCAGAAGTTCAAAGAACGCTTGGAAGGCAAAGAGGTCCCCAAGGAAGCCAATGAGGCAGTGGATGTGGCCGGCCTAGCATGGGCTACCAGGATACCAATCGTTTCTTTCGATCTTTAGACATGTGTCAGATCATCCAACTTAAGGATATTCCAGGTCTGTGATTTTGGATCACTTTGGCAGATCCCATCAGTTTCCTGCTTGGTCGAAGTTTATACTGTGGATCGTAGAACTCTTGCAGCAACAGGGCACAGAAATAGGGTGTCGATACTGAAGGAATTCGTGTTCCAACACCAGCGACACAGTGCAGCCAATGTCACCCTTACTTTTTGCAGCCAAGATCAACATTATTATATAAATATTTGCACATCATTCAGTGTGCGCTTAGAACATGCTAAACGTGTCTTCAGTTTTTTTTCACTAAGCCCACATTTTGGGCTTTGATTTAGCCGGGGACAGCGCTAGGCCATTGAGTCCGAGTTCGAGAAATTCGCCGGCCTTGCGAAGGTCACCCAGGGGGGTCTGCCACCATCTGCAAAACCTGCCACCGTTTGGTCTCTGCGATGATGTGTGAAAAGTTTTCCATCATTTCTCCACCTGTGGTGTGGCTATTTTTAAAGAGTCTCCGGGACATTTTTTTCGGAGGGGCTGAAACTGCCAGATGCAGCCAGATCCAATGGGAGTCTCCCAGCGTTTCGGCCAGATGCAACCAGGAATCCCAAGAGTACCAGATGACCCGAAACTACTTGGACTGGCTGACTAGCATGCCGTGGAGTGTTTACAGCAAGGACGGTGCAGTAGGTGCCACGCCCAGGGGCCCACTGTATCCCTTAAACCCCAAGCACATCATGATGTGTAGTTGTCTTTTGTCGTTTTTGCAGCAAATCAACTCATGCAGGCTATTGTATACTTTGATTTTTCGCGTGCTTTTCATGCGACATATATCTCAATATAATTCAGTATATTCACGCACATATATATATATATATATTCTGATATGTATATATATATATATATAATCTACACACATTATAGTCAGCCCATGTCAGCCCCAAAAAGATAGGACCATTATATTATCACTGTTTCAGATTCGGATTTCACTTTTCCATCATCTCCTTTTTGGTTGCTATATATATGTATATATATACATATGTGTGAATTGGTAGCGGAGGATACACCACAAAGGAATCTGACCCTGTCAGGAGCAAAAGTTGGATGATCCCTGTCAAACCAGAATGAAGCGATGACCCTGTCAATCAAGAGGATATAGAAAGGTGTCCCACACCAGGAAATGTGCAGCTTGGCTTTGACCCACTGCTCAAGGCACCGCCGCTGATCCTACAGCGTACCACGTCCCTCCCACCACGGCCTGAACCAAGAGGTCCAACGGTGAGAACTCATGCTGAGTTCATACTGGAGTCACACCAAGGCACCGGAAACTCACGATTCACACTCCCTAGAATCTTCTTTTGATGTGACTTGCGGATCCACTGGATTGCCTGTTTCTTGTGTGCGTTCATCTGAAAGTTGGCATCTTCGTTGAGCAGTTGAAAAGAGCCTTGTCCCAAAACCGCTCTGAGAAGCGTGGCATCCATGTTTTTAGTCAGGGGATCGGCCAATCGCAACGCTGTCGGAATCCATCCAAAATTACAGTGCTCCAAGCATCTCTCTTTGATAAGAAGGACCTCCAGCGTGGTGCGGTACTCTGCGCATGAAGGCATCGCTCGACGACTGACCAAATCACATAAAGATTTACAGTCTGTCACCACAACTGCAGCATGCATATGACGAAAGGCTTCCGGTGGGTTTCTCCAATGGAACTCAGGTACCACCAGTGTACCCCACAAGAGTCGGCACCAGCTCATCTGGTCAACGCTCGACATGCTGAAAGCTTCCGCAGACAAAGTCGATCGCACTACCCTAGAGATCTTCTTAGATGACCACGAAATTGGACTGATGGGTGCTGTTTGATTTTGGTGAAGTTGAGATAGTTGAGGTGTTGTTGCAAAAACAAGTGTACCTTGAAAGCAGGAAAGTTGTTTTGGACTTGCAAACGATGCGTCTCCAAATGCCACATGGGTAAGCTGATTTGGATCTATGGACTTGAAAAAGATACTGACATCACACGTCTGTTGCGGCTTCCAACAAAGTCAAGACCGTTGGCTTTGACAGTTGAACCTGTATTTCTCCAAACTTGGCAGCCATGTCGGCTCTTGTATTCGTGGTTGCATACTGTAAACTACCAATGAAACCGCGAAGATGTGACATCTCTGATTCAGACACTGGTTCCTGTGGTGTGCTTCTCCGATGCTTTCCAATTTCGATAGGCAAAGTTGAGTTCACATAATCTTCCTGACATGCTCTGATGCTAAAATCTGGCAGTTGTTCAAGCTGAATTCCAGTGAGCACGAACTTGCGCTGTTTATATGACCCAGAAGGCAAACTCTTACGCAGTTGCTCGATTCGAGAATGGAGCCAATCATGGCCACCACATATTCCGTCATCAGCATTTGTGCCTAAAACACCATGGTATACACACGGCTCCAAGGGATGCATCTGAAAGCCAAGCTTTTTGCAATTGCATCTACCCTACCATACGCGTTTCCAATCAAGGCACAAACCTGATCATCATCAAGTTGCATTCGTTGACGAGGTTCTTTCGGGGCTTCCATGGCTAATGGGCTATTCTGATCGGCTTTTCCACGGAGAAATGCTGTCTTCATGTCAAAGGAAGTAAGAACCCAATGCTTGGAGGAAATAGGCTGGAAAACTGTGTGTCGCCCTTCTCGAGTAAGCGTGGGGGCATCCCTGCTGACTTCTGTTAGGCGTGGTCCGTGGTACCCCAGCATAACCAGTCTAGCTTTAGATTTATGTCCTGACCCCGAGGCAGATTCGCTGTCTGATATTGCTTTCCCAGTGAGAACCCATCTGGATTTCAGGATTTGTTCAGGATTCAAAGGTTTTCTTAGGACCGGCTTGAGAGCGCCTGTTTGGAGCCAGCAGGAAAGTTCAGCATCTTTGGCGGCCTCGAACAATTCTCGATCAGCATGGTTCAGATCTTTGATTTGAACCTCTGCGCGGGCTCTCTTACTGGCTGAGGCCACTTGAGCAAGTTGCTCAGGATGTTCAGCAGCTGACCATTTCAAGACATCCTGTCTTGACATGGGAACCTCAAGCATGAACACACAGATGGTCCTGTGGTTGGGGTGGATTCTCTATGTAGGGCATGCCATCTTCTGCAAGACACATCTGGCTATGGGCTGTCCCCGCATGGAAAACATTTCGTTCATGAATGGTTTCATCCGTTTCAAGGTTGCAAACATCATGACATGTGAGTACGTCATCTGAGGCATCTAGATCTATGGCATGGTCTTCGGGTGCATCAAGGTCAATGGCATTATCATTGGAGTTTTCACTGGATTCATGTGGTGGTGGACTATTTTCATTGGGATTATTTTGAGGACCGGTTGCAGGGGTATTTACAGGGTTAGTTAGAGTTTCAGGAAGCAGTTCACTTTCAGGTTCAGGCTGGTCTGGTTGCTTACAGGCATGGCTGGTTCTGCGGCAAAACTGCCGAGTGAGTAAATTCCATCCTCTTGAGTTCTTGAAGCATTCATTCCTGAGGGCAATTCACGGTGCTGACCATCACTGAGTTGATTCATGTTTTGCATTTTGCACTTGCTGATCAAGTGAAATACTGCCCCACTCGCGTAGAGACGCTGGACGCAAGTTCTCCGGGGCACATCTCAACAATTTGTCTCCGTGAGCAATCCACATGGTCGTTGAACCATCTTGACAAACAATTCTTGCAGGACCATGCCAACGATCAATCTCTCGACGTCCAAAGGTATTGCGTTTTCTTCAGTACATGACATGCTGACCTATGACATACGTGTCTACTGGAGGACATGACTTCCGAAGGAGTGCTCCACGGATGGCAGAGTCGTTGTCAGCAAGCAAAAACATCTTTCTAGCTCGAGTGCGGACTTCAAGATTCCGCCGGAATGTCCCGCAGTCCAAGTCAGAACCATCGGCCAAACTGTGGGAAGACCCTTGCTCACCAGAGGTAAGTGAGGCTGGGACCTTGGTGGATTTTCCAAGTACTGTTTGTTCCGGGGAAAAACCATTATGACGGGACAATGCATTTTTAGATATTTTTAGCTCGAAAGCAGGCTCTAAGGACGGAATCCAGTTCTTGAACATCTTCAACGGTTTTCTCCTGATCATAGCGGTGAAGCATGTTCTTACATGATCTGGCCATGTTTTTCGATTCTGCCTTTCTGCCATGCCTCGGTTGAAAGGCATGGTTTACTGCTTTGCTTCCCTGCGGGATCGGCATAAATTCCTGAAGGTTGGCCAGCCCAGGACATCCACATCTCACTGAATGCAGGGATAGCATGTTCCAAATGTCGATTATCCAAGCGACGTCCTAAATGGAACAAGGATGCTTCGTCAATGCAGTGGAAATTCATGACTTGGAACCTCTTTTTTCCAGTCCAAACCTCTTGTTTCCAGTCCAAAGATGCTTCGTCAATGCAGCGGAAATTCATGACTTGGAACCTCTTTTTTCCAGTCCAAAAGAAACCGTCAATCCCCAAAAGCTCGTTGAATTCTTCGGGGTCCGTGGAGCTTGGCAGGCCTTTGATGTCTAATCTTGGTGGTTTCCACGCAAGCATTTCAGATATATTGTTTGGCGGTCTCCACAACATGTTCAGCTGCTCCTAAAACTTTGAGATGTTAAGACAGGACATGTGGGTCTGGATGTCCGAGATTCTTATGAAGTTTGACCAAGTCTTGTTTCCCATGAGGCTGCAACAGTCGAAACTTGGGACCGTGCAATGGCACTGGTGGCGGTGCCCAACCTTGACATGCTTGATTGCTGGAATGCTCGTGCCCAGCCAGTGGAAGATTTTGCCTTTCAGTTGCACTCACTGCCGGAACAGGTTCTTCTGCAGGGCCTGTTTCACAAAGGCTGGGTTCACGGATATCAGCTGGCACAGATTCGGATTCTGGCAAACTTCCAAACATGCTGAGTGTGAGATGGCTGGGAATACTTTTTCGGATTCTCTGTGCTCGGGTGCATGAATGCCAATTTTCTAAACCCAGGTCATGGATCTCGGATGTTTCCCGATGAATAGAGGCAGTATACCGCAGAGGAAACTGAGGTGACGGTGGTGCTAAAAGCGGAACCTGATACCTTTCAGTGCCTCTGCAAACAAACATGTCAGACAACTTGAGGGAATCTTGGAGAATTTCTTGAGCAAGGCGCCAAGCCTCCGAGTCTGCCGGGCATCTGGCATTGCCCACGTGGGGAGCAAGCGGTTGGGCAACATCCAGAACATTCTTCCAAGGTTCGCCTGGAAGCTAGTGGTGTGGTCGGTTTCGGACCGTTTGTTTCCGGATTTGGATCCACATTGCCATGGCCAGAAACGGGTGTCGCAGGCACTACTGGCTCACTGGGAACAACAGGTGTGACCTGGGAAACCCTCTGTCTTTTGAATCTGCTTTGATCACTTCTTGGCCGCTTGGCAGGCCTTTCAAGGTCATCTTCATCATTTGCATGGCAAGCTATGGCATGTTTTCGGATCCTACGGGAGTATGATGGTTTTTACAGAGGTTTGTGGCCATCATGTCAGCAAAGCCACGGCAGTAAATTGCATAAAAGCTGGTCAGCCTTTGTCTACGGCCTCCTATGCTGATATTCCCTTCGATGCTTTGGTGATCATGCTGGTTTGTGCAACGCTGGTCATGAACTGCATGAAACATTTGTCGTTTGTCGTGAGCAGGACACTACGTTTACGCAAGAGCTTGTTGGTCTTTGGAATGCGCAAACCAAAACGGCACATGTCAAAGCGAGCTGTGGCTGTCTCTTGATGCATGGATTCAAAAATCTTCAAATGCAAGAGGCTCCAGATATGGCAACCTTTCAATCCAAGAACCATTTTCAGGAGCAGATTGAACAAACCATTCAAGCCATGGAAGATACACTTTCAACTCAGATTTCCAACAAAACCCGCCATCAAAAACTTTTCCTTCTAGAGGTTTCTGCCAGTGATCACAGTCCTCTAACTGAAGCAGTACAACGATTGGGTTATCAGGCTGTCAGGTTCAAAATTTGTCACCAAAAGAGGAGGTTTGTCAACCTTTGCAGGCCGTCAGAAACTCTGGGATATCATCGACAAGTACCAACCAGAGGGCTCCAGAATGCGGTCCTTGGGGAGGCTGGAATTACTTGAATAAATTCAAGAGGCTTCAAATGTATGATGCCATTCAAGCCCAGCAGGATTCACAGCTTCCACATGCCAGATTGCGCACAAGAATCTGCAGGTTCCAAGTTCGTAATGGCCGTCATTTCCATGGAGATTGCTTCAGCATGTCTCTTGTGGCCTGCACGGCTGCATGAAAGCTCTCAGATTCACTCAGTGGAGCATGTTCAGCTGGATGTCCATCTAGAACTTGTTGATCGCCATCCAGAGTTGCCCGAATCGGAAGAAATCTTGATACTCCGGCATGAGGGACCCGTGGCGGGGTAGGCTCCACTGCAGGTAGCCGGAGAAGGATTAGCCCTTGTGCTTCCTTCCGAAGTTGATCACGTTGCTTCCTCACTCCGAAAGCGTCAAGTTCCCGGGCACAGGAGCTCGGCTCTGGGTGAGCGCCGTTTTCTGAATGTCTCCTCCTCGGCTTCGATCTCTTGCCAACTTGGAGCCTGGGAAACAATGGAAGGAGCACGGCTCTTTCGCTGGACCACTGTCGGATTCTGAGGTCTTGTCAACGGAGTTGAACTGCCGGATGCCACACTCGTTGGAGTGACCATGGCCTGAGCTTGAACCTTCTTCTCGGGTCCTTTCTTCTGGACTGAGACTTCCTCCCTGAGGGCTTCCAGTGTGGCCCCCTGTTGGTGAATCTCTGCTAAGACTTCCTGTTTCTCCAACTGCTGCACTAGGATCTGCAGCAACAGGGTGAGAAGCCTGATCAGGGCTTCGGCAGTGGTCTTGAACACAATGACCATTGGCGGCATGGTGACAGCCAACAGACGAAGACTTTGGGAACTGTGCCACCGGGGCCTTTGAGCGAAAGTCTCTGGCTCGCATGAACTTCTTGGACTGAACAGGTGAATCTTGCATCAGTTGAGATACCCCTACAACTGAACCCCAAATCTTTTTATTTTTGCTTAGTTCTGAAAGATCCCCAACAGAACCACCATCCCTTAATTGCGTTTGGGAACTTTTGGACAAGCATGTGTGAGGCTCTTCATGTGAAAATGCAATTTCATCTTTCTGATAAATGTCCAACAAGTTGATGAGATACAGTCCAGTGGGAGTAGTTTGCAAAAGAATTGGCCCGGATTGCACTCTGGACAAAACGCATTGATCAGCTTGGGAGTCCAACGGTCCATGCAACATCTTGAAAGCTCTTTTGGAAAACAAACATGTTGTCATTCCACGAACCATTTCAACTGACAACCGCAACTTCTTACCATGACGATGTTTCAAGTCAAAGACTGATTGTTGCCAAAACGGAACTTCACCGAACTTTCTGTCTGACGAATCTGGGATCGAACGCATTCTGTCAAGGACTGCTTGAGACGCTGAAGAGTTTTGTCACCGATAATGCAGCGACTGGCTCCTGTGTCCAAAATGGCATGTGTACAGAAGTCTTCCATACTGCTATATACAGATTCGGATGCGCAAGACCTTGCAAACGGTCGGCACTTGGATTGAAAATGGGCACGGCGGGACGTCTCATCGTGCGGGCATTTCCTGGGCGGCGTCTGCTGACAGGACAAGGACACATGAGGGCTTGGAACACCATTGAACTTCTGCCTAGTCAAGTTCAATTCAGAGGCCCGACACTCATGATTGATGACAAAGATGCTGACTGGCTTCGACGGACGGAAGTTCATACTCATCTTCGGAAATCACTTCGTCGGCATCAGTCGAGGCTTGGAAAATGTCCCGAGGCTTCGCATCGATCACAATGGGCAGTGGCTGAAGACGATGGAGCAGCAGGTTTATCTGAGCTGGAAGCCTGTGGACACTCGGCTTTCCAGTGTCCCAAGGCGCCGCAACGTCGGCAATGGCTTCTTGAGATACACTGCAAAAGCGCATCACGGTCCTTTGACCGCTTTCCAAAGCTCTTGCCACGACCTCTGGAAGACTTCCCTTTGCCCTTCACAGACCAGAAACCGCGACTCTTGCGTTTCTCAACAAGCTTGGACCTGGCTTCGATATACGAGGTGAGAGCTTCATACATCTCGGGCTCGGGCGTTTCTTCAAGAAATTTTTCAAACTCACCTTCAAACGTTGACACAGTCAAGGCGTCAACATCATCCTGAGCAATCAAAGCATCAATGAACTCTTGATCGAATTCAGCTTCATGTTGATCTAAGTTTTCCGAAACATTGGCATCGTAGACCTTGTTCTTCTGACTGCTGCGGCCGGTCTGAAACTCATTGAAAAATCGACTACCCAGTAACCTGAAGGCCGTGGCCACGGTCCATACCTGAGCTCTCCACCATGTTCCAGCAGGATGCGTTTCTTGTCATCCGCATTGAGCGTGGACTGACGCAAGTGCACATACGCCTGAACCTCTTCCAGTGTTGTGTTGCGTGTGTTGAGCTCGACAAAGTTGGCTTCCATCCTAGATAGAAAACTGTCATGCGACTCATCACTTCTCTGAACTGTTCCGTAAAGGGACTTCTCAAAGAATTCATACCGCTCCTCGAGCTCAGTAGAGCCCCAGGAGCCTCCGATGGCTTCCACGATGGCTGCAATGCCATCAGTTGGTTTCACCTTCAACTTCTGAGGCGGGATGCGGGCAATTTTTTTAAACGCCGTGCCTTCCACCAGTAGTGCAGCCCTTGGGTCCAGTTGACCCAGGAAATCCGTAGGCCGCTAGGAACTTGAGCTTCTGCGTATATTCCTGAACATTGGTAGTCCCAGGGATGAACTTAGGAATCTGACTCCAAGGCGACTGTGTGTTGACCTGGGGTGGAGCATCATCATCCGGCACTGGAGGCAACTCAGACCCCGATGCCGGCGGCATATTGACTCAAAACTGTTGGAAAAACTGTACACGGATCCAAAGGTTTCAACCTCCCTGAATCGCCGCTCTTGCAGATGCCAAAAGAAAGGAACCCTATGGCAGCTGGAGCACTAGGCTCCGCTACCAATGTGAATTAATTGGTAGCGGAGGATACACCACAAAGGAATCTGACCCTGTCAGGAGCAAAAGTTGGATGATCCCTGTCAAACCAGAATGAAGTGATGACCCTGTCCATCAAGAGGATATAGGAAGGCGTCCCACACTAGGAAATGTGCAGCTTGGCTTTGACCCACTGCTCAAGGCACCATCGCTGATCCTACAGCGTACCACGTCCCTCCCACCACGGCCTGAGCCAAGAGGTCCAACGGTGAGAGCTCATGCTGAGCTCATACTGGAGTCACATCAAGGCACTGGAAGCTCAGGATTCACAATATGTTTTTTTTATGAATGTATGTATATATATATATATTTGTCGCCAAACCACCAGGACACCTTTGACCTGAAGAAGGCTCAAGAGATCCTGGACCGAGATCATTATGGCCTGGCGGACATCAAGGTGCCACGTTGGGTGAACCCCATGGGATCCCATGGAATGATTGGGGAATGGAGTAACCATGGGATGGTTGTGGGATGCATGATGCACATCTTGGGAAAAACGATGGAAAATGGAGGCTGGAAGGGTCGGAAAGGGCCGGACAAGGGCTGGAAAAAGTGGAAAATATTTTTTTTTTTGCAACGTTTTGGAATCAAAAGGTTTTTTTTTCTGTATCACTCTGGGGCCCGAGCGAAATCTCGAAGGAAAGATAACACAAGAACAGAGAGTGAGATCAAAATACAAGATGGTTTTCAAATTTTTAAGAGTGCCAGAGCAAATCTGAGAACTGAGTTAAGCAAGGGGGAACCTGTGGAAACGTCAGTGGCTGACATTTCCATTCAACTGGCCAAAATGGAAATCCCCAGGGAATTTACATGCTTGAAGTTAGTGACCTCTACACCTTTCAGAATGGTCAATCGCTTGAATCGCGAACGAAATTTGCGTTAGATGCTTCAAAACTGGAGAGTACTGAAAAGTCGTCCATGCAGTGTCCAGAGGACCGAATCCGAGAGTTCATCGCTGTGGGTGTGCTGCGTGGTTCTATGCAAGGTGCGTCCGAGATCCATTCGTGTTGCGATTTTGGCAGCGTTGGTTTCAAGCATCCAAAATCCGAGTCACTGGAGTTTTCAACTCATTTGAACAATTTGAAAGGAACTGGCTTCCATGGTGTTTGAAAAAAGGAGTTTGCCCAGTCTTCGCAGTGTGTTTTTGTGTGGATCGTACCTGCTTTTTCGGGGGTTGCCCATGATCTTCACTGACCTCAGTTCGGCGCAGGCAAGATCCTGTGCTTCGTGGGTCCTCCTGGCGTTGGGAAAACATCCATCGGCAAGTCTATTGCCGAGGCCTGTCTTCCATCCTGGGTTAGTGATTATGTATATATATATATATAATATGGATATATGATTATGATATGATTACGATATGTTTGGGTTGCACCATTGTTTCTGGATCAAAGTGTTGTGGGAAGAGTTGAAGCAAAGAAACTGATCGCTGCCAGAAGCTACTGTAATAAGTTGATCTTTGGGCGCTCTGTGTTTGCAGAGACTCCTCTAAGAGACAAGATTTAAAAAAAACCCTGGCACCACACTAGAAAAAAAACATGGCCCACCTAGAAAACCAGAAGAGATCAACAGCTTTATTGACCAAAATTTGAAGATTGGTGGTACATATATATGGCGGTTGGGCTCACATCTACATTCAGATTTGGATTATTGAGATTACAAGCCCTTGAGCAGCCTATGATCTTGAAAGGCCTTGGGCCGCGAGTTCTACCGATTCTCCGTCGGCGGGTTGTACGATGTGGCAGAGATCAAAGGTCATCGGCGCACTTACGTGCCGTGGCTGAAGTGGGTGCGGGCGCAGTGTCGATCTGGGGCATCTGGGTGCCTATTAGGGATCCAAATGGCCGTTTCAATTGGGAAGATGATTATTAATCAATGGATTTAGGGACACATTTTTTCGAGACAAACTGTGGATGTTCAACTACATCTAACTATATAATACTAATACCGGTATGAGTTTCCTCTAGGATTTCAGGGAGGTTAACCCCTTTAAGGAGGGTTGATTTTCTGTCGTCCAAAAGCTAAACATAGCTTCGAAAATGCACTTGTTGTAAGTTGCCATTTTTCTAGGATACCTCAAATTGGTTTGATGTCTGTAGCTAGATTTTCTTGGGTACCTAATTTATACAACCTTCATTTTCTACTAGAAAATCACAGGCCCCAACCTGAGCCGGTGAACTCGTACAGGGATTAATACTGGACATGGTGAAATCCAGGTTGGAGCCATGCCCGGCAAGATCATCCAATGCCTGAAGAAGACTCAGACCTCCAACCCGCTGGTGCTCATTGACGAGGTGCTGTGACATCCTGTGACATCCTGTGACATCCTGTGACAGCCTGTGACATCCTGTGACATCAAACCATGAATCAAACAAACCATTGTGAGGTGGACAAGATCGGACGCGGTCACCATGGAGACCCCTCCTCCGCACTTTTGGAACTCCTAGATCCTTGCGTTGTGACATGTTGTGACGATGGGTTTCAACGGGCGGCTCAGTCCATGTTCCATGTGTTCCATGACCGACATACCATGACCTGGCAAGGTCCACAATGATAACGAATGATACGAATGATGTAAAAGTTGATAAAAGTTGTCAAGTGAATCAAGTGATATCAGAGAAGATCTCTGAAGTATTCAACTGAAGTATTCAGTGTCCACTGACAGCTTGTGATTGTTGCATCGATTTAGGCTGGTGGATGTCACAAGGGTGTCTTAGAGACGCACTGCATAGGATTGGGTTTTCTGAGCCCACTGAGGATCCATCTCAAAATTCTGCCTTCATGGATCACTACTTGGATGTACCAGTGGACTGCATCTTGGCTTCACATTTTTTTTGGCAAATCTGGATCTCAAGATATTTGTCAGATCTGTCAAGCATTGTCAAGCATTCCTGGACTCCCAACTCAGATAGGACCCAGGACCCAGCGGAACCGCGGTCCAAGGTAGCAACATCCTCTTCGTATGCACCGCAAACGTGTTGGATACCATTCCAGGAGACTTCGCTGCTGGTGCTTTGTTCCCGAAGAATCTTGATCAGGAGGATGGTCAATTGATCAAATACTGTATATTCAAACATCAGACTCCTGATAGGAGGTTCCCAGGTCAGTATGGGTCAAAATTGGAAACCATGGTGTTTTTCCCTACATAATTGCTCCCCCAAATGGGACAATTATGTATACTTTACGAAAATTGATCCAGTTTTTCCCTTTTTTTAAACTCGAGTTTTCTACTGGCCCGCCTCGATTTGTCAGGACCCCTCTTGGATCGAATGGAAGTGATCCGACTCACAGGCCCAAAAACGCGCCATGGGTCAAGGTGTGTTTCTAGCTATGGTTGGAAGCTCTATTGAATATGTTTGGTGATGTAGATATGTTATGGTATATATGTATATCCAAACCTTTGGTCTTTATATATAATTATATATATATATTATATATATATTATTATTATTATTATTATTATGATTATCATTATTATTATGATTATCATTATTATTATTAATTATTATTATTATTATAATTATAATATATATATATATATCCACAATTTGGAACTTTTCACATTTTTTTCGAAAAAACCTCCTGATTTGTTGGTGCTGGTGATGACCCAACTATGTTTGGATATGTTTGGTTGGTGACATTCTCAACTGGTAAAAACAAGCAAAAGCACATTTTTGACACCGAACTGTTGATCTTGTGCAAGCTACTTGTCAAGTCTGCCCAACGGACACGGTGAATTGGGAACCGCGCAAGAACAGTTGCTAATGTAGTAAAGCCAAGTAGAAACCATCCAAATATTGCCATCATGGGTTGTAAATATCATCCCCAAACGGTAGGGTAAAAAAATATTGGGTCTACCACAGTTCACCCTCAAGTGAACATTGTTGTGAGCTAATCTGTGAGGTAGTTCGCAAGGACCCCACAGCTACCCATGTTGAAATTTTGCAGCCAGCCAGTTTTTGCTACGCTCAGGCTATGACCTACAAGAGAAGATGAAGATTGCAGAGAACTACTTGGTGCCTAGTGCCATGGTGGAGGCTCTTTGACTGAGATGAGAATGTGGAAGCTCCAAATGAGCTGCGAGAAGAATGGATACATCATCCACAAAGATGGGGATGTGGGATATCTATTTATTTATATATATATATATTATATTATATAAATATATAATAATGTATGTACCTGAGTTTCCAGAGTCTCACTGAAACCAGCTGCCAACAGGTGGAGAAGTAAGACAAGACATGACTGTCTTCTGATGAGAAACACGCATGAACTGACACTACAACAGAAAACTTGCAGAAGGAAAGCACTTGCGCAGGTCCCGCAAAATCTCTCAGGCATTCCATGACAGCAATAATCTCTCAGGCATTCCATGACAGCAGCGACATTGATGACACGTTGAGGTTGGATTAAAACAAAAGGAAGACAAGACAAAGGAAAAGGAGGCTCGAAGTGCAGATCGTTCTGCATGTTCTTCTTTTCGCTCGGGGGGATCCTGATGGGGAATCCCGGCGAGGCAACTCCACCGAAGCCAGAGGAAACCCCGGCTGAAAGTTCCTCAGACGCCGCCTCCGAGGTTGAAGTCAGACCGGTGGTTCAACGCTGGAATTGGTCAGATTCTTCAATCAAAATCATGGCTGTCATAGTCATGACCAACTCTGTCTAGACAAATTTTGATACAGTATGAGAAAATTAGCCCTTTTCATAGACCAATGTTACAGCCAATGTTTATCCTTGTTTCTCCCATTTTTGTAGAAATCATTCTCGGAATCATAAATGTTGATCCAATTTTCGCCCCTTGCCCTGGGCAGGTAGCTGGCGAAGCTTCAGAGATCAAGCCCCAAAAGCCTGAGGTGAAGGCGACGGTGGCACCCCAGGGGTACATGAATTTTTGATACTTCAAAAGATTTGATAATATATATATATACATGCATTCTGATATATTGTAATATCTATATATATATAATATATATATATATATTATATTATTATATATATATATATGTATTATATATATAGATGACATAGACAGAGATCAGAGATGGATAAATGTGGATATATACTCTGCATACATAATATATCACACATGTAATATGGTAGATTTATCGTACTATGTTCGAATCATGGGTGACTTTGAGACCCGGTTTCCATCACTAGTGGTTGCAGATCGAGGCAGTCATTGAAGCAAATGCCATTGAGTCGTTGATCCGTTGGTACTGCAGGGAGGCAGGAATTTTGGGATGAGATGTGGGATGATGCGGGGCACCCAACAATGGGGCTATATGGGGCCATATGGGGCTATTGATCAGGGCTATGTGTGTGCATATTACACGTAATAACCAACGTAGATGGGAATTTGAAGCACCAAAACATCGGGATTCCAACCAAGACTAAAGGGATATGAAGCGAGAACCAGTTTTTTTTTTGTGGATAGCCAAGACTAAACCAGGAAGTATTGAAAATCTTCCTATTGCTGGCATGTTGGAAGCACAGGCTGGTGTGCGGAACCTCCAAAAGCACATTGAGCGCATTTGCCGCAAGATGGCCACCAAAGTGGTGGAGCAATGGGAAGGACGTCTTGGGCTTAGTGGCTTAGTATCGCAGAATCATGCAGAATTACTGGTTCGAAGCAGATATTTCTGGCAGACAAATTGCTCGCGGTTGGTTGTTTTGGTGATGTTGAGATGTTGTAAGATAGCTCCACAGAGTATTGTTTCTTCCGATGATATGTGCTGCAATGTCAGCACCCGAAGATTACTTTTTGGACTTCACGATGTCCTCAAAGCACCTCAAACAGCAACGGAGGCACAACAGAGGGCGACGCATCTGAAAAGGACACTGCTGAGCCTTCGCCGATGGAGTTGCGAGTCGATGAAGCGGCTTTGACGGAATACGTCGGAAAACCAGTGGCTCGGTCGGGATGAAGCTGCGGATGGCAAAATGGCGATCTGGCACCCCAACTTCAAGACTTGTACATCAAAAATCACCATCCCAAGGGCAAGGACTCATTTGACACCAGAATTCTCCAACCATTGAACATCATTGAACCATATTCAACCCATTTTTCCCCATCCCCACCATCCCCACCACATCCCCGGGCAGGTCTTCACATCAGACCGGCTGTATGAAGGCAGCTTGCCCTCAGGCACCGTCACAGGCTTGGCCTGGACGGCCATGGGGGGCTCCGTGCTGTACATCGAGCCTCGAAGACTTGGAGGAAAAGGTGGGCTAAGGTTGGGCTAAGGTGGTGATATTATCATATATCATATTAATGTAGTTTCATATCAGATTATTATAGATTTATGATAGATTTCAGTCCATGATATGGAACCTGTCGCACATGTATCGATGGGTAGTAGTCGTCTCATGGATGGATCATGGGCTAGATTGTGGTGGTTCTATTCAAATAACACAAGCATTATCTATGTGGAACCCTAAAATAATCAATATGTTGGACGTTTCTACTCCCGTGAGAGATCATACACCTGGGATTTGATGATTCCACTTTTTTTCTTTTTTTTGCGTCAGTGCAGGGTTTAAGGCCTATGATCATCCTTATTGACCTTATTGGCAATGTGGATTTTATGGGTCACAGTTGGCCAGCTAAAGGGGATGGTCCAAAAGAAACATTCTTGTGGTTGCAAACAGGACTTGACCCATAACATCCTTGGAGTTGAAGGGACATTTGACCTTAAAGCACATTTTGGAACACCCATCAAAAACCCATCAAACATCCAGTAAAAACCCCATCAAAGAATAGTTAAGTTCTGTTATATCCCATTAACAGCAACCATTAAACAACCATGAAACACCCATGAGACACCCATTGGATGATAGGGGAAGTGATGGGAAGCCGAGGAAGCCACGGCGCTACCCCGACGCCGGGCCGATTCGGAGCGCCCCGCAGCGGTACCGCCGAGCTTGGCGGTGACGGGGCAGCTGGGCAACGTCATGAAGGAGACGTGGGGTCCACGGTCCACGTGCGTCACTGGTGGGTTGAACCAATGGGAAGGATGTCCGGAAAAGAATGATTTAATGGTTGATGTATGTTGATGTTTTTTGACTAGTTTGTGGTTTGGAACATTTTTATTTTTCCATATATTGGGAATAATTATCCCAATTGACTAATATTTTTCAGACTGGTTGAAACCACCAACCAGTTTATGACTGGAACATCTGGAATCCGATTTAGAATCGTTGTTGTCATCAATTGTTAGGGTTTCCTGTAGTTGAATTCACACATAAAGTAACGCTTGGAACCACCGAATGGAAATTGCCCAGGAGTCCTCTCAGATTGCCCTGCTGGTGGCACGCCGTCAGCTGCAAGCACGGAAGCAAAGTGGATTCTTTGAGGCAGTGGGGGGTGCCTGGCAGGAAAACAAATCCAGGATAGGATTTCAGGCGAAATGATCGCACCAATGGCTCCAGGCTGGGTTCTAAGAGCCACAAATGGGGTGCGATTGTCAACTTCATCGGCAGGAACATGAGCTGTTTCTGCATTGCCCAGAGGGTGCTACTCCAAAGGATGGGCCATCCGCTGCTTGGGCTGAAACTGCGGATGCGTCAAACTTGGTTAAGACTCTTGCTACTGCTACCCGCAAAATCACAAGCAGCCCAGCTGTGGGTCGGGCTCGAGATTCTATCATATATCAATATATCCTACGGGAATGCATGTTTTGTCCGAATGAAAATCCACATATCCAGTCCATATCTGGACAAGACTGCAAGCAACGATTTCGAAGAAGATACATATTGATATGGTGTTTCCAGGCTTTGGCAATATTAAGTAAAAGGTCAGTTATACTTCCATGACATGATGACATGGACATCTTTTCACCTTCCCAAACCGGTTCAAGGGAAAATCTGCAAGGGAAACTTCAGGGTTGGTTGGTTGTTGAACCCCTGGTTTCCAAGGTGAATACGTTGATCTCAAAAACAATGATGATGTTTTTTACTAGTCAATGCGTTCCTATTGTACCAATTCTGAGGATTTTCCCAACACTAGCCCAATCAACTCCCATAACCTCTATTTATGGATACCCATCTATCTACCTAGCTATCTACGTTCGCATCTATCTACATATCTATCGATGTATCTATCTACCTACTTACCTACCAATGAATCCATCCATCCATCCATCCATCCATCCATCCATCCATGCATCTATCCATCTTGCTTTTACATGACACATAACCGGGATGGATGCCACGACAAGGCTGGTGTGACCATGACCACTGCCCTCCTTTCCTTGGCAATGGAGAAACCGATTCCCACCGACTTGGCCATGACCGGAGAGGTAGGGGTGATCAAAACCCCTCACCCCAGCCATGGTTGATATATGATATGTGCAGAAGAAATTTGTGTTGAATGGTAGATATAATTTTATATAATTTGCTGACTAGTATTATGAATATAAGCATAAATATATGTGCCAAAGATTTGGTGACTTGTTCTCGTCAGTCCACGCTTATCACGAAAGCTATCTTCTGCTAGCTGAAGTTACTCTTGCTTTAGCAAGGTATTGTGGGGGTGGAATCTCCGATCGCATGAATCTTCATAGTTAACTAGGTTCACGGCTCATATTTCGCCGTGAGTCAAAATGACATTTCGGTGATGTGTATGTCGCACTCAAATCATCGCAATTACATGGGTTTCTACTTGTCGTGTGAGTTCAATGTTTGCAAAAGTTTTTTTCTTCTGCAGAATGCGAGTAAACTAGTCGGATCTTCACCTAATTTTGTTAGATGCCGCAAGAAAGTCCTTGCATTCAAGTTTCCCAAGTTTTTTCGCCAAGCCGTGGCGTACAGACATGCAACCATCGTAGCATCCGTAGCGTACAGATGTGTCATCAACGTAGCAACCGTGGCGTGCAAACATGCTACTAACGTAGCATCCGAATCCGAAGCGTGCAGACATGTTATACCAACGTAGCATCTGTAGCGTGCAGATGTGCAACCAACGTAGCATCCGTAGCGTGCAGATGTGTCACCAACGTAGCAACAGTGGCGTGCAGACGTGTCACCAACATAGCAACCGTGGCGTGCAGACGTGCAACCAACGTAGCATCCATAGCGTGCAGATGTGTCACCATCGTAGCATCCGTAGCGCAGACATGTCACTATAGCAACCGTGGCGTGCAGACATATCACCAACGTAGCAACCTTGGTGTGCAGACATGTCACCAACGTAGCAACCGTGGCGTGCAGACATGTCACCAACCTAGCAACTGTGGAGTGCAGACATGTCACCAACGTAGCAACCGTGGCGTGCAGACATGTCACCAATGTAGCAACCGTGGCGTGCAGACGTGCAACCTACGTAGCATCGGTAGCGTGCAGACATGTTACCAACGTAGCATCCGTAGCATGACGTATCTTTGATTCCGTAAGAAGATACCCCACCCCAGGACGTAGCCACGCATCCGAGAGAATACACGTCTATGCGGATGCAACAGCAGGACGTTATCAGCCCCCACCCCACCCCACTCCACCCCACCCCACCCCACCCCACCCCATCATAACCTCTAAAATGAACAAATGCATATTTTACCACGGCGAATTATGAACCGTGGTCCAACTACCCCCCTTGACTGGTTCACAAGCAGTTTGGCCCCCCGGGGACACCGTCGGCATATCGCCAGCGGCAGCAAAACCGGCAGCATCCGCATCCTCAGCATTATTGGTGTCGTCAACGGCGCATGCTTTAATTCACTGGTGCAGCCTTGCTCGCTATTGGCATGTTCATGGCTAGCCCTACAACGTAGCTTCATTTTCATTTTGAACCTTCACATGTAGCTTCCAGTCAGTTCTCACAATGGCACGCTTGTCTTGGATATAGTATTCCTTCATACAGATGAGTTTGCAAAGATCCTTCTGGAGCAATTGCACTGGCATGTTCCGCTTTTCGTCCTCATGGCATCCTACCTAGCCGCGCTTCCAACATCTTCTTCTCTTGCTACTTCTAAGCCTTGAAAGGCCCACTCCGATGCTGAAGGTGGACCCTTGAATCTTCTTCCTGTTTAGTGACAACCACGCTACTGAGTGGGAGTTTCCTTATTATGTTCACGCGCGTGATATATAATTTATAATCGTGTTCTCTTCATATGTGACATTGATCCCCCTTCAATGTGTCCCGTTCATTCTATACCAAGACATGGAAAGCCTTGTCTTGGACATAATATCCCTTAGTACAGATGAGTTTGCGAGTCTACTGGGTGTTTTCATGCCAAGCTCCCTGCCCAGCTAGCTTTCGTCACTTACCCCTGAGCCTCAAGTTGTTTGATCTAATAACTGAATGGACACTCATGACTCATTTGCTGTCCCCTAAAAATGAGGTCAAAAAGCGATCTTGACAAACGTGCAATTTTTCAGCAGAGGTCTCATTGAATGGAAAGGTGCTGGCAGTCGGTGGCATCAAGGACACGTTGCAGCCCTATTTTGTTCTTTGGTACTCATTTGCTTGAGACATGCGTTAATATAATTTTAATATATATATATAGATGTACGTATGCAGCTGTTCTTCCTGTCAGATGTTTTTGCCAGGTTGTTTTGCTGAGGGTGCGGATGGGGATGGTAGATGTTGAACGACGAAACGTGCAGGAGAAGACGATCGCTGCAAGACGCGCAGGTTGTAAGACTTTGGTCTTCCCCGAAGCAAATCGCTGGGACCTTGGGGGACTTCCCATGAGTGACGCACAAAAAATACCGAACCCACCGACCAAATTGTCAAGCTAGAGTCGACGTCCGGGCTTAGCCCATTCTGCACAAGGCCGGGACTATGATGAACTGCCCAAATATTTGCAAGATGGCCTGACAGTGCCTTCCCTCAGTCCTGATCCTCTGACAGAAAAAAAACACATTTTGTTGTTGGACAGAGGCAATTGTGGTCTTATCGGTTTCAACAGTTGCATTTACGCAAGTGCACTTTTTTTTTAAAACTAATCCTTTCTAACATCCAGGTACATTTTGCCAGCCACTTTGATGAAGTCTTTGATGTGGCCTTTGCCGAGAAAGTGCCTGGGCAGTTGTGATCCCTCCAAGCTGAAACTGGGAAGGCTGGGGGACTTTGCCTAGGATGCTGCCGCTGCCTGATTGTCTGGTGAGGGGACCAGTGATGTTTTTGGTCAGACGGCACCTGTTTGGGTCGTCTTTGTAGCAAGCCGTGCGCTTGGCCCTTGACGAGAATGCTTGGACGTTGATGAGGAGTTTTGAACCATATTTTTTTTGTGGGTCAACTTGCTTCTCGTCCTGATTCAATCTCCGAAGATTTTGGGCCCTGCAGAGTACAGAAGTCAGGGACGTCTTGTAGAGAAGACACACTGGCACAAACCGTCCATGCCGAAATTCATACATGAAGCACACATGTTTAGGTGAATCTCGCTTGTAGTCAGATATACAGTTTGTGTCATGCCAGAGACTAAGACTCGCCTAGCCTTCTGTGCTGCAAAACAGCAGTGTGCCACTCTCCAGTGAGTCAGACCAACAGGAAGACAGGGCTTGGGCTGCCGATTTTCTGGCTGTAAGATTTGGGTCAATATCCCTATGTTTGATGGTTGACCCTGGTAAAACCCAAACGTTTGATTGTTTGATGGTAGAATCAACATCTATCTTCCAATCCCACAACTCATCGATCTTCGTGACGTGAAACCATGATCCCAATGGTGTAAAAGGATCTGGTGGTCATGATTCCATTCCCCACTCGGCCACCTCCTAGACTAGCACACATGTCGGAAACGGGAGCTGGGCTTATGCCAGAATTGGACTCTCCCAAATCCACCCCTGGAGTTCCCAAAATTGTCATTTCAGGAAAATTTGAACACTATTCTTTTGGACGGTATTTTAGCATGATCAGTTGTAGATTTTGCCAGTTTTCAGGTGTTTTCACCAGTGTTTCTTATCGACAAAAAAGATCAGCAGATTTCCCTGAAATCAGCTCTTTGGGACTTGTGGCTCAGACCGGAACCCGGCCCCTGCAGACCGTTGCGGCAGAGATCGGCCCTTAACAAAGTCTGCAGGTGTGTGTCAAAAGCCATGGGTTTTGGCTAACATCAAAGTAGCGATCCATGGACGTTCCCCCCAAAAATATGGTATTTGATAGGTTTTTCCACCAAAAATATGGTATTTGATAGGTTTTTCCACCAAAAATATGGTATTTGATAGGTTTTTCCACCAAAAATATGGTATTTGATAGGTTTTTCCACCAAAAATATGGTATTTGATAGGTTTTTCCACCAAAAATATGGTATTTGATAGGTTTTTCCACCAAAAATATGGTATTTCATAGGTTTTTCCACCACAAATATGGTATTTCATAGGTTTTTCCACCACAAATGGCATTTCATAGGTTTTTCCTCCAAACATATGATTGTATTTCATAAGGTTTTTTTCCCCAAAATATGGTATTTCATAAGTTTTTCACCAACAAATATATGGTATTTCATAGGTTTTCCTCAAAAAATATGTTGTTTGGTATTTCATAGGTTTTTTTCCACCAAAAATATTGAATTGTATTTCATAGTTTTTTTCCCCAAACATATGGTATTTCATAGGTTTTTTTCCACCAAAATATGGTATTTCATAGGTTTTTCCACCGGTATTTCATAGGTTTTGCCCCAAAACATACGGTATTTCATAGGGTTTTCCACCGGTATTTCATTGGTTTTTCCCCAAAACATATGGTATTTCATAGGTTTTTCCACCGGTATTTCATACGTTTTTCCCCAAAACATATGGTTTTCATAAGTTTTTCCACCAACTAAGGTATTTCATAGGTTTTTTTCCCCCCAAAAAAATGTATTTCATAGGTTTTTCCACCGGTATTTCATACGTTTTTCCTCAAAACATATGGTATTTCATAGGTTTTTCCACCAGCTATGGTATTTCATAGGTTTTTTCCCCCAAAATATTGTATTTCATAGGTTTTTCCACCGGTATTTCATACGTTTTTCACCAAAACATATGGTATTTCATAGGTTTTCAATGGTTTTGATCCATCCCTATGCCATCAATTTCACCGATGAGGCCATGCAGATCAAGGTGTTCTACAGTCCGGACGCCAGCGTAGAACTCAGCGACACGACTCTGCGGGAGCTTTGGTCCAGAGGATTGCAATGCTGAAGACAACTAGGGGTTGAGATGATGGATCGGAGGATCATCTGATTCGGAGATGCAAGGCTACCTTGATCCCCGAGCTCCATTTTTATCCCCCTGATTTTGATCCTAAAATCCCGCGAAAATCTGCAGGCAAGAGCGCTTTGCTGGATGTGCAGCCATCCGACACCGTGAAGGCGGTGTATGACCAATATGGATCAATATGGTCCCAGGAAAAGGGGTGCCCGAAAACAGAAGGCCAGAAATCTAACATAATCTAACTACTGGTATATAACTTGTATAACTTACATAACATGTAACCTATTTGCAGCTGCCCAAGCCTCTTGGAAGCCGAAGGAAACTACTTGATTGCTCATGTCAATCCAAGAAGATGCCTTGAGATTCAAGACGAATCGATGCAATGATGAGCCCCTAGTGACCCTAGTGACCCTAGTGGAAATGCATTTGGATCATTTGGTTATGAATTATGAAGACATCATTGGGATTGCAAGTATAAATCCGTACTATACATAGTTAAGTACAGTTCTATGTAATTATAATCCCATATTATAGTTGATTGCAATGATTTTTCCATGGTATAGTTATGCTCCCATTATAACTAGTATAATAAGGTATCAGTATAATTGTCCCACATAATCCCAATATTGCTGTAGTATGGGCACAATCATTGAACCCACTGCAGCTACGTGGCCAGTTGGGTCCCATGGGCACTTGGATGGCATGGGCCAACGAAGACCCATCCAAGTTGCTGTGCAAACGTACCTGCAATTTTTGAATCGTGATGGGATGTGACTAACCCAGACTAACCCAAGAACCACCATGCCGTTTTTCAACGAGAATCACTTCAGAATTTGAATTAAGCACATGAACGGATGAAGATGACTTCTCATTTATCTTTCTGCACAGTTGGCCTGCGGTGAACCTCTTGTCCATTCCATTTTTCTGCTTATATTGTGGGATTCTTCCTGGCTTCTATTGATTTTATTTTATTTTTCAAGGTGGTGACAAAGGAATTTTCCTTTCACTGCAAACTAAACCCTCCTGTCAGGTGTAACTGAAGTGTTTTTTGCACGTCAGACGCACTCCACATCAAAATTCGATAAGACAAGTATGAGCAAGTGTGTGTGTGTGTGTGTTTGTGTGCGTGTCAGTGTGTATATATATACACACATGCATACATACATGCATGCATGCACACATACATACATACCTATCTACCTACCTACCTATCTACCTACCTGCCTGCTTGCATGCATGCATGCATACATACACACACACACACACCATAAAATCACCCCCAGGGTGGTTTCTCAAACCTCACTGAGGGTACATTCCACCTGCAAGCCAGGCCGTGAAGCAAAAGATCATTGCCCTGCACAGCCCTCCGGAGCGCATGAGATTCAACGCCCAGTGAAAAAGAAACCTGGGGTGAAACTGGTTGATGGAAAATATTGGAAGATAATCTGAGTAGACTCATCCTGGACTCTAGGTCAATCTCATAGGTGACAATTTTAGTTTCTTTTGGGTTGCTCTGAGATGTCGGATCCAACATTTAAGGAAGCCAAATCATCCGCGCAAGGACTGGGCTAACACCGCTCTTCTGTCCACGAAGGGGTCAACGGACTACCTGCAAAACAAGTCACTTAGCCAAGTTAGAAGAGTGGAACAATCATAATTAAGGTAAACCCCAAGAATCCAGCTACCATTTGGGGATGATTTTTACCACCCATGTATGGCAATATTGGGGATGACTACTGGGTTTACGACCTTCACAGGGTTTCACCTCGCTTTTTGGAGATGTCCTGTTGCGATCAGCTTGCACGAAAGATGGTCATGAGAAATTCAGCCCCGATTTTGAGCATCCGTCAGCAATTTGTCGGACCGTGAACCATAATAACCATGTGATAACCGTGTGACCACGATGTAATAATCATGTAATAACCAAGTGATAAGCATGTGAGGGTATCTTTGAAGCAAGCTTGGCCGATAGCCACCCAGTAGTGCTTTGAGGAAGAGGTTGGCCCAGTGTGGAATCGAGGACACGGGAATGACCTGATTTTGGTGTCAGGTGGAAGGGCAATTGGGTTTGAACATGCAGTACTTTAAGAGGAAAACAAATAGGGAATAGTTTTTCCATGTTTTTCCTATACTTCCACTTGGCAATTTTAATAGGAAAAAGGGTGATGAAGTGATTCACCAATGGATGGGCACCACATTTTGGGACAAGCCCAGATGAGCTGTATTAGGTTGTAGAATCCCATGATGATTACCTGTTCAGCTTGCCATCTCCATTTTCGCATGCACCGGAGTCACCGGAGGATGGGTCCAGCCTAAAATTTGCCTATGCCCGGAATCTGACCCTGATGGAGAAGGTGGAGTTGAGCTGCCAGGCTCGTTGGGACCTCGGGGTGGCTATGGTGTCATTGATCCTGATCTCCACAGCACGGTGGGCTTTATGCATTTTATTTGATTACATCTTATGACTATTCTGGCCACAAGATAAAGCTCTCTATATTCTGAGGTTACCTCATTGCGAGCTGTGAAGTGTTCTTCAGATGTTCACATCTGCAGGGTGTGAAGACGGATTCCTACCAGCTGCCGCCCATGTCAATCAGCTTGGATCCTTAGGGTCCTCGGCGGCGCTGACCTCCAATCGTCTAGCGGGTACAATGACGATCCAATCTCAATGTTTGAGGGTCTAAGTTGAAAATAGTTGAAATACAAAAGATGACGATCTGAGGATTCTTCTTCCAGATCTCCTGATTTCCGATTCATCTGTCCCCAATCTGAGGTACCTTGCCGCCCGAATTCTCTGGCTGAGGGTGCGCTGGGTGAATGAAAACCGGAAGGCGTTCCAAACAACACAGCTGAGCTCCCCAGTCTGGACTTTTGGATCTTTGCAGAAGGCGAACCTCTTCCGATGTGCAGAGTTGTGGACTCGCGGAGAAGCGACAAAAGGCGTTTTTGTCGTTTCAGGGAGCAGCTGAGAAGCACTGGTATTTGCTGTCGGTCATGTTTCTTGTCCCAGGCCCCTAGGCCCCCTTAGACTTCACAATCCTGAAGGGTTGGCTCAAGACGAAGCATGTGGCGAGTGTCGGGCGCACTGGGCCCACACCGGAGGAGCCATGCCATATGAGTCAGTGATACCCAACCCGCTGAGCTTGGGACGGTTGTGGATGGCAGGGAAATGGATATATATATATATAATATAATATGTGTATGTATATATATATATATACACACAGTAGATATAAACATATCTCATGAAAGCTAGCATCGGCTACCCGGCTAGCTGAAGTTGCTCTTGCTTCAGCAAGAGATATGGCAGGGAATCATGTATCGCGTGAGACTTTCACGGAGAGTTCAGCAACCAAGGCTCCGAAACCACGGCATAGCAACCAAACATACTTGCGCGTCAGAAACTACAGTTCACCAACACATAGTTTTGCTTCAGCAACTACACTTCTGAAACTAAAAAACATGTCACCGCTCTGAGTCATTATTAAAACAACTCCCCTTCATTGGGCTTGCTTTAGGGTTTATTTAGGTTCCGTTCTATAGGTTTGGATTAGGCTTACTTTAGGCTTTATTTATACAGGGTTTAGTAGGGTTAATTTTCTCGTTGGATTTGTGCAAGGTTGGTTTTGGGTTGAAGGTTTCCGAAACATAGTTTCCCCTTCTTGGATTCCGGCGCATAGTTTCCGAAGCATGGTTTCAGAAGCATCGCTGCCGAAGCATAGTTTCCGAAGCATGGCTGCCGAAACATGGTCGCCGAAGCATAGTTTCGAAAGCATAGTTTCTGAAGCAGGAGCCAACTGCTACGCGCATTCTTTCCTCACCAACCGCTCCTACATATCCATAGTTGGTACTTCAGCGAAGCTTCCCTCGCCCAGCACAACACCTTTCCAGGCAAAACCTTCTCTGCACCTAGAAACTTCTTCGCCCGAGGAAACGCAACAGGACGATAAGGCTGTGCACATACTATTTTACTGTTATGAACTCCTCTCACCCATAAACATGGGTCCCTGATTCAACCTCCCCTGGATATGTGTGTATATATATATATATACACGCATGTGTAGAGTGGCCAACATTGCAACGTGCTTCCAATTAACTTGCAGTGGCCAGTGACCCCATCAATCCAAATGCCTCGCCGCGAAGAAAAGACCTGGCCGATGGCCTCCATCACGGTATCTTGCTTCACTGAAGCGAAGTGATTTCAATCGAAACTGCGAAACTGGTTTGATGTCAAAACATATGAAAAAACATAGATGGATATATATATATATAATTATATATATAATTATATATATAATTATATATATAATTATATATATATATAATTATATATATGGCATCGTTTTATTTTGGTATTCCACAGCCAAGCCAAGGGTTGGCAGCGGTCACCTTCCCATCCCTATAAATCAGGTCCGCCCACTGAAGAACTCAGTCTGGGAGCCTAGGATTCCCTGCGCACCGAGGTGAGAACCAAAGATGGACAACGCATTCTCTCTGTATGTTTGGGACTTTTCATGTACCATATATATATAGAGATTCAATGTACAAATTAAACCGCACTATACATATAAATGGTCATATACATATGATATATACACATACTATACACTGGTAGTATACATATATCGAATAAACCAAAAAACCCATGGCACATGGGCTGGGTCCTCCGAGGTGACAGCCCAGACGAGCCCCAGTCTGCCGAAGGTGATTCTTCCCAGCGGATCTGGGGAGAACATGGGGGGGTTCCATGGGGATAGACAGCCCAATAGCTGGATGGTTTATCAATGTTTATCATGGAAAATCCTCAACCTGGATGATTTATGATGATTTAGGGCTTCTACTACCAAGTTTCCACCTTGATTTGGGGAATGAGAATCAAATGGGAGATATGTCCCTAACCAGATGATAATTGGGGTTGCCTAAAAACAACAAAAATGTAGCCAAATCAAGATGTTGTAACCTTGGTGACGCCCAACTGGAACTTCAAGATACAAAGAAAGGGGCTCCGAACACCAAGCCCCTAAATCCACTGGTTTGTCATTATATGTCATTATCATCCCTATTAGATGGCGTTGATGTATACTCTCCAACAGGCGATGGCTCAATACCGGAGAATGGTTTGGCACACCTCAGCGATCCTGATGAAGGTTCGGTGCAGCTTCCGGTGCCGGTTCTGGGCTGGTTCCGGGAGGTTCCGGTGCGGCTGGTGGTGCGGGTTCCAGCATGGTTCCCGGAAGTTACGGGAAGTTCCGGTGCGGGTTCCGGGCTGGTTCTGGGAGGTTCCGGGTGTGGGGTTCCGGGCTGGTTCCGGGATTCCGCAAATGCTTGACTTTGTTTTACTGCAGCTTCAACTGTGCATTTGAGGTGTACTTCTCCATCTTCTTCGCGCGGCGTGCACACATACACACATTGCGCTGCTTCAAAGTCAAGTCGCGCCCCTTGCCAGGGTTGCAGTTGTTCCTGCATTTTCCAACCACTTTGCTGTTGGGGATACCACCTGGGATTATTTCTTACTGTGCAGCGTCATATCAGGTCAAATTGATTGTTGGTACATTGATTCCGTGTCTTTTTGCCGGGACTGAAAGTTGCTGGTGATAAAAGAGCAAGCAAGATTTGCACTAGGGTACCTGTCACTTTGCTCGGCGATCCGGCATTGAAACAGGCTGTTGTCAAAATCACATCTTGGAGCACAACTCCAACCCATTGCTACAGACACTAAAGTGAAAATACAGAGCTGCCCCTCGTCATTGTGGGTTGTCTTGCCATGCACACATACATGCATACATACATACATGCATGCATACATACATACATACCTACGTACGTACATACATACATAGATACATAGATACATAGATACATAGATACACATCTACAAAGATACATCCATCCATCCGTCCATTCATCCATCCATCCATCCATACATACATACATACATACATACAAAGATACATACAAAGATACATGCAAAGATACATGCAATGAAGATACATGCAATGAAGATACATGCATACATACATACATACATACATACATAGATACATCCATCCATCCGTCCATTCATCCATCCATCCATCCATCCATCCATCCATACATACATACATACATACAAATATACATACAAAGATACATACAAAGATGCATGCAAAGATACATGCATACATACATACATACGTACGTACGTACGTACATACATACATACATACAAAGGTAGATAGATAGATAGATAGATAGATAGAATGGTAGATAGGTAGATAGATAGATAGATAGATAGATACTGTTACAGACATACAGACATACACACATACAGACATACATGCATGCATGCATGCATACATTCATACATTCATACATTCATACATTCATGCATACATACATACATACATACATACATACATCCATACATGAACAACTGGCAGCAACTGTTGTCAGTGTTGGTACCTGCAGTTGCGGTGTTGAACTCGCGCAGCTGTATTGTTTGTCTCTCTGTTGGCACTGGGCTCTGTCGTCTTGAGCCAAACGTTGTTGAACGTTTGGATCATCTGTGCACAGGTATGTTGGTCTACTGTAATTACACCTATTTGGATATTAACACAGCCTCTTGACATGTTGGCAATTGTTGTCGGCATGTCATCATCAAATTGTTGGACACTAAGTGTATCAATAGAACTAACTACATTGTGGGGTGAATAGAAACATTACTTGGTTAACTGTTGAATTCACTGTGCACTTTACAGAGTGAAATGTTGATCAAAGACGTTGTCTGTCTAAATACTGACATCTGTTGAACAGAAAATTTTTGTTGAATTCAACCTACGTTGATGGATGCTGTTGACCTCACTTCGTCACACTCAGTTGAGATAGTTCATGGCATCTCTGTGGATTTAGGATTCCATTCATCCAAGGGTGTTGCAGTTTCCTCCTGGTTGTTGATCCTCTGTTGGATCAGTCTTGATGAACATCATGTTCATCTTCCTCCATGTTGGACTCGATGCCTGTGTCCATGAGGCCCTCACGTTGGTGCTCCTCGATCTCGGTGTTGTACAGCCCAATGTCAGCTGAGTCAGCCCATGTTTTGGCATCCACGTTGCAACGAATTCTCTCGGCTGTTTTCTGGCCGTTGTAAACAATGTCCTTCACCTGGATCTGGCCAATGTTGCAAATCACCAGATGGTGTTGACGACCAAGATGTTGCTTCATCAATGCCGCTGTTGCTGGCATTGAATCGAGGCACTGTAGTCCAGAGTAGAGCAAAGTCTGGAGTGTTGCGTACCACAATTGATGTTGAGGGCCTGTTTGGGCCACTTCCACAAAGTTGATTGGGACGTTGAATGTCCAGGCCCATCCATTGCCCCAAGTGTAGAACAGTGCAACTGTTCTGCCCATGTTCATGCCATTGATGTGTTGAAGGTTCCACACACCTTCTGTGTTGCCTTTTCTGACGGCAACATGTTGAAGACTCGACCGGCCTCCAACTGCATCTGTGGATAGGTGTATCCACGACTGAAAATGTTGATGCCGCCTGACGAAATGCGCTGCATCTGTTGGAGAGTGTTGACCTCCCAACTCAATGGGACTAATTCTGTCTTGTTGCTTGTGACCAAATGGTGTTCGACAGCATGACAGTACCATGTTGCCAAAGCCGCCGCTGGTGATGTTGACAGGATGAGTTTGTCCCATCGTGGAAGCCTGATGCTTCCATGTAGGCTTTGAAAACAAAGAGTTGTTGTTCCAGCCTCTCTAAACTTGTTGACCTCCTCTGTTGCGAGCACCAGCCACACCATCTGCTTGTTGGCAAGGCGTGTTGTCTGGTGGTACTCGTCAGGATTGTTGAGGTCCTAGTACTCGTTGTCCGCTCTGTTGGTCAGCAGTGTTGCTGATACTGACAACTCCCTGAGGGTGTTGTCCAGGGTCATCCCCGGGTTGGTTACCTGGCTGTCTGGGAATCTACTATGAGCGGCCATTGTTGCCGTAGATCTCGAAAATGTTGAGCCGCTGTTGGGCAAACGAGGCGGCGGTTGAAATTCATTGTTGTCAACAAAATGTTGACACAACATGTGCACAAAAAACTGTTGAAATCGAAGTTTGTTGAATTCAAGCCAAAAACGGCATGTTGAAAAATACAGACATGTGGGTGGCACGTACGTATACTTCACGTTGTAGGATCCATAACGTTGATATAGTACATATCGAAAATCATCTTGACATACTTGATGGGATATTATGTTGATATGCTCCAGGATGTACTTACAGCAAAGGTTGATCAACTATTGTTAATCCCATGGCTGAAGATAGTGAAACTTGTATATTTTGGTGCACGCGCGCTGCAGTAAATGCTGGTGTTGCTGCTCGCTTGTTGCAAGCTGCTGGTGAAACTGTTTGCTTGTGGCTCCAGTGAAGGTTGAGGTGCTGGATGCCAAGTCCAGCTTGTTGAAGGTGTCGTTGCAGAGTCTCTGTTGAGACATGCTTGGTCAATATGTTTGCTGGGTTGTCGTTTGTGTGAATTTTGATCAGTCTCACGTAGTCGTGTGAGATCAATTGTTGAATGAAGAGATGTTTGAGTTCAATGTGCTTTGCCTTTCTTGAGGATCCAATTCTTGTGGCCTTGCTCTTGCCACTTGATGAGCCTGTGTGGATCTTGACGTTGATCTTGTTGATGTTGAGAAGTTCCATCAGGAGGCTTCTAATGTGAAGTGCTTCTGTTTCGCCTGTGTTGATGGCATATAGCTCGGCCTCCCCAGGCGAGAGGGCAATTGTTGCCTGCGTTCTGCCCCCATGGTTTATTGTAGTTCCAGGAAGCGTGATGACAAATCCTGTTGTGGATCTCCTTGTTGTTGGAAATCCTGCCCAATCGCTGTCTTCGAAAACGTTGAGGTCAGGGATTGCTTTTGCTGGAGGCTTCGCCGTTGGTCGGATGATCTGCTTGTGCTTTGTTCCTTTGATGCACCTGGGAAGGTGCTTCAGCTTTTGTTGATCGGCTGTTGTTGGCTGCTGCAATGCTCTTGCCAGTTCTTTTGTTGCGTAGCTGATGTCGGGTCGTGTGTATGTCATCCGTTGGGAGTTTCCCGACTGCTCGTCTGTATTGAGCGTGCTCTTCTGCTGAGAGTGCTTGTTCGTGGTCTGCTGTTGCTGTCTTCAGTGCTGATGTTCCTGGTGCTGGTGCTGGCTTGCTGTCCTGCAGATTTGTCTTTGTCAGGAGTGTTGTGGTGTGGTCATCTGCTAGGCTAATCTCATAGTGGTCTCCTCTGTTGGTGATGTTCCTGCCAAGGAATGCTACTGTGTTTCCTGGTGACATGGTGCCTGTTGGTCGAAGTAGCAAATGCTGTTGGATCTCCTTGAAGAGCTTGTTGACAATCTGTTCCTCTCCAAGGAAGAGAAGGTCGTCGACGTAGGCCAAAACAAAGCAGTTGCGTGCTCCTGTCATGTAGATGTTGGGTTCGGCTGTGCTGCGGTGAAGTCCGATCTGTTGAAGGACTTCCGCAAGGTGTTTCTGCCATGCTTTTGGACTGCTGCGTAGTCCAAAGATTGCTTACAGCAGTTTCCATACGATGTTGTCCTCCGGGTTGTAGAACTCCTTTGGCAGGTACATGTAGAGGTGCGCTGTTGCTGCTCCCGCATGTAAAAATGCAGTTGAGATGTCTCCTGTTAGGCCAATCCATCCTTTGTTGCATGCTAGTGTGAGGAGTGTTCTCAACACACAGGAAATGGGCGTTGACGCGTAGATGTCATCCAAGTCAGTCACTGTTTCTGTGAATCCTTTTGCGACAACTCTTGCTCGGACCTTGTTGCGTTGCCCTTGTCGCGGCGGATCCAGCGTGACTGGGTGATGTTCCTGCGTTGTTCTGGTGTCAAAGTGTTGATGTCAACCTCCATGTAGACTTGCTGTTGCTTCATTGAAAGAATCCCGTGTTTCATCCCTTCAATTGTCTTCCGTTTGTCAAGTCCATCGGTGTTGTTCACGATGGGTTCAAGGAGAATCCTTTCGGTCTGTTGATCTGTTGCAGCTTTACAGGAGTAAGCTGTAATCTCCTCTCCTTGTTTTGTCTTGATTGTAACTTTTGTGTTCTCAGTAGGCTCTTTGGCTGTTCCGGTGTTGGCTCTGGGCGTGCCGGTGCTTCTGGTTGTGCTGCAGTTCGCTGTTGCTTTGTTGAACTTCCTTCTGCTGTGTCATCTGCCAGGTGTCGCTTTGGTGGCGATGGCATTGCTGGGCTGCTGTGACAACTTGTTGGTGCTGTGGCCATTGGTGAGCTGGCCGATGCTGGTGTTGCTGATGCCATTGGCGTGTACGCTATTGCTTTTGGTGGAAGTTGTGGTCCACCTGTTAGTGCTCGTGTAACTGTCACTTGTTCCTTGGGTGTACCATCGGTGGTTGTAGTTGTGCTTGTGATGTTGGTGGTGGTGCCACCGTGTGTCCTGTTCTGCTGATGACGTCAAACATTTGTTTGTAATACTTGTCTGGCTTGAGCATGCGTCTGATTGTTCTTGCTCTGACAACTTTGCTGCTGATGCCCAGAAGTGTCTCTCCTGTTGCTGTGCCCCTTCCAAGCCAAATGGCTTTGAAGAAACGTTGTTCCATCTCTGGTCGTTGCTTGACTGTTGGCAGTCGGTACTGCGCTGTTTCTCCAAACTCACAGAGTGGTGTTCTGTGGTCTTTGTTCCATCTGCGAAAGTGGCTGGTGCTGCCATCCGCATGTGTTGCGTATCTGTTGAGTAGATACGCTGTGTGTCGTAACAGCCATGGTACGATTGGATGCTTGCTGGTGATTGTTCTGTCGTAGTTTTGTTGTAATTGGGCTCTCAGTGTTCTGAATTGTCCCATCAGTGTTCGGTGGAAACGTTCGACGCTGCCGTGAGCTGTATGCTGGGGACTGCCTGACGGTAATGTTGCCGCCCATCTTGCTTGCTGCTGTATGTTGGAGTGCTTTCAGGTGATCCTCTTGATCTGATTGTAAAATGCTGCTGTTGAGTACTGCTTGTACTCTGCCGCATTCCATGAGGAATGATTGGATGCAGTTGACATGGTATTGGAAGTCTTGCTGCTTGTCCCCTACCATTGTTGCCATAACCATGCCTGTTTCCACATCAATCCCAGTGAGGATTGCGGTTGTTGTTGGTTCTCCTGCTGTCTTGAAGTAGCAGAAGTCGAATTTTACTACTGGCATTTTGCTCGTCTGTTTTGGATGTTTATCTGCTCTACCCTTGTTGGCTACGCATGTTGGACGCCAACTTCTGAAAGGTAGATGTGTGAGTTCATGCTCTGCTCTTTCCTGTTGTGTTGGCTGTGCTGGTGCTGTGAGTCCCTCTTGCTGGCTTTGCTTGTTGTGGATCCTCTTCACCCACGTCATGTACCTCATCTTTGCATGAATGAGGTGCTCTCCTCAGAGTTTGTTGAGCCAGTCCATGGGACGTTCAAAGTTGCTTCTCGTTTTGTTGTCCAATCGTCGTCGATCCTGTGCCATCTTGCTCCTGATGTTGGCTTGACGATTGTTGTCCTTTCAGGGATCAGCTTGGTGACATCTGGCCCATCTTGCGTCTGTTGTGGTATGTAAAGTGTTGTTCTGGGCTTTATGTGGACTCTTTTCCACAGATGTCCTTCAGGGATCCAATAGTCTTCCGTTGTTGGAAGTTCCTTTGGCCGTGGAATGCTTGTTGCCGGGTGTGGTTGCTGTTCACTGCTTGGATGTTGCTCATTGCTTGTTGCCCAACTTGTTGCCATCTCCTCTGGCCTCTCTGGTTTTTTTTGTGTGCATCTCCTCTTCTGTTGTGCTTGTTCCTGCTGTTTCTGACTGGGTGCTGGTAGTGCCTTGTTTGGTGTTGTTGGTGTTGCAGTCGGTGGCTTTGGTGGTCTTGCATTCTTCTTGGCCTTGAAACATGTTTCACCTTTCCATGCTGTGCTCAGCACCCTCTTCTGTTGACTGTGCTCAAGGCTGCGAAGTTTCTCTGCAAAGTCTTCTGTTGTGCCGTCGTGTTTGTGGGCTATTGTTCTTCTGTAACCCTCAAGTTTGTCCATTGGAACTGGACATTGTTGATCTGACATGTATGTTGCTCTGCGCTTGGCTTTGTGGAGTCTCACCAAGTATCCTTGACTGTTGTATGTCCAAATGTCGTGTTGATGTGTTACCCATTGTGCTCCTTCGCTTGCCAAGGTGATGGGTGATATTGTTGCTTTGATTCCTTGCTGTGTGTCGCGGACGTCAAGCTTGTAGTTGGGTGGTGTTCCTGTGTTGTTCGCAGGTAGGAGGTATGTTCCTTCCTTTGCTCGTGGCTTTGCTTCAAACTTGTTTGGGTGTGTGATTGTTGGTTGCTCACTGAGGTGGATTGTGAAGCCTTGTTCTGTCAGTCTTGTTACTGACAGTATTGGTTGTGAAACCGAGCGCACATAGAACGGAATCACGATCTGTTGGTTGCTCTCGTTGGTCATGTAGACCCACTCGTACCCATAGACTTCAATGGGGTCTTCTGTTGCTGTCCCTAGGTTTGGCTTTCTTGTTCTGGTATGTCATACGTCTGTGGTGTTGAGGCAAACTAAATTGGGCAAACATGTGTTGCCGCTCCACTGTCGATCATCAGTTCATCCTTGTTGAGGTTTGTGATCATGCTCATGTCTGGTGCTCTTGCTATGCTGTTGCTGTTGCGTGGTACTGTGACTGCTGCAATCTGCACTGCTGGTGTTGCATCTAATTGTGAAGGTGCTGGCAGTGCAAGTTGTTGTGGTTGCTGCACTGCATTGACTTGTGTTTGGTCGTTTGTCCACCAATGGTTGTCACAGGTGGTGTGTGGTCCATACCACTGCTCAGTTGCATCGTTGTATCCTTCTTCGGCGCCATCCTGAATGTTGTGGACTGCAACTCTACAGTCTTTTGCCGTGTGGCCTGGTTGACCACATCTGTAGCAGCCTGTTGTGTATCCTTTTCCCTTGCCGGTTGTCTTTCCTTGTCCTTTTCCTTGTGCATAGTTGTTGTATCCTTTGTATTGGGCTGTTTGTCCAACGGGCCCTTTTCCTTTGCCTTGTCTTGTGTGGCCATAGCCTTGTTGTCCGTAGCCCTTTCCTTTGTTGCGTTTCTTTCCTTTGCCTTTGTGCTTGCCCTTTCCTTTTCCTTTGTTGATGGCTCCTATGTCCATATAGGTGCAGCTCCTCCGTTGAAGTTTGTTGCAACACTGGATGATGCGCTCCGCTGAAGCCTGCTGAATGCTGTAGTCGTCCTGTAGTATTCCGTGATGGTTGCTCTGATGTCCATGTAGGTTGGTGTCGCTCCAGCCATAAGGTGGAGGTGTTGTTGTAGTGGTCCTTTTGTTTCATTCATCAAGACTGCAATCTTGACTTGGTCTGGTAGTTGGGTGTTGTTGTCTCTTTCATACCTGTTGTGTTCAAACTCCCAATAGGAGAATGACTCCTCAAAGTTGTTGCTGTCGAATGATGGTTTCAAGAGATTTGTGGGGTATCCTTTAGCTGAATCTCAAAAGCCTCCAGAGCTTCCGTCTATAGGAGCCTGAGTGGCCGCGCATGCAAAACATATGTAAAACTCATATGACTCATATGACTCATACACATTTACTCTGGTGGAACGTATGTGATGCGTATGTGCAGCGCAAGTGAAAACATATGTGGGCCGTATGTGAAACATATGTGAGACATATGCGAAACACATATGACGCATTAACGTATTTTGCGACTGGATTGCGTTGTGTTTATGTTTCCCTTATGTATACGTTTGGGAGGAAAATGAGACCTTATTTTGTGCAAATCACGCAACATAAGGTCTTATTTTGGAACGCGCGTAAAAAACATAAATAGAAACATAAACAAAACGCAAACGAGAGCGCAAACACATTTTGTAACGTTTGCGTTTGTACATGTATATGGTTTATGTTTTTTATGTCGGGAAAAATAAGACCTTATTTTGGGCAAATAAGGGCTTATTTTATCCCTTACGTAAAAGAAACGTAACATTAACATAAAGAAAACAGCTGGTAGCCGCAATTTCTGGATATGTCGGGAATATGTGTTTTGTTTGCATATTTGGAGCCGTTTATGCATGCATGCATGTACAAGCTCCTTGATGTTCTTGATGCACGTTAGTTTGCGATCATACTTTTGCCAAAGGGACCCGTTCCGTATTTCCGCAGACATTGACAGGAATATCGCATGTAAGTATGTATGTATTAATGTATAGATATTATATATATATATATATATATTTATACACACACATATTTTGAACACCGATTTGCCTGGCAAAAAGAATCAAAACATCCTACGGTATCTTGACGACTTGCCGGATCCGCAGGTGGGCTGCGTCGTGGCGAGTCATTCCGATCCTCCGTGAAGTCGCGTGCCTCTGCAGACAGCACGCTGACCAGTACTCAGGAGCGAGCGGTTGGAGGCTGCAGGTCGTACAACATCTTGTGGGAAGGTGTGTGATCATGTATATTGGAAATGTATATGTATCAGTATCTGTATCTGTATCAAGACATAAATATACATGTATATATGTATATATGTATATACGTATATTATAGGTATATGTAAATGTAAATGTAATTGTATATGTAAATGTATTTGCATGTGTATAATATGTAAAATATGTCTCATATGTATCATATGATTATTTTTTTTGTATATTATGTATTTTATATTATGTATTTTTTTTTTATTTTGTATATTATGTATATTTGTATACTATGTATATTCTGTATATTCTATATATTATGTACATTATGCATATTATGTAGGTGCATATTATGTATATGTATATTGTGTATGTGTATAATGTATCTGCATTCGTGTGTGTATGTGTCTACTCATACGCACATGGAGACAGACATACACATAGAGACAGACATACACAAGCTTGAACACCAGCATGCACGCACAGATGTAGACACCCACCCAGCACGTGTTAAAACGGCACAGACCTCCAAACTACTCACCGCCATGGTCATGATGTCAAGGACAACAAGAAACGCGTGCTGGAGCACTTAGAGAAGTGAGCCTTCCAGCCGTCCCTATGGCGACTGTCATTTGATCCTGGCAGTCCTATCACTTCGTGATTTTTAGGTGATTGTCTGGTTCTGGTTCTGTTGGAGGTACTACCACGAGACCCATTTCACACGACAAACCTCGGATGACCAGCAGAAACAGCCGGGCAGCACGGCTCCGCGTTGATTGATTTTGCAAGATGCCGACTGGAAGCATTCCTGATTAAGATGTTTGGATATGTTTGGAGATGTTTGTTTTTGAAAATGGTCGAGAAACACTTCTGCGCTTGACTACCAGGTGGAGAGGGCTGTGTGGAGTGGTGTGCACAAATTGGTCACAAGATCATAAAAACCAAGTATGCAACTTACTCTACAGAATGGGTAAGATCTTGGATATGCTTTCGATGATGTGTTTGCATGCGTGACTGTTCCAGTGGGACGGCCCCACCAAAAACCCCTGGCTTCGTTGTTTCTAATCGACACCGTATCGTTTCCCATCGATCGGACGAGGACCGCTCAGCGATGCATCTTACCGCGGAACTTCATAGTGCCACGCAGCAGTGTGCCGGGAGCTGAGCATATATGTACGTAAATAAATAAATAAATAAATATATATATATATATAAAAATATAAATATCCATGTATGTATGTATGTATGTATGTATGTAATTATGTATGTATGTATGTATGTATGTATGTATGTAGGCATAGGCATCGCTTCGGGATACGTCGGGTGCATCGCTTCGGGCTACGCCTCATGCATCGCTTCGGGATACCTCAACATCATCATCGTCATCATCATCATCAGCATCATCATAATCATCATCATCCTCATGATCATCATCATCATCTTCATCATCATCATCATCACCATCACCATGATCACCATCATCATCACCATCATCATCACAATCATCATCATCATCGTCATCATCACGATCATCATCATCATCACCATCATCACCATCACCGTCGTCGTCCAGAATAGACATATTCAATCATTATCATCATCATGTTACCCATCATGAGGGGTCGGAGGGCGGGTGCCCCATCATCATGTTGTCCACTCATGGTTGACCATCATGTTGACCACCAAGTGAGCAGCATCATCATCATCATCACCACCATCATCATCATCATCCTCATCCTCATTATCATCATCATCATCTTCTTCTTCATGATCATCCTTGTTATAAGCATTTTCTTCCTCCTAGTAATATTCATCTTCATCTTCTTCATGTTCATGGTGATGATGGCGTCAGGAGAAGATGTGATAGCGTGAGATCATGTTGGTGTGCAGGTGCAAGAGAAGATCGGCTCATGGTGTAATGATGGAGTCAAGTAATGGCTGAGTCAAGTAATGATGTAAGTAGAATGACCCCTCCCCCCCAAACAAACCCTAAATGGCTGAGTCAAGGAATGATGTAAGTAGAATGACCCCTCCCCCCCAAACAAACCCTAAATGGCTGAGTCAAGTAATGATGTAAGTAGAATGACCCCTCCCCCCCAAACAAACCCTAAATGGCTGAGTCAAGTAATGATGTAAGTAGAATGATCCCCCCCAACCAAACCTAAATGGCTGAGTCAAGTAATGATGTAAGTAGAATGACCCCTCCCCCCCAACCAAACAAACCCTGAAAGTGAATGCCCTCTGGCTCAAGTACCCCCCCCAACCAAACCCTAAATGGCTGAGAATGACAAACAATAAATGAGTGTAATGATGTAAGTAGAATGACCCCCCCCCCAACCAAACCCTAAATGGCTGAGTCAAGTAATGATGTAAGTAGAATGACCCCTCCCCCCCCCAAACCAACTAAATGGCTGAGTCAAGTAATGATGTAAGTAGAGAATGACCCCTCCCCCCCAACCAAAAGTCCCCCTCCCCCCCAACCACCTAAATGGCTCAATCAAGCAATGATGTAAGTAGAATGACCCCTCCCCCCCAAACAAACCCTAAATGGCTCAATCAAGCAATGATGTAAGTAGAATGACCACCCCCCGAACCAAACCCTAAATGGCTGAGTCAAGTAGTGGTGTAAGTAGAATGACCCTTCCCCCCGAACCAAACCCTAAATGGCTGAGTCAAGTAGTGGTGTAAGTAGAATGACCCTTCCCCCCGAACCAAAACCTAAATGGCTGAGTCAAGTAATGATGATAAGAACGATGTTTGCCGTGTTGCCCAAAGTGATGAAATCCGTGTTGCCCAAAGTGAGCGTCCAAAGTGTGAGGAGTGTGTGATTTCTGGATGTTGCCTGAAGTGATGCGTTTGGTGTTACCCTAAGTGATGCGGGTGCCTGTATGTATGTATGTATGTATGTATGTATGTATGTAACGTATGTAATGTATGTATGGATGTAATGTATGCAATGTATGTAATGTATGTCATGTATGTAATGCATGTAATGCATGTAATGCATGTAATGCATGTAATGCATGTAATGCATGTAATGTATGTAATGTATGTAATGTATGTAATGTAATGCATGTAATGCATGACTGGGAATGGATGCATGTATGCTGTAATGTATGTAATGTATGTATGTATGTATGCATGTATGTAATGCAATGTAATGCTGTATTATGGGTAAAATTAATGTATGGCATGTATGTAATGTATCATGTTTTATGAGTATGTATGCATGTATGTATGTATGCATGTATTGTATGTAGTATGCATGTTATGTATGCATGTATGTAGCATGTATGTAATGTATGCTGGCATGTAATGTATGTATGCATGCAGGTATGTATGTATGCAATGTATTATGTATGTATGTATGTATGTAATGTATGTAATGTATGTAATGTATGTAATGTATGTAATGTATGTATGCATGTAATGCATGTAATGTATGTAATGTATGTAATGTATGTAATGTATGTAATGTATTAATGTATGTATGTATGTATGCATGTATGTATGTATGTATGCATGTATGTATGTATGAATGCATGTATGTATGTATGTATGTGTGTGTATGTATGTATGTATGTATGTATGTATGTATGTGTGTATGTGTGTATGTGTGTATGTATGTATGTATGTATATATATATATGTATGGATATAGATGGTATGGCCCAGACCAACGCAAACACCGCGTCCACTTTTCGTTTTCCGTCGCAAGGAAAAGATCTTTGCAAATCATGGACCAGAGAGACACCCCTGACTGTCCTGGCGAGGTCCGGCAGCTTGACCCGGTAGAGGTCATGATACTTTTAATGATAGATGTAGAAAATGATGCTTGACTCCGCAATAGATAAGAACAGATTAGATTAGATGGACAGATAGATGGATAGATAGATAGATAGGTAGATGGATGGATAGGAAACATATATTTATTCCCACAGACCAGTACCGTCTTGCGAAAGAGGCATAGAAGCCTTGTATGAAGCTGAGTGACATGCTGTTTATTTTTCATTAGTATAGATTCATCAGAAATACTCGTTGAAGGCAGTGTGGGTCAGATCCCCATTATTGGTAGGTGAACTTCCCCAATCTTCCCCATTTTCTTGATGCAGTGAGCCGCTTATTGCTGAACAATTGGAGTCCTGATTTTCGTTCAAATAACAACCATAGAGAAATACCATAAAATGTGCCGTAGATACCCTTTTTTCCTATAGATATCCTAGATTCAAATCAATACCATTGAAATAGCCATAGATACCCTTTGGTAAACTAACATAGCGAACTGGGCAATCACCATGCTAATAATGGGTAAATTCATTTTTTCTATGGTTATTTTCAATAGGGATGTAACAAATTACCAGAGGGTAGCCTTTCATATTGAATGGGTAAATATACAATAGATATCCGATATACTATAGATATCCATATCCCGAGAAAAAATTGTAGCCAGGTCAAACTGGGCGAGTTGCTTAAGGCAGTCGACCGCTTCAACCGAGCCTTTGGGTCAGTTGACCTCAAAAAACCGGGAGCCTGGTGTGTGGCGATTATCATAGCTATGGAAAATCCATTTTAAATGGAAGTTTACTGGGAAGATCATCTGTAAATGGTCAATTTTTCCATAGCTATGTTAAATAACAAGAGGGTATATACTGGTTTATATATATACATATAAAAATAAATATATATATATATATTGTGGCAACGGTTGGGGATATATGCCTTACTATTTGGGACTATAGAAATGGGATGATATTCTAATATTCTGTGGGATTTCAATCGGATCGTGCTGAGGCCCTTACCAAAAGAAAATGGGGCATACCCTAACTGGCTGCTTTAATAGGGAAATGGTGGTTGACCAAGGAGATGGAATGGGGTACATTATTATTAGACACACCCATATGAACTAAACTATTTACCTTTATGATAATACAGAATTATACACATACCCATATTCAACTGTATATATATATATATATCATCGAATATGCGAATCGAATCAAACTATATATATATATATGTCAAATATATGCCAAACGTTGTGTGTATGGGTGTGTCTGAAAATGTGGTATCCCCCAAAACGGCCATCACATATTAGAAAAATGATTAATCGTTGGGTATCGGGGATCCCCAATTTTTTCAAGCAAATCCATACATTATATAGTATGTATAGTATGTAACATAAGTATGTATATATATATATATACACAGGTCATGATGTACTTGATGTGTGTTGCAAGTATTTTGCCTAAATGTCATATGTGTATCTGTATGCTCAACATGTCTGAATTTGTTCACATACACACCCATATGTATCTATATATGCATAGAATAAATCCGACTGACACACACACGCACACAGTACGTATGCGAAGATCCAGATCTCAGATATATAGATTGCATCAATGTATATCTGGACGGCATCGTGTATTCAACGAGTATCTGTACCGACTGGATATCACGATCGCTGAGGGAGAAGAAACATCCCAATTGGGATGTTGAGCTCATGGAGGTGCAATGGGGGAGTTTTAATCATTGGATAACCATTGATTTTGGGTAATTTTGGGTCCTCCATTTTTAAGAAAGAACCAAGTGGGGCATATGCGCTAAATAGCAATCTTAATGTGGAAAATCAATGAACATTATGATTATACGTGTATATATATATATATAGAACATGAAGTGCCCACTTGTGAGTGGTTGTGATCCCAACCACCACTGCCGTCGCAGGAGTTGGGAATCAATACGACTGCCAGCACCTTTGACCCGGACAGCTACCGAAACCGGATAGCCATCGACTGGTCGATTTGGGATGAAACCGATTGATGTGATAAGTGATAAATCCACCAGCCTACCCCATTTACCCCGGTTTACGTTTTGAGGGGTATAGGGTAATTGTCCAAATAGGCCATAGGGTGTCTTATTCGCTTTACCACATTGTAAGGTGAATGGATGGTGGACAGAGAATCTTTTCATGGTGCCAGGACTGGAGCGTCTCGTGGAACCGCTCACCAATCTATTCCCGTTTCTGCGTGCAGTCGGAACCACTTAGCTGACTTAGCCTGACTTAGCTGACTTTGCTTTACCGAGTGCAGTGTAAGGGGCAGAAGTGGTTGGTGTTCGGATGACAGTTCGGCAGAATCCTTTGGCAATCCACATCAGCAGTCGCTGCTAAGGTTGGGCCAGCTGGAGACGTGGGATAGGGGATATCGGGAGGGACTGAACAAATTTGGCAGTCCGATGTCTGACCATTTCCGATATTTGCCGGCTGGTGGAATTTGACATGGCCTGTGTAGGAGCGTCTCTATTTCATCCTGGATATGGGAGACAACTCTTCGCGCATTTCCACTTTGGTTTCCGGTACTGCCCTCAGCATCCCTCAGCCAATTGGACTTAGACTGCAGCTCAAAATTGACACCTGCCACGCGGGACCTGTCGAGATCCCTTTTTGATGCTCTGCTCTATTACTATTTTGGAGGAATTTGGAGGATGCAGCTGGACGTAGCTGGACTGCTCCCCCAACGGTCCAAACTCTGTGGGCTCGGGGCGCAGACGCCGACAGGTTTCCTCTTCACCGCTGTGGTGGTGTCGTTGTCCTGCTTCATCTTTGGGACCGTGGAGGTGCGCTTTCGAGGACACATCGGGTCTCCCAAGACATCACAGGTCACCACAGTTGATAAACTTTAATAAACCAACGACATCCAGTGAGTACCAAGTGTCAAGTGCCAAGAAGTGCCCCATTCGCCAGGGCTTTCGCATGCTCCCTTGTGCTGGGATGGAAATCAATCAATGTGTTCCTGCTGAGCCACCGTGGATGGCCATGGCTGAAAGAATTTGTGCAGGGTGCCCAGGGTGCCCAGGGCATGGCCGTGCCACAAGTCAGCCACAGTGTGATTTTTCATCGCAAGATTGTTTCAAGACATTTCAAGATATTCTAAGTAGGACACTCCATTGTTGGTTTCAGAATGGCGCAGATGACTTGAGACTGGCATGATTTGATGTATGATGCATGATCATACTGTGAAATGCTGTGAAGCTGTAAAGCTTGTTATGCCAGTATGTTGACCCACCCATTTGTAGAAGCTTCATCGAAGCTCGCTCCATAGCTCCGCCGGCTCCGCCTCAGGTGTGGATCTTCACGCTGGAAATCGTCTTACGCATCATAAGCGCCCCTCAGGACGGACCAAGTCACGATGCTTCACGATGCTTCAAGACACAAAGCATGGGACAACATGGGACAACCGAAATCTGTGGCTGCGATTTTGTTTGCAAGATCTGCGACATGATAGACTTGATTGATACGTATAATAGTTCCGAATTTTGTATGAACATATACATGAATGGGTACAATTGGGTTGAAGATTTGCCTGTCTTTAACTTGTGGACCCACACTCTATAGGCACCCGCCTGCATGTGGATGTGTCCAAAATGGGGGTATACCCATCATTTCAATGCGAAAAATATGGACAGATTACGATAATCTATGATCATCCATTTGAATTGGGGACACACCATTTTCAGAGAACGCCATGCTAGTCGCAGTCGATGCAGGCTCGGCGAGAGCTGTTGAACCACAGATATATCATTTCCATCATCGCGAACGAAGAACTCCCGTTGCCTGGACAAGAACGAAGCTGTTGATGCTGATGCTGAAAAAATTAGGTTTACCATAGTTTACCATAGTTTACTATGATTTAGTATGGTTAACTATGGTTTTCCATGGTTCACCATGGATTACCATGGTTTACCATTCACCATGGATTACTTTGGTTTACCATGGTCTACTTTTTTAATGGTTTACTATGGCTTACTATGGTTTTCTATGGTTTACTGTGGCTTACCATGGTATACTATGGTTTACTGATGTTATATATATCCTTTGTCGTGCCGGTGTTTC